GGGGGGGGGGGCGTAAAAGTGCCCGCGCCAACTTTGATGTCGGATAACGTCCGAACGGCTTGCGCTAGGGCCACCAAACTTTGATACTTTTCCTACAACTTTTCCTTGTTGGCAACAATTTTATAGCAGTGAAATGAATTAATAGGTTTTCGTGTTGCCATGGCAATGGGTTTCTGACAGGCATTGTTTGTACAAATCAGCAATTTTACAGGCTTTTATGTTAATTTACACATGCTTTCTAATATTGATAACGAATGAGCCCCCCCCCCCCACCTCAACCCCCCGGGTCCCAAAAATCCCAGTCTGGCTAGTCTGGCTATTACTCATTTCATACAGTCCAGGGGATGAATATATGAAATTAAAAATATTAGCATTTTTTTCTACATTTAACATCTTTTATGATACAAAAATAACAAATATAATATCTGGTAGCATTCCATATGATACTCTAAATTCTGAATTAAAGTATTGCATTCCATGATTAATTGCCGTCCGATGAAATTGCGTGGTATATTGCATCCTTACATCCCCACCGTCACTTACTCCATACCAAGCTATTCTTCTTCATCTGACTTTCAGATGCACCGTTGATTAAGCCCACGTTTGAAAAGGAGATCAGCGTAATGCTCGGCAAGGATCTTTATTCATTAAACTGTCAGGCCGAGGGAAACCCAGCTCCCCACGTGAGATGGAGAAGAAAGGACGTCAAGATCTACTTTAACAACCCGCTGACGTTCTCAAAAGTCGGCTATCTGGAGGAGGGGTTTTACGAATGCGTCGCCTCGAGTCGTGGGTTTCCAGAAGTGACAAGGGAAACGTATCTCAACGTCATAGGTATGGGATTGTCAATCAAATAAGATCTCCTTGATGTGATATACGTCGTTATTTTAGTGCGATATAATCTCTGCACCAGCCAATGCAACTAACGAGCGATCAGTATAAGGTAGGAAGTGACACGGGCATGACAGCTTCAAGAGAACGGTGAGCTGATTTTAGCTGTTCGAGGATTTGTCAAGCTTTAGTTGCATTAAAATCAAACAGGTTCTTATCGCATCTGCCGTCATATCGTCAGCACAGTTCTTGGTGACATATTTTCAAGGGCGTACATCTAACCTTTCTTTGCACTCACGTGATTATGAGGTAAGTATTACCTGCCATGATGGGCGGTAATTAGACATCGAATTTGCCAGGTAAACGTTAAAGCTGCATTAACGTTAGGACGATACAAAAAAGTCGATTTTCTGGCCGTTTCTCTACTAATAAAGTTGAATCAACCCTACTCCAAGGCAAATTATTATTATACATCAAGCGGATGAGCCAAAATATTACACAAAAGCTTGAATCTTGAAACACAGCTGTCAGCCATGTTTGTTTACTTTCTGGTGTTTTGTGGTGGCGGTACAAAATAGATTCTCCTCATGTGGGCTATTTTATTGCCAAACATAAGTGTAAAAATGTGAGATAATAGAGAAAAGATATGTCGAAGGTTTAAGGTTTAAAGTCTCGTTGTTTGTACCTTCCAACCCCTCTAAGGCAGACCCGACGTCCTGAGCGAGTCGTCCACGGTAGCCGTGACCGGCGGGGACACCGTCAAACTCTCCTGTAAAATCGCCTCCGACCCTCCGCCTGAAGACATCAGCTGGGTGTACAGGGGCAGAGAAGGCGAGGAGAGGAGGTATCGCGGAGGCAGAGTGGACGATGTGGAAGTCAAGACTATGGTCGGGGACAGGATACAGACAGAGTTGACTATAGCGTCTGCCACCAACGCTAACGTTGGGGACTATCTCTGTAAAGCACAAAACATGTTCGGGTCGGACCAGCAGGAATTTAGGGTAGAGGTTACAGGTGGGACATTAGAAACTACTCTACTTCTTCTTCTTACTTAATTTACTGCAATGTAAAAGAACGTGAAATATACGATATATATGATGTAATGTACTGCAAGAGCGAAGTAATTCTCTGTCTATGCATAAATACTAGTAGATATTTGGGTGCGCTATCATTGTCGGAATTAACTGTGGTATTGGCTACTGATTGTACAAAATGTGAAAGTTAACAAAACTCATCAATTTATGCTCATATCTTTAAAATTGGTAGAAGTCATTATGAAGCAAGTTTAAACCGTAATTGACAAATTTTCAACTATGCAACTCCAGTCTTTGTCAAGGAATGAGAGCTTCGCCGCTTCAATGACGTCGAGTTATGCAGATGACATTTATGCTCATATTTTTGTGTTTTTATCATGTTTATAGCAATATTGTGTAACGTTTCCGTTCCAGCCTCTCAGATGGTGGTTGTGGCTGTTATAGCGGGGTCTGCCACCATTGGCATGCTACTCGCCATCCTTACTGCCATCTGTATCGGACTACGGAAAGGCTGGATAGGGCGGGACAAGAAAGGTATAATAGAAACTTCAATATGCGTGATGTACATGTATAGAGGCTACTGAAACGTATTCTGAACAGTATATTGAACATAACGGCGTCATATTTATGTTAGGCACCCCTTCTTTTAGTTAAATCTTACGGCATACTGTTTTCTTTTTGTGTATACAACTGAATTGGTGGTTTTTAGGAGCAATCTATTTTTGCAGGTGACACTATCTTAGTAATTTTAGCTATTTTTGCACTGATGTGAAACACACGTCTCGATGGGTTCTAACTATCCCAGCTGATTTGGTTTATAATTTGTAATGTTTAAATTGCTCCTTGTTCGCACGTCAGGAAGAGAACACAGTGAAGCCAGGGAAGACATAGACAATGGGTGAGCACCCTAGAGATTTTTCAAACGACAAATAAACTTTACAGTCAATTTTATAGTGAGTAGCAAAGAAACCAGGACAACCACTTATTACGTTAACATTTAGCGTTGATATTTGCTTGATAAGCGTAAAAACCGAAACCGTCCCTTACCTATATATTACATGCTGATGGAAAATGTAATATCGTCAGGTCAAGTTTGTATCTTGACAGAGTATATTCAACCCTCTTATTACTCTAGTGTTTTTAGTCAAACACAAACTGCCCAAACGTACATATAAATAAAGAAACGACTTCGTTATCTTACGGTAGACATCCTCTCTTCTTGGTCCATGCTAACACTACAGCGTCAGGCATAAAGACGAAAAAGAGAGGACTGTGATAGAGCTACAGCATATCAAGAACAAAGCGCCGAGGCCCCGCCCTCCCCCCAAAGTGGACAGGGACGTTAACCCCTATTCCATAGGACTGACTTACTCCCGTAAGTACGTCATAGCTACGTCATGGCTACGTCATGGCTACGTCACCAAACCACAGTTTCAGCTAATTAAGTTTCCTTGTTAGAAGGGGGTCATGTTATCTAATTAGACTCCATCAGTTACGGTTTTGTTACATTCTTTTCATTACCCTTCAGTTGTAACGGTCTACCAATACTGCATGGACTGTCATTGGTCAGTTTGATCTTCGTTGCCAGCCAATCACACTCCGAATGGGAAATTCAAAAAGTACATCATTTAATGAGCTCAAAGCATTTGCAGAAATAAGACTCACTGTGTTCATGTAGAATGGATGGATTCTAGTCCGTATCTAGCTTTCAGTAAATGGTTAAAGTGAGATATTGTCCATGTTGGTCTGGTGCATGGATGTAAAATGGCAACCGGCCAAAGTTACAAGCAGCGATTTAAAGAGAGCAAAATTCATAGAGGTGCTCTCCAAATAAGGAGTCAAAAAGCACAGTTATTTTGAGGAATAGGGAAGTCGTAATTTTACAGCATTTTTCATATAAGGACTTTGCACACGCCTCTAAGTCACCAATATGGTAAATGCTAGATAGAACAGTTTAAGTAAATAATTAAGCCTAGATAGATAGATTGAGACTTTAAATGTAGCTACATATCAAGTTACGCACATACGGGTTTTTTTTTTCAAACCTTTTGGTCCAGCAAGACAATCTTTAGTTTAGAGTTGTTGTTTTTTTTAAATTAAGTTCCAAATTTTGGCCTATTGAACTACCAACGTTTCTATCTGTATTACGTGCAGCACTAACATTTCATTTCACAGACTACTAACGTTAACAACACGAGACATTCCCATATCGGCTTTCCTTCTCCAAATTTACCCTCTCCATTTCAGCATTCATTGGTGATGCAAAGGTTACAAGATCGTTGCTGCCTATTACGCTAAAAGAGAGAATGCCTGCACTTAATAACAGGCTCTGTTCCCGGAATTGAGTGCAACAGCATTGAAGTCTCCGCGGTACACATGATTGATTTTCTACCAAATAAGAGCGGTGGGCGAAACGAGTTACTAGGAGCTTAGATCAAAGGCTTGTTCACGAACGTGAGCTCCATTTCTCAGTCCGCTGCACCCAGAATGTCAGAAGTCATGACGAACAGAGGTAAGTAATTAATCCTTTCAATGTTGCTCTCCTTTATCGTTTCTAAATAGACCTGTCGGAGCCGGCACCTGCGTATTCGACCGTGGATACGGCGAGGATACGACGTCAGGACGACACGTACACGTACAGTCCACGCCGGAGTCCTTATCGGGACCACGTAGAGGAGCTAAGGGGCGCCGTTCCAAAATCGGTAAGGGTCGATGGACGGCATCTAGGAGCCAATCGTTGCCAATTTCTTCGGGAATGTGTGTGGGGGCCGTGTGGCGTAACGACAGAGCGTTCGGCTCGGAACCAAGAGGTCCCGAGTTCGAATCCTGCCATGACACCAAACGTGTGCCCTTGGGAAAGGCACTTAACACGAATTTTCTCACTTAACTCTACACGAATTTACTTACTTTTACTGAAAATGAGCTTTTTCTGTTGTCCGTTCATGGATTAATATTTGTCTGTGTTGGTGGCGACATTAAAATGTGTCACCATGTGTCTTGTAATAAATGTTGGAATAGAAAAAAATATCCCCGGGAAAATGGTTGCCTGAAACTATTTTGAGTCTTCCAGATAATCATATATATGACTACACCTTACCGAAACGTTGCACATATCAGGGTTGCAAAAATTGTAATATTGAACTTTTTTATTGCTTCCAGGTGTAAAACGAGTTAATCACTGTAAATTTTGGCTATTTTGCCTAAAACGACATTTAACGGGATTTGCTGGCACGCGACTGCTGAAAAGTGATAGCACGCCGCGTTTTTTATGGTCAGAAATGTTGGAGATAATGTTGTAGGGGAAGCTGTGTGAGCGCTAAGCAGAGGCTTACAGCACACACGACCCATTGCCACGAGACGCAAGCTGCGAAACTCCTGCAGTGCGAATGACCTGAAGTTGATTGTCTCAGGGCACCACAGGTTAACACCACCCTGCTGACAGCTATACATCTGTGTTGAACAGACCCTACCTTATGTCAGACAGTTTGTTTTACCATACATTTTTAATTGGTTCCTTTTTCACATCAGGACAGTTCTTTCAAAACGAGCAACATACTCATTTATTTGCATGTAGCCACGTGCACCGCAATCATTTTTGGTAGCAAAAATGTATAGCTATATAGCATATAAGTACAAGATTTACACATTCAGTTTGTTGAACAACTATATATATTCAAAATTTGAAACATATTTATTGCTTATAGCCACGTGCACCGCAATCATTTTTCATTTTTTGGCACCAAAAATGTATAGCTCTACAGCATATAAGTATAAGATTTACACATTCAGTTTGTTCGACTCATGTCCAACAGATTAACAGGTTCGAATAGTTAAGCTGTCGGGCCCAGAAAAGCGTTTGGAAGTGCGCCAATAACACGCAAATGGATGTTCATGACTAGTATATGTAACACCTACTCTACTCAATGTTCTGACCCCTTGCCTTGCTACCTCTACAGAGCAAATACTATAATCCACCGGAACCCATTTGGAGGATGCCGGAAGAAACCTGAAGTACGCTGATTCCAGACCGCGATTTATCAAGTCACACAGAAACGACAGTCGCCTCCACGGACAACTGACCAAGGTCTTGCTCTAGCAAACTGGCTTTACGTACACATCAGAGACAACGGCGACCGGAGTGTATGCGCCAGACAACTGGGATATGCTTCTTATCTCTAGACCAGAGGCTCACCAAAGACAACTTCTTTCCGCTCGTTGTGATGAAATATACATGTCATGACTGACGATTTGGTTGGACGGGAAAAGCCGTCACTCCATGATACGTTTGTTCCTGAGTACTCTACATGTAACACACGAAGCTGGTCATCATGAAAGAGCAAAATAAAAAGTGGTTTAGCAGCCAACAGAACTTTGCTAACATTTGGGTCGACGTAGAGAAAGAATTGCAACATCTAGTGTGAAGGTTTTTTTTTGTCTCATTTCTGTTACAACAAGGAGCAAAGCAAACTATTGTAACTCAATATTTCCTTTGTACGTGGACAGGGCTGTTGATGGGACACACTGAGTACGTCTGGGCCCACTATTGCTGCTATATGTGTGTCAAACTAGCTAACGACCTCAAAGCGTCGCTTATGTTTGCTTGAACTGTATAGAAAAGGTCACAGTTCCCTATCCGGGGCCCGGCCGGGCAGTTGACAGGAATCTAAAGTATAATATAGAGGAGAACAAAGCACCGTTGTTTTAATTTTTTGCTTTGCTTACGCAAACAGCCCGGCCGGGGCCCGGTTTGGAAGTGACTGTAGCATATATTTTGTTTTAGAATCTACCTCGGAAACATTCGAGGTACCAAAAGCATTCATGGACAAAACGTAATATTGCACCGAACGTTGCTTTAAAAAAAGCGAGATATATGTCAAAATCACAAAATTGGATGGATATAACTTCAATTTTCCCGCCCCTCAAAATATGGTATAGTCCTAACCTGTGCTACAGTGCCAATGCATATGCCAGAGACGTAACAGGACTTGATATTATACGGGTGCTGGCCATGGAGATCTGTTTTATAACTATACGCCGTACAACAGAATAATTATTAAAAGTATCCAATGCAATTTTAGGGCGGCAAAACTGGAAATACTCTGAATAAGTCCATCTGTATGGCATTGACACATACTGTCCCACAATAGCACTTTTGAATCAGTATCTCATACTTCAGGCATTTAAAACTGCAGAAACAAGCCCCAAGATCAGTCCTTTATTTTCTGGGTGGTACCCTAAAAAGCAATCCAGGTCCTTCCAGTAACCGTTTTTCGTCAGAATTTTGGGAATTTTTGCTCCATGAATGTCGATATACATTGGAACAGTGTTGTTTCAACTTAGTATGTAGATAAATGACTAGAATATTGACTTTAAAAAATCTGGTTTCCAAGCCCAAAAAACTGCACTGGATGCCTTTAAGTTTCTAGTACGCAGCGTACTGACTAAGTCACCCAGATTTCAAACCCACCCCACCGTCGGGGGAAATCAGTAGTCATTTTTATATCTAACATTATAGCAGCTGTTTATATATACTGTGTGGTGAGATAACATAGTAGATTCTCAAAGATGGATTATGACATTTTTAATAAACCAGAATAGGTACAAATGTGGTCCCGAAACTCCTTTTATATGAGTTCAGTGTCGTCTGTTCCTGTGCAATCTAGGGAAAACATGTGATGATCTAGATAGTTATATATTAGTCCGATTAATTTTCTACAAGACAAACTACTAGATAAAAAAGCTGTGTTACTGTTTAATGCATACTGCATTAGTTACGATTAATAATTATTCTTCAAGACATAAAATATAATAAAAAGTAAGTTTTTAGTAAAAACTTTCAAGAAACAAGAAATGCTTTCTGAAAAAAAGGTGACCGGGGACCAAGTTGGAAATAGCTAGTTGGATGGCGTGAGTGTGATGACGATGTGTGACTCAAATGATTTGTTACCTTGGATTGGACAAATGTTGCAAAAACAGGAGTGCTAGACAGGCCTATATCGCCCTAACAATGGGCCTAAGCCCTGCATGATCCAGAAACAAATTACTTCTTGCCACCAAAATATTCAACCATCTAACCATCGAACACTCAGCCGGCCTAGGAAAAAAAATTGTGTTTCCTGTTTCCCGACCGACCCTAGAAAAACTTGCCAACCCTAGCCTTTTGGGGGGAGGGGGTGGACCCCTGCAAGGGACATAATTTTTTCGAGTGATAAAATGTTGCACAAATGGTTTTATAACATTGGCATTGAAAATAAAAGTGTCCTCATGCAAGTTTTACTTTGTTAAACTGTATTGTATAATGTACTATATACTGTACTAAATAGATATCACTGAAGTCTGAAAAAAAAGAAAAATCCCTGCCTACAGGGCCGAAATAGGAAACACATTTTTCCGAGACCTCAGCGTAATGCTAGGTGCCACATCCACCCCCCTCCGATCCCCACCACCACCACCATGCCATGCCACGTTGAAGGTAACAATATGAATTAGTTTCCAACTTCTTTCCTGTGTGTTCCTTGCCCTCCATTATTCGCTCTACCTTCCCGAAGATTTCATTTTCCTCTCCTTTACATCAAGTCAGCTCCTCGCATCTCTTGGGTAGAAACATTACACAGAAGCGAAGGCAAGGCACGTATTTCTATCTGTCTGCATCCATTAGGTCTATCGAATTATCGGCACCTTTCAGCCAAATGAACAATTGAGTAAGTAACGTAAATGGTATATATTCATATGTGCGATAGAGGTGAGTATCCTAGCACAGCTTTTAGAGGTCTCACTCTGAGCTTAATGCAAGGAAATGTGATATAATGCAGCTCGTACTGCACCGCTTAATGTATAGCCGTGTACAATATGGAGTGTCCCTTTGTGCAGAAATCTGGACACATAAAGAACGAGGCTGTCTGAGAGATACATGTCCAGGGATCCATTGCCTTCTCCAAGTTGCCTTCTGGAGAAATTAGTATCGATTCGAGTCCTATTCCTCACGCCTGCCAAGGCGCCGGCCGGGCTTGCATCATTCAGTCTGTGAAGTCACAAAGTGAGACGGAGTGAACTGCAACCCTTTTCCGATAAGTTCAATATGGTTTGCACTTCCTACGCGAGTCGGTAGGTGGTGCTGATAAGCTCAGTGGTATCTAAATCATGCTGTTTTACGTACAGTGGCCATTTGATGTTTTGATCACTAACGCAGTGGGGAACAATGAAATTAGTTACACAGTTACTACCGATACAAATGTTATCAAATACCCAAATAAGTAATACCATTGTGTAAAAAGATGTTACGATAAAGATATATTATGGGAACACTAAAATTACTCACAAAATGACATCTTATCATAGCTTCCAAACAATCCATACAATACCGTGAACAAAACTTTGCAACTTCTTTTGTACTTGTTGTTACAACATACCTCCGGTATGGTTGAAAGAAAAGTGTCAATGACCTCATTAAATCCACCGTTTGTTGTACATGTTAAACAACGTTTTGACGTGTTTGTTTGCCAACCTGTGTGCCTTACACGTGTCGAAGCACGTGCTTCAAAGCAACAGAGTTATATGCAAATGATGGAAATGTGCAAACTTAGGCACTATAAAAATGTTCACCGGGGTCTGAGTATATGTAGGCATTTTTCAATCTCGAGAGATGGTGTGTTAGCACTCTAAGGCCCCATTTCCACTATGCTAGAATTGTCCGGATCGAGCCGGATTGATCCGACTTCGAGGCGGATCGAGCCAGATCGGAGCCGGATCGAAGCCGAATCAAAGCGAATCAATTCGGCTCAATCTGGACTATTTTACCTCAGTGGGAAAAGGGCCAAAGTCTACCAACCAATAAAAGTATTAAGACTGTGTCTCCGTTGACCTAAATGTGTATAACAAAATCTGGCCGTGGTCAGTGCTTTAAATAATCTAATATGGCCATATTGAATAGAAATTATGTCTTAAGACAATCTATCTTTGTTTTCTAGATAAAGCATGCCTAGTAAAAGTTCGATAATATAAAAAAAAAAAAATTGGTGGTTGTCATACCGGCCGTATCAAATTGGCCAGGCAGTATCCAATACGTAACCCCAAGTTTTGATTGGCAAAAAAAGATACCAGTGCCCGATAAAAACGCCTAAACATGTAAAAAAATACGCCGAAGCCTAAACCTCTAGATCTGCTAGCAGATTCGACAGCCCCATCCCCACCAGAATTTGTCCATCTACTGTCAACAACTACTGTGTATTGAACCTTTCTCATTCCGCCTTTTATCAGGAATTGTGCCCGGTGACAGGCAAGTACAGATAAAAACCGCGTGATTGCTGCACAAATATTTTGCTTGACTTTTGGGAAGCCGGCAGCCATAGAGGAACTTATAACACGATGGATTACTGTTTCCCCGTTCCGCTAAACCATGGTAGCGACCACAGTGCCCATTACTCTAGTTTACGTTGTATTACAGGTAAATAGAAATAGGTGTAATGTTGACTGAAGTATTCTTGGTGTACACAGTAAGCCTATTCATGGTTGGCCTTCTTGTGGGGGTCATAGAACGTTCAAGGCAACACCGTTATAACGGATCGAAAATTGAAATGCCAAACTCTCGTCGGAAGAAGGTATACAACAAACAATGGGTTTCTTTGTAACCGAGATGTGATAGTCATTTCATCTGTGACTGAGTTATTAAAATTTTTCTGATTTATGATTCTCTCGCAAAATTAGATACCACGTGTTTCTGAAATATTTTAGAGGAAGATGTCTGTATTCATTGGCATTTGGCAACGATACATGTCATTAATTGTATAGCACAGGCAGACTTAGCCACAAAGAGTGCAGCAGTAGAAGTAGAGTAGTAGGGTTTGAGTTAAAAAATAAACCCGCAATGTCGGTTGCAGTACTTTTTGCAGACTCTACAACTTTTGAAATTTTGAAGTGTTATCACTGAATTCAAACCAAACTTTGTAATCGTCAAATCCAAGCAGAGGTTTGGGTTTTGGCTTATCGTCGGCGCGGCGTATTTTAGGCTTTTTTTATCGGGCTTTCTTTCTTGTACCCAGTCTGGTATATTGTTTTACGTTTGGTTGACGTAAAAAAAGATACCAGAGCAAAAAAAAAGCCCAATAAAAAAGCATGAAACAGGCCAAAAATAAAACAAATCCCAAACCTCTGCTTGGAGAGTGGAGAGTAGTAAATGACTCCATATCGGGCCTACAACATGTTAACACACCAATCATTCAGTACCATTGCCGTACCTTGACCTGCTCAATGAAAGATGCGATTACGATCTCGTCAACCAGAGATCACAATGTGGCCACAAAGTCCAATGTGCATATAAATAGGTGGGATTATATGTTTTTGATAAGCGTGTTGGATTTTTGATCATGTTTAAAAATAGTTCAAGGGATGGCCGTAGGAGAATTATTTTCCACTTTTTTTCCCTTTTTAATAGAAAGTATTCAGCAGATGAGAATGTAAGAATAGCATTCGTGTACATGTCGAGTGATTATATGTTTTTGATAATCGTGTAGGATTTTTGATCATGTTTAAAAATAGTTCAAGAGATGGCCGTAGGAGAATTATTTTCCACTTTTTTTCCTTTTTAATAGAGAGTATTCAGCAGATGAGAATGTAAGAATAGCATTCGTGTACATGTCGAGCGATCATATGTTTTTGATAAGCGTGAAGTATTTTTGATCCTGTTTAAAAATAGTTTAAGGGATGGCGGCAGGAGAGATATTTTCCACTTTTGCCTTTTAATAGAAATTATTCAACAGATGAGAATGTAAGAATAGCGAGTGATCTTATGTTTTTGATAAGCGAATTTTGATCCTGTTTTAAAAAAAAGTTCAAGGGATGGCGGCAGGAGAGATTCTCAACTTTTTCCTTTTTAATAGTACTCCACAGATGCTATATTGTAAGAACAGCGTACGTGTATATGTCGAGTAACGGTCAGTAATTCAGGTGAATTACTGACCCATGGAATGTTTTACGTACTTTGATGTATATTGTATATGTTAGTAAAACGGGCGATTGAGATAGCTGTTAAAGAGTATCTCTTCTGTGAAATAGAGACATCAAAGTGACTCAAAGATTCGAATCACATGTTAATTGCTGCCAGACGCAAATGTTAGGAGAAAATGCCATTGCTTCATTTCTTTAAACCCTATAATAGTTCAGTATTATAAAAGGACGAATATATGCAGGAATTGAAATGTGGTGCAATCTTAGGTGCAATTAGGTGTAGCTATATTAAGACGTGTAAAAACGTCGGGCAGGCATGAGAACAAGGCAGCTTGTGCAAGCAGCATTTATGGTGGTAACCTGTGTGTTATTGCCTTGTTAGCGGTTGCTGGTATATGGCAAAGTTTCCTATCACAGCGGCCGTGTGACTCTAATGCACGTGTGATTGAGACGCATTTTGTACGTAAATTGTCAGAAAGATCACGCGGTATTGAGTGCGTAAGGCAAACTTTACTACATCATATACCGCTAACACCTGGTCTTACCGCTTGCGTATTGACCCGCAAAGTTTGCGCGTGTTGTGGCAAATTGGTCGATTTGTTAGCGTGCTCGGCGACATTTTCAAGTGTGCGGATTGAATCGATAATATGCCTGTTGCGCCGTCCCTACCTGATACAGAGTGTACCCCTCTGTTATGTTTGATTCGCGCCAAACAGGGACAGTTTGACAAACACGGGCCCGCCCGTGTAACGGTCTCCCAGCAACACCATTCACCGGATTAAACCACCCTCAGTCGGTGTTAGTTAATGTATAATTCAGAACCACAGCCAACACAACATTACCGGACCTGTTGCTACTGGCTCCTTTTACCCTAAACTGCTACAATAGCTCCCCTATATTTTTGGAACGTAGTACATTGTCCGTACGCCGATGCTATCTTACCTTGTTACCAAGATAAGCGTTTTTATCGTCGTTATTGGTCGATTTGTCACCAACGCCGATGACGCAGCCCTTTTATTGTAAAGACCCCCCCTGTAGGACCTGATGTAAACACAGACCGACAATTCAGGCCTACGTTTGTTACGTGTGAGGGAACAAGGACATTTCTGAGTTCTCAATCGGAAGTCATGTTCACAAACTTCGGGTTACAGTTGGGGTAAGTCGGTGTTTCTTTCTTTCTTTCTTGCATTGTAGAAAGAAGTATTCTCTAAAAATTGTAATCAGTAATATCTCTTGTATAAGTTTTGTAGCCTATATCGTAGAGAGGTGTATAAAGGCTATGGTCTGTATTGACCTACATCTAAGGACTGTTGTTCATAATTGTGGTCAAGGAGGAACACACTTAATTGCAATAAGGCGCACCACAAAAGTTATGACTGGGTAACGTCAATCTCTCTTTGTTGCTGCTGTAGGCAGTCAGAGTTCTCATTATGTCAGTGTTTTCAGTATCTTTGTTAGTCTTGTCATGTGTGTGTGGGCTGTATGTTCAGCTGCATACGTTTTTTCTGTAGATGACAGCCTCTGGAGGCCCTTAGTGCACAAAAGTGTAATAGTGTGCAAAAATACATTATCGTTGTAAAAGAACGACACATAAAATCACAAATTTTGGATGGCAACTGTTGCGGTGAGAATTCTATAAGGGAGCAACAACCTACAGGCCCATTCATGTATTAGTAATACAGGAAGCAAACGGTATTAACGGTATGTAGCAGTTGTCACCTTCTTCCTGTTTGGCTGTTAGTGACTGATATATTTGCGTTAACCTGTTCTGGTTCTGTTAAATTTCCGTCGTTGAAAAATATTGTTTTTTTTCCATCACTCTCACACATACTGTGTAGCTAGTTTCGTCTTCAAAAATTATGTGTGCATACTACCCACTAGTGACACTATAAAAGGCACTTAACGATTAAGGAAGCTGCGTTTTTATTATACATTTGTGTACCGTCATAACAGGACAAGTAGGTGATAGTTCTATGGACTTCTATAGACTGTACTCTACATGAATCTGAAGTGTACCATAAACTGTGTATGAGTACATTTCCTGAGAGCAGTTTCTATTGCATTCTGTGTGTTTTACAAGCCTTGAGATAAGTCTATTTCCATTAGTAAATATTGAGTTCCAATGTGCATTATTGTGAGCTCGAGGGCAAGTTGAGGACTTAACGAAGGCTTTTGAAAATTTCGTCCCTTTATTTCAGCTATGTTCAGAGCAGATTTAAGTGTATTTATACACTGGTAGCATACGTCGTATGCAGACTTTACATAAGCCTATGGTTGCGTCATTTATCCGACGTTGGGTCCAATTTACCATGCCTTAGCTTCAGTCTTGACTAAAGTAAACATATTAAGAACGTACAGGGTCACTAATGGCTCTGTCCTGGTAGCATACCTCTTCCTCTCGGCACACAGATCTTATCCCAATAAAATATTCCATTTCCTATACAAGAACGTCACGCTAAAAACCCATTAACGCTAAATGTACACTGTTAAAACCTCCACAGACCCTCTCTCCATGTAGACATACCATTACTTAATTGCGAACCGCACTATCTCGTAAATTTGCATGTCGCTACCAGGGAATAAGTGTGTAATGAGCTGATGCATATTTGCATGCTACCTTAGCTACCAAAAATCTAATTCTACAATATGCTGTTCCTGTTCCAATAGGCGTGTATAAAGAAAGGACATTCATACTAAGCCGGGAAAACTTCACAGAGAAAGTGCGTGGGTCGGGTATAGGGTGTGCCACCCGGACCAACTGAGAGAGAACAATCCTTCTCAAGAAATGGGTGAAGAAAACACCACACTTGGAACGTCGAATACATCATTGCTACTAGACAGCTTCATGGATAACGCTTCGGTCTCCAATGGCTCGGTTTTCACCCAGAACGATTTTGTGTTCGCCTACGCGCTTATACCTCTCAGCACCATCATCATCGTGGGGAACATTATGGTGCTGATCTCGGCTGTAGCCATGACCAAGTTCCGTAACCACGTCGGCTACTTCTTCATAGCCAACCTGGCAATAGGTATGCTTCCATCTTGTGTTACAACGAGAAGAAATCATTAAAAAAGTCTTTCCCCGCATCATATTACGTCGATGAATGTTAACATGTTGGACATTGAGGTAATAAGATATACACGAAAACTGTTACTCAAACAAGTTCAAAATATATCCAGTTCCTTGTCAATGAGTAACAGTTTTGTCTTGCACCAACAACGTAATTTTTAAAGCATTCAAACAATTTATTGCTTCCGATAATATAAGAATAGATGCGTAATGTGAATTAAAACCTGCGTCGCCGTGACGTTGTTAGTCAAGTTGATTGAAAACTTTTGGCATTTATATTCAGGCTTGAAGATACTCTCAAGAACAGCTTCAGTAAACTTAAATCATTATTGATTGAACGATGCGGTATCATTTTCACAATTAAAAAAATCATCATACCTTTTGTGTTCCAGCTGACCTCCTGTTGGGCGTGGTCAGTACTGTGTCCATCTTTAACATCTTTCTGCGCCACTCTGACGAGAACCTGGCCACGTGCATCATCCGGATCGGGCTGGTGGTCATGTCCTGCGCCGCCTCGGTCTTCACCATCGCCTGTATCGCCATTGACCGCTGCATCGCCGTCAACGTCGCTTTACGGTCAGTATCTGTGTGGACAAGTGTAGAGAAGGGGCTGTTTGAGCAACCTCCGCGGAAGAGTTCTGCAGAACTTGGAGTTGTTTGATCAACCTCCATGGATGAGCCCTGCAGAGCTTAGGGTTGTACGAGCAAATTTCATGGATCTCTGGAGCTCTGCAGAGCTTGGTGCTGTTTGAGCAACCTCCATGGAAGAGGTCTGCAGAGCTTGGTGCTGTTTGAGCAACCTCCATGGAGGAGTTCTGCAGAGCTTGGTGCTGTACGAGCAACCTCCATGGAGGAGTTCTGCAGAGCTTGGTGCTGTACGAGCAACCTCCATGGAGGGGTTCTGCAGGGCTTGGTGCTGTTTGAGCAACCTCCATGTAGGAGCTCTGCAGAGCTTAGGGCTGGTTGAACAACCTCCATGGAGGAGTTCTGCAGAGCTTGATGCTGTTTGAGCAACCTCCATGGAGGAGTTCTGCAGAGATTAAGGCTGTTTGAGCAACCTCCATGGAGGAGCTTGATTTTGATTTTATGTGCACAGACGTAACAAAAGTTTGCAAAACATAAAACAACGGAAAAGTAAACCTGCAGTGGCGGAGAAAAAGCCATAAGCTATCAAAATGTACGAAATGGTTAACCAATGCGTTGATGTAGGTAAACAATATTCAGAGAAAATGAAACTCTACTACTGGATAGATAACTGAGATAACTTCCGGACGTTTCGAGTGACATCCGTTATTCAGTGACGCTGAAGAAGAGTGACGTATGTCACTCGAAACGTCCGGAAGTAATCTCCGTTATTTATCCAGTTACTGTAGTAGAGTTTGATGTTTCTCTGAATATGGTTAATCAATGGTTTACAAAGTAATTATGATACAAACGAATCATTATCTCTCAATACACACCAGGTATAAGGAAATCGTAACGCCTACCCGGGCACTTATTGGCATCGCCATGACGTGGGTGTTCGCTGTCCTGTACGGGTTCTTCCCTCTGACCAGCCTGAGGAGTAAATACGACAACAAGTGTTCCTTCCTCGCCGTCCTGAGTAAGGAGTACACTCTGGCACTGTTCTTCGCCGGGTTTCTTCCGACTGTGGTCCTCATCCTCGCTATCTACACATCGCTGTGTCTCGTCACTAGAAAACAATTGCAGAAAATCAACGCATTAGACCAGGTAGGGAATTGATATACATTATGATTAAAATCCTGATTTTAACCACCCCATTTAATACATATGTTATATACAGTATTTTGCATAGTCATCCAAATCGAGCACGTCGGCAGAACGTACTTCGGCTGCATGAAACTGACCCAAATTTTTCAGCTTTCGTTGGTCAACGTTTTAACAGATATCTTTTGGGACAAAAATTAGAAGACTATGGTACGGAATGTCATCTTTGAATACAACAATACGACCTTGAACGAGATATTCTGCCGAGTATTATGCACAACACATTGCGTGTTTCGCGCTATTGCCGTAAGTTCTGCCGACTTGCATCCAAATTACAGGGTTGAAAATATTCAAGTCCTCTTGATTTTACTTTGTTTCATCTCTGCATAAATTTTTCTTTGCCCATAAAATAACTCCTTTCAAAAGCTTCTGGCTATTTAGCAACAAGCATCAAATGTAAAGGATTTAATATTGTACAATTTACAGTTCAAATAAAAAGTTGATGATTTAGATTATGCTCCTAGAGTTATCTAAGTATTTTGCCTTTTGATTTGTCCACCAGTTCCGGCGAGGAAGCAGCCAGAGCACCACAGGCCAGCTTCGGTACCAAAGACTCAAGAGAAACCTGAAAGCCATCAAAACTCTAGCCCTGGTCATAGGAACTTTCTTCGTCTGCTGGCTGCCCTTCTTCATCACCGCCTTGGTTCAAGTGTTCTGTGGGGACAAGTGTCACCTTCAAGACATTGCCGGAACGTACCTAGTGTTGCTAGGATTCTTAAACTCAGCCCTTAATCCCGCAATATACGCCTACTTTAACCAGGACTTTAGAAAAAGCATGAGGTCGCTCTGTTGCAAGAATAGGGTCGAGCCGTCGGACCCGTTGTATAATTCCGCCGTGAATCTACGGAGACAGTCGGCACTGAGCGCGAGAGAGCCCGGGGACTTCGCGGCAATCGCACAGAGACCGAGACTGGACACGTGCCACTCAGTAAGCGCTGAGGTGGATGCAAACAAGAACAAATAAGGACTATATGTGGTATTTCTAAGCAAATTTGGCCGCTACAATTTGCACAAGTACTGATGCTATTGTTTACTTACCTTGTTTCAGTCAATTTGATGTTCCCTAGGTCCGTATACTAAATCATGCACTTACGATGTATACACTGGATGGAAAAGGAAAGAAAAAAGTACAATTCAGCAATCGTGTGTATGAAATAACAATGTTCAAAGCTAAAACTTTACATCCAACACAAAGAACTTCTCTCACCGAGAGCTTTCGACCAGTCACCCTGGTCTTCCTCATATGAACTTCCATGATTATAGTAATGTTCTTGCATGTGTAACAAATGTGGTCAAATAATGGTGGCCTAATGCAAGTATCTTGTACGTCTGTACAGAACATGATCAGGTTGATGCATTTAGCCCATGTTGGGCTTAAATATTCATGCAATAAAGTTCAGTGTCATCTTCATTGTGATGTTGTCAATTATATAGCTTACAGTATGTATGATAATGAAAAATAAATATATTACGTCGTGAGCATATGGTGTGGAAGTATATACATGTAGTACAAAGACTTTTATAAGGTCTAATTGTAGCAGCCTTGACATTAAATATAAAACAGTAATAAATTAGTCATAAATCAAGGACCAGTAGCTTAACAATAAACCGTTAGCCAACAAAAACTGTACATAATCACAATGCAAGACTAACGGCAGTTTACAGCAATATTCCTCATTTTCTTAACTCATAAAAATCATCATCATAATATAAGTTGGAAATGACACATAAATCAATTGAAAAGCACAAGTCTATGGACCTTTTATTAGATGAAATTCTGAGAACAGCAAAGCAGTATGTGTATGTTTGTATGTATGCAGTACAAACATTACCAGGAAATATAGACTTCCTGGTCAGGAAAACCCTCTTAACCTAAACATTTGGTTGCTCTGCGGACTTGCGGTACACAATTGGACAACTTCTCTATACAATGTACTATATGGTATTGTTATAGTGCCTATGTCTAAATTAGCAAATAATAGCATAGCCTAAATAAACATTGAAAGTGCATAATTTTCATGTCTTAATTAGCATAGCCTAAATTCATACTGTAAGGCCCTTCTAAATCATTTTCTTTTTTATAACTCAGTACATCACGATTCTAACCTTTATACAAATTTTGTGTAATTACATTGCATAAAGCCATGTACATTCATTTGTTGGTTTACAACAACCAAATCATAAAAACACACATTATTAATTTAGTTATATATATAATAATATATGCATTTATATTCCACAAATCTCAGCAATCATCCATGCAGCACACTTTAAGACATGATAATTTAAAGTATATACAACACTTTGGTTACCCTTCATGTAGAAAGATATGTAGACAAATAATATGAAATCAGAGTCAGAATAGCACCAAATTCTTGCAGTACCAACTTTTGCATAGGTTTGAGCTCATACAGAGGAGCAAATCAGATTGTGGAGGGAGGGTAGTAGTGTAAAAAAATAAAATGATAAATTGGCAACAGAGGGCTTTCACAAGAAAGTAGAGCAAAAATGTGGCAATTTGGCTAAAGCAGGAATTGCACAATATTACATAATGAAAAGAATTGCAACAACCTTTACACATTGCATCCTGTAGCATCAAATCTCTTCCTGGTCTGTCCCTTAAATACAACATTAAGAAAACTATACATCTAGGTCTGAAGATTCCTTTCTCTGAATTTTAACAACACTGACTACTGGCCTTTGTTGCATCCAGAACCATGCTTAATTCCGGACCAGACACCGTCCAGGATAGTCCACGAATATATTCAGAAATCCTTGTACACAATGAGACTATCTAGAACCATGCCTGATTCAAACCCTAACCTATCAAGGCATAGAACTAGATAGGTGCAGTTCTGGATATCTACCATTCTTGTATACACTGAGACTATCCAGAACTGTGCCTAAATTCAGACCCTAACCCATTCAGGCATAGAACTACATGTGCATGTATAGATAGGCACGGTTCTGGATGAAATTATAGTCCTTGTCAACACTGTGCAGCCAGCTCCCAACTGTCTGCATCCCACACCAGGAGTATAGACTCTAATGAAGTCCTGCCCTGCTTCACATGACTCCCCTGTATGTGGTTCTGTAGCAGGTAGTTGTACCCTAGTCCTATAGTCAGCAACTGGCTCTTTTGTTGCTTATTGCTCTGAGTATCTTCTGTACCTGTGAGGACACATGAAAGTCATGTAAGTCAAGACATTTGGCTCAGACATCCACATGTGTATGTATTGGACAAGGACATCCACAGTGTTTGGGAGGCCATATTCAGCTATGATACTAACAGGGGCTTTAGTTTTTAGGCCAAACCAATTAATTTGTTGGTTCTCGGATTAGCCTCTTCATTTTTTCCTGGTTTGCAAACTAAGAAAAAAAAAGATTCTGGTTCTGAATCAACTCAAATATGTGAACCTCATACATTTGTATTTTGACCCCAACAGTTGAGGAAAGTCCTTTTCTTCCTACATGTAGCTGTTACAGTTTTTCCATCTATCAATGCAGTGGTTTGATTAAAAGTTAAAAATTCATTGTTTAAATATTAGCCTTTTGTGTTGACTTCATGGCTCCTATTGTAGCATTTGCAATTGGGGCTATAACAGGATGCCTAGACCTGTTTTTAGTTATTTTTTTTCGCCCTGTCGCTGAAAGAATCCCAGAACCAACAAATTAAATTGGTGTGGCCTTATCCCACCTACCCTGCTGTAGAGCAGACTCTGCTAGCTGTAGCCCAGAACACACAGGGATGATGTACTTCACATCCTCCACATGGCCTTTCACCTGGGCCAGGCAGGTCATCTTAGCCGCATCACAGATGAGCAGGTGACCCCAGACTGTCCCCACGTACAGCTGGCCACCCTGCACCTGCAGACAAGTCACCTGGCAGCCTCCAGCTGTAACAGGTGCCATGAATGGTACATGATCATATCTTAATGGACAAAGTGACCTGCTTGGAATTCAGTAAGAAATCATCAGTACGAGTAGTATAGATTTTTTGGAAATACAAACAAAGACTGTTTCTACAAAAAAAAGAGGAGGAAATATTCTCACTGATAGGTTCAAGTCTTGCTGGTTGTAATTTTCTATAAGAATTTTTAAAAATCATAATATGTTATATCTTTATAACAAAACTGTAACAATTATTTCTTTAATTTGTGCTTTGAAATACATGTATTCAGCATGCATTTTTTTCCAAGTACAAATTCTTTAAAATGCTTTCAGTTTCAAACAATAATATTGCCTTTTGAAACTATGCGAGTTATTTTTATTTTTGGGAGTGGAGTGCTTTTTTCCCTTTGAGTCCTTACCATCTAGGTTTGGCAGGTGGTCCTTACAGTCTAACTTGTGAGTGTTGTACCAGGTGTTCACCTCCCACTTGTAAACCATTGTACCTGCAGGAAGGACAGATTAAGTTCCAAAAGGTTAAGTACAGGAAATGGCATTGATTCTAACATACAAGTACCACCGTAAGTACAAAAATTTTGGTGGCTTGCATATACTGTAATTCCTGAATTTTTCAAGGTACTTTAAAAATTCATGTTCACAGTTTTCACTGTCACTTCTGTACCGTGAACTTATCATTTACAGTTAACAAATCATGCATGCCTGGACTTTCTTTTCCTGCACTGGAATATGTACGTTAACAGTTCTGTGAACATGTCTATTTTTCTCAGACCGTGAAATTTTGCTACTGTGAACATAAAGTGAATTCCAGTACTCTGCAAGCAGACTCTGGTTTAGGCCTTGGCTTAATTTTTGACATGTTTTTAAGCATTTTTTATGAGGATTTTTTTTTTTTGACTGGTATCTTTTTTATGCATCTGGGTGACATACTGAATATTGCCTGGCCAATTTGATACTGTCTTGCAGCCACTAGAAGATCTGCTTGGAGATTAGCTTGCACATAATGTATGGTACAGGATCCACTTTATGGAATTTATGGTTTTATGGCTCCATTTAATTACTGTGGCCACACTGCATGCCCATATCTCTAGCCTTACAAAGTATATTCTTTATGTGTAGACCACTGTGTAGCATTTCACAGTGGTCCGATTGATAGTCTTTTGCCCTACAGGTAGGGGTAGTTTGAGGACAATGATATCATCAGTGGCGTACATATTAATTGCATTCCAAAGTGAAATACAATGTACAGAGCCCTATCTGGCAGAAACAATTGAGGCATTGTGCATACTGAACCACTCCTAACCCATGTGCATACTTGTAATTTATATACTTGATCCAAGTAACAGCTGAACCAAACCCAGTGATGGATCACCACTTTAATTGCTTTCTTGACGGCACAATTTGTCAATGCAGAATCAATAATTGAGTCATTCCTTTTTGGATCCCACAAAAACTTCAAACAGCTCAAGATTCAAAACTTTGCCCTTCAATTTTAGTGGCCATGACAACGTACTAAACACTTCATAAAAGATTTACCGTTTATGTAGGTTAATGTCGCGCGCTTGGTCAAGCAACGCGGGAATGTTTAACACATGTCATCTGGCATATTGCCTGATCGGGGGAATTGGCGTAAAATGTATGTACAATTCTGTCTCATCAGGAAAGGGACTTTGAACATGCACCATTAGCCTGTATAAACTATTCATGGCTTTCTGGCAATGAATGCTGGAAACCACTCTGGACCATACCTAATGGAAAGGTCTTAACGAAAATGAGTTTCAGCATGAGATCAAAAGTTCAAATTCAATATACTGTAAGTCTCTTTAGATTCGCGGGGCCTAAAGTTCGCGGTTTCGGGAAAATGGACAATCCGCGGTATTTTTAGATTCGCGGTTTCTCCTTGGCTATTTTTCAAAGAAAAATTTGTAAAGTGTATATTTAAAATAATAAAAGTTCGTGTTCCGGCATTTATATCCTAAAACGCGGCGCAAAAATTTGTTTCGTGCACCGCGCGAGACTGCCGGTGGTATAGCTGACGATCGATCTGACGCACGTGTAAACAATTTTCTTTGTTCGGAAATAAGCGCTAAAACTCTATTTTCCACGACTACACATCGATACTCTAGTGAAGAAATGCATAATCGAAAGAATCTTTCGGGAAAATATATATTACTAAAAATATTTATGCCGTCTTCGGCGAGATTTTGAACCCGGAAGTATGCAAAGGTCGCCTTCGATTTTGTAGCGGCCCACGGTAGCGTTTCTATCCAGCAAAACAAACAAACAAACAAAAAAAACGCCCGCAAAGCAGGGCGCAAAAGAGAATCAACTAACATAACCAGATACCAGCAGTTATATTTTTAAACAAAATATTTGTAGATATGCCCGATGTGCCCGCAATTTTCAAGCGCCCGGGCGCGCATGGCCGGCGCTCTGCACACAGAGATTTTTGTCCGGCGGTGCACGTTTGACACGGCCAGCGCCGCAGTATCGCGATTCGGTTTCTCATAATATTATAATTTTTTGACATCAGTATAACTTAAAAAGATTTTGGTACTCAACATACGCACATTTGCTAAGAATAAAGTTGATTTGCAGTGATTTGTGTTTGTTGCGTGTGTTTGTGTTTCGCTTACCGTCGTTAATGCATGTGGGGAGGGGGGCGCACTTACGCAAAACATATTCGCGGGGAAATAGATTCGCGGTACAAAGGTCCCCGCGAATTCCGCGAATCTAAATATACCGCGGAAATTTGTAGACTTACGTAATAATATTATGCATCTTGTAGTTAAAGCTTTACTGTTTGGATATTTTAACGTCCAATGCAGCATCCATCTTTCCAACATTTGAGGAAATTTTGTTGCTCATCGAGACAAAAATTTGGCCCAATACTTCTTCTTTTATGGCCAAAAATTGGCTTGTAAAGAGATTTAAAAGAGACTGCTACCAGCAAAATTTTCCCCTGAAATTTTCCCCTGAAATGTATGAACTCAGAGGGTCAATATTTCAACCCCTTCAAGGATTGTCACATTCCGTGCTAGAGACATATTACGTCAAAAAAATCGACAGAAAAAATTTTAGGCTGGCTAGAACACTGGTCCAATGTGTATTCAAATCTCTTATTAACAGCCTTTTATTGGCATCAAAGTTCATCTGACTTGGTAAAATACATGTACATGAAGAAAATTATAGAACTTGGGCCATAAAGCTGATAAGATACACAGGAACACATATGACCACACATATACCACCACCAATGTAGTGGTGGTGGTATATCTTACATTTAATTTCATTTAAATTAATAGCCTTTTATAATTGATTGGATTGAAGAAAAGAGATGTTCCTTACCTGGGTACACATAGGACCACACATTCCCGCCCACCCCTGGTCTGTCTGGACCACCACGAGTGGCCAGGTGCATCACATTGACTTTGGAACATTTGGGGTCAAAGTGGTTCAAGTCCTTCAGAACAACCAAGGACTCTCCATCCACTATCCTCATCCCCCCATCACAGCCTCCCAGCCACAGCTCTGTAGACCTATAACACGTGGAGGGAACACAGAGTGAAATCATTTCTATGTTGAACGCAATATAGGAGAGGCTGCAGCCTCCTTAGCAGCCTTTAAGTATGACTGGGCATTTCCGTGAGACTTTATAATGTGCTTTTTTTTCCTTTCTGGCATATACATGTAGCTTCTATTTGCACAGGCCTGTTTTTTGGCACACCAGTGCATATACCTGCAAAGAACCCTGATAAAAATAGAAGACTTAGTGTGATATTGGCCTCTACCAGGCACCACGGATCACTGGAAAAATAGTACAAATTGGCCGAAATAATCTGGTATACTATCCCTTTATTTCGGCCAATTTCGTTCTACTATAATTTTTCCAGCGATCCGTGGTGCCTGGTAGAGGCTAGTGTGATATACCAGAAAGAAAAGAAGCCAATTATAAAGCTTTACAGAAAAGCCCAGTCATAGAGGTGGCTATACATGTATATATAGAGACTGCTTTAGTGTAATAAAAGACTGAAGGTATGACATACTGTAAGACTTTGAATATTCACATGACAGGTAACTGTCTGTAACAGATAAGTTCCCTCTAACAAATTGTTAAAGTATAAAAGAATGGGTCCTTTTGAGAAAAATTGTGATAAACGGGTTAAATACCTACATTATTGTGAAAATATTATGTTTTCAAACATGTTGCATTGCTCGTAAAAACAATTCATTGACATTCCAAGTGCCATGGAAGCTTAAAAGATTATCTTCCATAAAATAATTCGGTTATGTGAAGCACTTATTAACTGTTAATGTACTCCAGGGACAAGGAGAAAGCCTGATATATCATAGTTAATTGTCACATCAAAATTTATTCCGCCCATTACAGTAATCCTAATGTAATCCCTCAGAAACATAGGAACAAAAGGGTATCTCACAAACAATGTCATTTATCTCAATTAACTCAACTCAATTGCTGACCCATGGAATCATTCATTTAGACCAGTATTTACAAAATTAATGTAGTTAAATCATTATCATAAATTATGATTGAACTACATTTGGTAAACCCTATGTCAACATTATTAGAGATATCAACGTATAGTCATGCCTTCAAGTACCAGAGTTATCAACCAAGGATTGAGGTGTTCAAAAACTCATTCTTTCCTAGAACTATCACAGAGTAGAACTCGCTGTCACCAAGTACAGTTAGAACTTGAAGCATTATCATTAGATAGCTTTAAATGTTTAGAGCTAGATGTTTAAGGGTTAGGTGTAACAACTCGTTTGGTGTAATGTAGCCAGCTGCCACCATGCTCTGTGTCTGCAAAGCTGATGTGTTACGCCAAAGGGCGGTTATACCGGCTATAACGATACAGATCATAATCATTATCATATATGCTGATTTAAAAGTAAAGACCACAAGATTACCTGTTAACAGTGGTGACAATGGCAGCACTGAATGTATGGAACTCCAACCTTGCCCTGTGCACTTCTGTAACAGTGATTGGGTCGCTGTTTTGCACATTGTGTCTGTCTCCACCAGAGTACTTGTACTGCACCACAGTACCCAGGGACAGAGCCACCAGGATTGTTCTTGTGTCCGGGATGTGTAAGATGGACCGTACGGTGTTGGTTCGTCGTACGTTGTTGGACAGGCTCAGGGTTTTTAACTTTTCAAGGGTGGACAATCTGAAAGCAATGTACATGTACATACATGTAGTAAAGACTGATATGTTAACCAATCTTTCAGTGATGTTGTCTTTCTCTTTTGATAAGTTCTCCTGTTAGTAGTGGATGATACATTTCAAAACAAAAACAGATACTGTGCTCCAAGATGACCATTACATATGCTTACAACAGCTTGGACTGCTACTGCACAATAAATATATAATTTTTTATATATATAGAAAATTAATGTAGTCCTTTTGTTTAATTTATATTACATGATTGTGTAGGATCATAATAGGCTTTCATTTCATCCTGTGTGAGAATGTACCTGTAGATATGGACCACTGGCTTGTCGATGCCCATCCATATCATGTCCCCGATGATGCAGACTCTACACACCACGTCTGGCACTTCAAAAGCCTACAGGATAGCAGGAAAATAAATAAGGAATGAATGTGTTAAAAAACTGTCATGACAATACATGTACTATACCAAAAAAGAATTTCAAATAATTTTCTTATGAGATGAACTTGAAGTTTCTGGCTTGAACTTAAAGATACATGTATATACTGAAAGAGCAGTAAATTATCTTTTAAAATTACATCAATTATTTCTATTTCTAAACCCCCAAGGTTTGTGTACTACTTTTCTAAGCCTGATACTCTGCTTGTTCCTGTTTTGTGTTTTTCTTGTTTTAGAAATCTGTTCCTCAATGTACATGTACATGTTGACAGTTATTTTGAAAACAAGCTTGAAGCAAGGAAACAGAAGTGACATAATTGTTTAACAAATGTTGTTTTTATGTGTAAATGTTGACCTTTCCTGGAAGAGGTTTGGGAACAGGAATGATGGCTTGACAGAAATTTAAATATTTTAATACCTTTTATCATAAATATTGGTGCTCATAGTGAAACTATAGGTAAACCACAAGCAATGTAGTTCCAGGATAGGTGGAACTACATTGGGCTTGCCTTGCCCGAGGGCTTCTGGTGTTAAAGGTTAATGTAATATTGAATTTAGACCATTAATGCCAATTAAGACTGTGTCACAATAAAGCCTGAGTGTACAGTTCTTGTATGTACACTTCTGCCTTATTATAGGCCTATCTATCTACATAGTTTTCTTACCATGGCCTCCTCCTGTAGCCTGCCGTCCACCACCTGTAGTATGTCCACCTGTGTGGGAGGGCCGTTCTGAGCCAGGTTACACAGCCACACCTGGCTCACACTCTGCTCCAACAACCCGCCATAACCATCATCTGGGGGAGAAATTGGTTAAAAACACACTGTAAAAACAGTTTGGTCTCATCAAATGCACATACTTCATGTTCAAAGGTTACAATGTAGGTGTACATGTAACAAGTCCTTTGGTGTAATGTACCGCCCCGCCACATGCCTGCATGTGTGTGAAGGGTGGATACACCGGCTATACAGAATGCAGATACTACCTTTAACATCTATAAATTTGTTCTAAATGTTTGACAATTAAAAGGGACAAAAAGAAATAGCTGTGACAATCAGGCTGTATTTTCTAATAATCCATCTTAGTAGTACTAAGTATGTACATTTCCTATTACTAATATTTAATTATCATAATAAAAAATTTAGGCTTATGAGTAACATTATCGATTCTTGCCTTGTGTAGTTTGATTGAAGGTTCATTTTTCACATCAAATCTGCTATCAAGTTGTTCCGTATATTGTTGTTTTAACAAGTGTACACATGTGCAATTGCATGATATAGAGAATTATTCAGGTCCAAGTGAGTGTGCTTGTGATTATTTGGAAGACAATTGCTCAAATATGAGAACAATTACTAGTTATATGATGATCACAATGAATTTACCTATGATTTGAACCTGTTCAGAATAAGTAGCACAGGCTACAAGTGCTGTCTTCCCCGGTCCATCAGCCACAGGCATGGCCTGCAGCAGCAGGGGGAACTCGGGACACCTAGCAGCTTTGTGTATGTCTGCAGCCTTTGGGCGGTTGTGTGGATCATGTGACCAACACAGGCTCATGATGTCCAAAATGTTGGTTGGGTAGCTTCTCTCCTGTATGTCCAAAAGAGCATCCATTTTATCAATAAATACTATCCAAAATGTTAATTCAGCAATATCATTCTAAAGCTGTCTGCTCTGGTGTACTCTGTTAATTCTTACAAAACACATTCATTATGGTCAGACAGGAGTCTAAATCCCTCCTGCTATAAAATTGCAACATGATGTAACCAACACTATATAGTTACCATGATGGTAACAGACAGTCTGGTTCAGGTCATTGACTTTTTCGTTTGCAGAAGAAGGGGAAGAAGAAACAGAGCAAAAACAATATGTTTTCCTTTTTATTAATTAGTAAATAATAAAGACATAAGCATACAACTTTAAAGAATAACAGATCACTGTGGTATGTTCAGAAGTACCTTTTCTGTAAGAGGGGGTCTCTTCTCTCTGAGGATGAGGTCGTTGATTTGGTCCAGTCCCTCAAACGGCTGCTTCAGACTCAACAGTTCATACAGGAACATGGCAAAGGAGAAACAGTCCACCTGTATTGTGGTAATGAATGCATCATAGTAGAGTTAATAGGTAGCATTTGAGCATTCAATGTTTGGTGAGGTCAGCTACTGTTCGACTACACCAGTCAAATGTTTAAAATTGTATAAAACATTTAACTTTGGACAGGAGGTTCGGCAATGGTAGGCTGGTGTTCAGGTCATGGTTGAGAGTCAAATTTGAGTTAAACTTGAGTCAAATTTGAGTAAACTTGAGTCAAACTGAAGCGTAACTCAAATTTGATCTGATTAATATAGAGAGATAGACATGGTTATACTGCTCCTGAACTTCAGCCAACCTTGTTTAAGTAGTTAATTAATTCACATATAAAACATATACAGGTTAAAACTCTACGGCAGCCTACATGGCGGAATTGTCCGCTTCTTACAATTTGAAAGCTTGAAGAATATTATGTTGGTGGGTTGGTGTTTGGGGGAAGGTTCTGAATGTGTAACAGGCTTAAAGCATTGTGAGAAGCAAGTCTAAGCAATGCTAAACAACACCTTTTTTTATTTCTTATAATTCATTCACATATATTTACTGAATATTAGGCAAGAAGCACAGTTGCTTATATGATGCCTTCTTCATATACCAAAAAACATAAAACGAGAGTAAAACACAACAAAATACAATCATACATGATTACAAAATGGGTAAAAGAAATAATATACTGCAACACCTTTTCAGTGTAAGCCTCCATCCCATAGTGCTGTACAATCTCAGGTGCCATGTACCCCGGTGACCCCCCGTAACCCTTGACCTCTCCGCGCGGCATGGCGGCCCTGCTGATGCCGTAGTCCGCCAGCTTGACGTGAACGTGAGCGGTCGGCTCGTCTGTGGGCGCAGGCAGGGACCACACCAGCACGTTCTGGGCCTTCAGGTCACGGTAGATGATACGGTGAGAGTGCAGGTAAGATATGGCAGAGGAGATCTGGAAAATAAAATAAAACTTTCATCAATATTCTCATTAAAAAATACGTTCTTTGACAGCTTATAATCTTGAAAATTTAGTTTTTGTGTATCTCAGAGATGACTATAATGTTGCATTAAAGTTTCCAACCTTCCCAATAATATAACTTTCATATACATTGTAGAGAATAATTGTTATACTGAGACAACAGTTTGGTAACAAAAAAGTAACATTCTCTCTAGTATAAAATGTACTTGACTGTATTAAACACTATTCTTTAAAAGAACACTGATGTTCAGAAAAACCTTGAAAAGACAAGATTAAGCATGAAAAGATTCAACAACACATTCAGCTGAGAGAAATTAAAAACTTTAGAACTGCCTAATGCTACAACTAGAAGTAGGAGGAGTAACTTTGATGAATGTGATGAAATACACTTCAAGGAAATTGTTACTCCAAGAAACTTTGAAAACTGTCACAGACATTCTAATAAGTTGCATTTACTACTTTTTGTTCGTGACTAATGGAGTCTGTAGTTGAACAGGAAGAGTAACTTACAGTTTTATTCTCATTAATCAAAGAGTTTGTTGTGTGGCGTAGCGGCAGAGTTCTCGACTCGGAACCAAGAGGTCGCAGGTTTGAGTCCTGACATGCCACAGATCTTGTGCCTTTGCACTTTACACGACTTTCCTCACTTTGCTCAGGTGAAAATGAGCATTGTATTGTCCCGTGTTGGTGGCGGCATTAATATAAGTTGAAAAAACTGAGTGTGCCGTCACCATTGTCTTGTAATTACATGTTATTAAAAAAAAAGAGTTCCCCACCTGCACCACAATGTGCTGCACTAGACATGGGTCCAGCCTGGCCCCCTCCCTCCTGTACTCCCTGAGCCGTGTGTCCAGCGCCCCCCTACAGGCCAGCTCCAACACCAGGCACAGCGGCTGGTGACACACGCCCAGCAGGGACACGATGTGAGCGTGTGTAAGGGACGACAGGACCATCATCTCCTGTCTCACGGTGCAGTAGGCCTTACACGCCGCCCAGGTCGGCTCCTGGGTCCACTTACGCTTGTGCTGGGCATACTCTTTCCTACAGTCACAGCGAAGTTTTAAACTATGTTAGGCTTTCAGTTTGTACAATGTACATGTGCATCACAGAAAAAATCTAGTGCTGGGCATACTCCTTTCTAAAGTCACAAGGAATTTTTAAACTACGTCAGGCTTTCAGCTTGTGCATCACAGCTTGTACATGACAGTACAATGTACATCACAGAAAAAATCTTTTGCTGGACATACTCCTTCTTACAGTCACAAAGACTCTGATCAGCGGTAGAATTGCCAATTCTATTACCACATCAGAGTTTCTACAATCTAGTAAACTACATTTCTACATTCTACTATATTATATAATTCATAATCCTACATACTACCATTTTAAATTCTACACACTATACAAGTCAATAAATTATCATGACATTGTATTTATTTTTGTGTCATTCAATACAACAGAACCTACATGTATCAGTAAAATAATGTGTTTATCTCAAAGAAGCCAATGCACATTGTAACTAATCCAAATTAGGTCAATTCACTTAAACATCATAATGTTTATGTACTAAATCTTTCAGCTGTGTAAATTCCTTTTTGTCAAATTCACAAAATTCTCCACATTTTATTTCCCAATATTTTATCTGATGCCAGTCATGCCAAGTACTGCCTAATGCACTGAACCCCCTTGTTTATTCTTATATCAAGCTTATGTAAGTAGATAATTCAGGGTACACAGTCTCCATGACAGAAGTAGAGGATCTGTAAATGTGTGGACCTATTGCATTATACACTTCCCTTTACAGCAATCTTCATAATTGATCTGCAATCAAAATACTTCCTATTTTTACCTCAGAAAGATTTACGTGAACGGTCAGGTGTGTTTATTTACCTTGTGTAAATATTTTTGCTCCCTGCACCAGACAATGTAAACATGAGTTAAGGTAGTGTTTACAAATGTGTCTGTCCTTATATAAGACTTTATGGGGCCAAAATTTAGGTCAAGGAAACTAGCCAATTAACTGACCTTAATATTACTATCATCTTCTTGACAATGTGGATCTTAGATAAATCAAACCCAACAATGAAACACTGACTTATATTTTTCTCTGAATATCTACATTTTTGTAAAGCTGTTTTAAGCATTCATTTATTCATTATTTTTGACTCTTCATGAAGGTCCATTCAGTTGTACAGTAACTGGTCATGAAAATTATTTGATGTTATGCACACTTATGTTACAGTTGGTACAGGTACAACTGTCCAATGTCATAAAATTATGCTTCAAGACAAAAAGGACATTTTTTTCTTTCTTTTAACAAAAGGAAAATTTTCATCTGGACATATAGCATACATGTAACAAACATACTTTGCAGTGTCAGGTGCCTCCTTCCCAGGGTCCCGTGGTTCCAGGATCTTCAGGGCCACACTTGTTCCCGGAGCACTCCTGGTCTTCCTTAACCCTTGGAACACAAAGCCAAATGCCCCAGTACCCAGAAGCCTTTGGGTGGTGATCTCGGAGGGATCCAAGAGGAGTTTGGTGGCAATATCCTCAAACATCTGTGAAGGACGATAAATTATTTTTGTTTCTTTGATATCAGTATATACATTTACATGTACATAGTATGATATTTGAGGAAAAGTTTTCAGTCTTGTATCAAAGTGTAGAGCTACAAGTATGAACATGTGGGCAGAAGGCATTGCACTTGTTCAAAACCTGGATGTTATACCATTTTTATTGGATATTGCTTTATAATTTTGCCTGTTGCATGCAGACGACATCTTTTCTGGCACATTAAACAACACATTCTGCCAAAGTGCTATGTACAATACATTATGGGTTTCACACAGGCACAGTATGTTATGCTTCAATGTGCTACAGATATGTATCAGAAGACAAAATTGTTATGTCCAGATTGCATTGGATATCATTAGTAATTCACTACTATTACGACATAATACTGTTACAGTAGCACAGTATAGCTGCAATAAAGAAAAAACCTTACCACATCAGGCACCAAAGTCTTAAGCAGTAGAGTCCCATGTCTGGGACATTCCACTGTCTTGTGGCTTAGAGACTGGTACACTAGGTCATCAAACTGGAATGTGGTGATGGCTGCTAAAATTCAGAAAACAAAAAAAGTCTAAGTGATTACTGTTTATACATGAAAGATCAAAATTAATGACTGTTCCAGGCCTTTAATTTGTCGATCATCTCTCTCAGTGCTACTGGTAAACAAAATACATTGTACATCAATGATTAGGCCATGCACTGTGTACAAACTGACACTACATGCTGGGTGATGAAAAAAAAAGACTTTACCTGATTCAGCATTTGACTTCTTCCCTTTTCTCTGCTTCCCAGGTTGATCTTCTGACACCTTCTGTGTGCCTCCTCCTTTGGCAGGTTCAGCTGGCTCTACAAATGCAAGGCTCAGGGGTTTCTTAGGTTCTGTGTACTCTTCTCTCTTTGGTACCTCAGCTACAACCACGTCCTCATTCTTTGCATCATTTTCTACTTTGTCTGCACCCTGTTTCATCTCTGTGGACAGTTCTAACTGAAACATCAGATCTTCACTGGTCTCTTCTTCTGCATTTTTGGCTGCTGATGGCAAAGTTGTATCGGTGCTTTCTGTTGCTTGCATAGTCTTCTCACTGGCAGTGCTTTTAGACTTCTCATTGACTGGAGACACAATGGTCTTTGACACGTAGGGTTCATGATCCTGTGGGCTTACCTCCACCACTTCCCAGGCATCGCCTCTATGGTGGACATCCTTCTGTTTCTTCTTGGGCTGTTTGGCTTGACCGGCTGCCCTCTGACACTTCGGACACGGGATGACCCTCCTGACCAGGTAGAGGCCGTGCGACGTCTGTCGGAAACGCTCGCCGATGTCCGAGTACCAGTCTTGTAGGAGGAGGTCGAGATGGTCGACTACCACTGCGAGCAGCCTCGTAGCGATAGCGACATCTGTCTTCAGCACTATCCTCTTCTGTACCTCCTCACTGATACTTGTCGGAGTAGACACCGTGTGTGTGTAGCTGTACTTCACTTCTGACAATGGCACACTGATCTGGAGTTTCCCTCCGTGGTATCCGGCCATACTGGGCATGTCGCGGGTCGACAGCGGTAAAGTCGAGTACTTCTTTCTCTCATCTTCTTCCCCGATGACTTCCTTGACTGTCAGAAGTGTGGTGTTGCAGTGTCGCAGCTTGAAGCCAGTCTGCCAGCACACCCAGTGCGGGCTCTCCATCAGGACCTTGATTTAAAGGAATAGATTACATTTTGTTGCGTATATATTGTTTCATTAGAGTTATTTTTCTTAATATTATTTGTGTCAGTTCAAATATTTGTTTACTGTTTTGTTACTTCAATATTCCATTGATTGTACAAGTATACATCTTCAATTATTACTTTCATTTCAAACATATTATATCTATTATTTGACCTCTGATCTCCAATGCACTTTTATTTTTCTATGCTGATTTTGTTTCAAGTTTGTCATAATTTCAGCATGACTTGTATGTTTACTTTATTATCATTATAGCTAAAAGTAATTATTATTATAATTGTAAGTACAGTTATTTTATTTTATGTTGCCGGACTCCAGGAAGAATAGTATGGAATTTACCATAATGGAGATCTCAATAAACAAACAAACAAACCTGTACTGGACCATCCCCAACGTCCCCGCTGACCGCCTCGAAACACGCGACAGCCGTGTCATACAGGTGGTCGTCAGCGAACACCCGTGTGATCAGCCGTGACCAGAACCCGCTCGGGAAGTACGACATGAGGTAGAAGCGTAGGAACTGGTCCGTGTACGTGACCTTGAGCTTGCTCTTCTTTTCCTCAGAACTGTTGTTGCCATTGACGTCCTCTTTACTGGGTGGTGCAGGTAGAGGAGAGGAGGTGGCACCTTTGTAGAAAGTAGACTTGCCTGTGGAGATTTTCTCAGGACGGGAGACATGGATGTGTCTGCTGACCCTGCTGGTGTAGGGATCCTTGTTTGACTTCATCACCATGGCTTTAGACTTCTTTCCTTTCCTCTTCATTGTGATCTGTTGTGAACCATTCAAAAAACAACACATAGTCAACTTTATATTACACAGAAGTAAAACTTGGGATCACAGGCTAGAATCTAAAAGTGTATCAAATTACTCATGATTGAATTTTTATCGAATAATGCTGAAAAGAAGAAATACTTCTACGTATGTCAGCTTTGATTCACGCAAAACCTGGCATGGCATGGAGATGCACAATCTTTAAGTTCATAATATATATAACAGGACCAAGGGTGATGCAGAATACACCATGTTGTATTTTATTCATGTCATGCCCACCTAAACTTACAACTTTAAACTTGATTGAAAAAAATACACATTTCAATGTGCTTCAAGTTGATAAAATTTAGTGTCCCTAAACAAAAAATTGTAACAACATGAATTGTAACATCAGAATCCAGTATGTGAATTTTCAAAAGTGGCTCATCAGATGGCACACACAAAACATGTTTGCATTATTCTATGAAATTTTGGAAGCCTGTATAAAAAACATGAACTTTCTTTTACCTTGACCTCCCTGCCTTCCGTTACCAGTTTCTTGATGTTGTCCTCGGTAGGCAGGAGTGAGGGGATGAGCAGGTTCTTGTTATCCCAGGTCAGAGCCACCTCAAACTTGTTCAGCAGGTCCACAATGTACAGCCGGATGTCTACAGGGGTGATGGCTGCTGACTTGAAGATCAGACTCAGGCACTTGGTCTCCAGGATACCTGTTAGTAGGTACGTAAAGGTAAGGTAAAGGTAGTGGCACCTCCTAGAAGTATTTACTGAAAAATGAACTGAACTGAAAGGTAGTAGCATATAGCCTTTTTGCAGCTCTAGGGGCAGTGTGTCTAGGGCATTGTATTGGAAGGTGGAGCCCATTCCTCTCCTTCCACTGTCTTTTACCTTTAGTTAACAAAAGTCGGGTACACATTTTACCACTTGGTCGAGTGAGGAAAGTAACATTTCCTTTCCCTTTCCAAAAGACAAAATGTCTAGCTACATTTAATTTTTTGCCAACATGACACAAATATCTAAATGTGAGACAAATATCAAAATGTTTATATCAGAGAAAGATTAGAAAGTCTCTTAAATATTCTGTCTATAGGAAAGCCACCATGTATAAATTAAAGACTACGTCTTGCTTGGTTTAAAGAGATTTCAGCAACACTTGAGCATGCTTGATATCAACCCTAATATCAATTATTATCATAGTCCTAAGAAACATTCTGTAACCTTCAAGAAAATCTGAATGAACAACGATTGCAACTTTGATACTACATAATATAATAGTCGTAAGATAGAGTCTCAGAGTTGTTTGTACCATTCTTGACATATCCGTTGATCTCCGGGATAGTGATGACATGAGCCAGCATGTCACACAGCCACTGTGGGTCCAGGAAGTACAGGTCCTTCAGGGCTACATCCTCATAGTGCAGCAGGACACCTGAGGGACAAAACACAACATTGGATAAATCAATCATGTAGGTGGCAATTGGTGATCTTGTGGTTTGGGTTGTTGTCTCAGAAACGAGAACTGAGTTCAAATCCCTTACACATCTTGATTTATACCTTTGGGAATAGTGCTTAAAACCAATTTCATTGCTGTGGTGAAAGTGAGCACCTAGTACACTGTAGTCTCGACTATGAACATCCCTCAGATAGGACACTAAATGGAAGTCCTGTGTCTTGTCCTGTGACAGCCAGACCTCAAGCACATGAAAGAACTAACCACACTGTAGGGTCTTTTCCAGTGTGAGTGGATCAAAACTTATAATACAGTCTTGTGGGGTCACTAGAGCACTGAAAGGAAGCCATTACAGACCGTTGCGACTTAGCACCACCAATCGTTAGCTCCTTGCAATTCAGGTCTTGGCTTATATTATATAATCATGGCTGAATGAATGGTTCTTAATAAATACAATGCAAACAACACTATTTGAGTTACAAGGAACTATACCATTTGTAACATTGATACTGTCAATTTCACAACCTTCCAAACAAATCTGTAATATAATTTGTCCACACTACCATTCTCATGTAGGAACTGTGTAGCTTGTTTCAGTTCCTCATGGTCCCTGAAGCACAGGTTCTCTTTCCTCATCATCTCAGTCATCACCTCTATCCTATAGAAGAATGTAAAGACAGAATCCAAAGTTGTGGCATATTAAACTGGCACATGTTCATGGCAGCTCATTCATGTAAGTCTACATGTAACATTGACCAAGATGCTGTGAGAAACTGAAGCAAAGAATTGAAATTCTTGGGGCACTAAAAATACTAAAAAAAGGGGTTGAAATTCAAAGAAAGTTTTCTTAAACATGAAACCATATTTTTATCTCTTCTGATATTTTGGCATCATTTGATGGCCAAATGACGTCAACAGATAGACTGCCAAAATGTTGACCAGTAGAGAGAAAAATTACCTGTGTATACAAATGTATGTATATGTAAGAAAACTGTGCTGAATTGATTTTAAGTGTAGTACTACATGTAGTACAAATGTTACATTGTACCTAGTACATGTAGTACAGGATGAAATTCTTCATAAAGAGAGGGTTGTCATAAATAAATAAAAAAAACAATTCTGGAAGTAAAGCAACTGCACTCTTACTGTATCCTAAAATTGAAACATGAAAGAGTTCCTACTTGTACTGATCTCCCACCAGTACAGGGTGTTTCCCCCCTTTCTTCCTCTGAGCTGCTATCTGGGCTACAGTCTTCTGCAGGGCCAGGTAGGTGGCAGGGATGGGCTGTTTCAACAGCAGCTGGCCAGTCCCACCTTAAAAAAAAACATGACTGATCAAAAGCGCCATCTAGCAATTTTGACAACAACTACATTTACATGACATTGTACACCACTCTCTTCAATACTGAAAAGCATGTTACTGTGACACACTAAGGGACTTCACACGTGACTCACCTTTATCTGTACAGATAGGTGGACAGAGGCAAGGAGAGTAGAAAAAGAGAACAGTGAGACCTTGAAAGAGTTGTGACTTATGGTTTACACATTCAACCATACTTGGTGCAGAGGACAGATTACAATAATTTAGTACAAGACATAGGACTGGTGCATTTTGAAAAAAATTCTTTTCTTATATACATAGGATTAGATAACCAAGTGTTCAATATTGTATGTTGTGTAACTGTGATTTTTTAAAGTGTATTATGAGTATCATTATAATTGTAACTGATGAGCACTCAAATTATATGAAGTGCATTCCTCCTCACAACTAATAATTCAGACTGACAGATTATCAGTCAAAATCTCTGCCATAATTGTGTTTAAATTAAATCCACAGCACACCACACCAATATAATAGTACATGTATCTAAAATCTGAGAATACCTGGGGGGTACTTCATTAGATCTGTCACACCTGCTGTTTTTCAATCAAAGTGGCAAAATTATATTAACTGGCAGATATATGGTAATGAAGGTTAAACGAAATCCCCCATTCATACCCCTGACTTTGAGCTGGAACACAGTGTCGTAGATGAGGTCACACAGCTCCCGGATGTTGTGGTGGTTCTTACAGCTGACCTCCAGCTGACCTTTAACCCTTGGCAGTCCGTGGAGGTGCGGCTCGGGCAGGTTGATGAAGCGGCTGTCAATCATGTCCCTGAGCTCAGGCAGGAAGGACGGGGGGTACTTCTTAAACTCATCATAGTGAGTCCCAACAATGATGACTGGGGAGTCTGGGGCACGGGCCTGGAGGACAGGAGAATCGTTCTGATCAAAAGTGCCATCTTGCAGTCTTTACAAGAACTACATCATTTAACAAGGGAATCGTTTACATATCAAAACCCTTGTCCTGCAGAGCACAACAATTGTTGTTCTGCAAATACAGAATCATCTATATAGCACCCTGTATACTAGGTACCATTTGGGGGTATTTCTCATACAACGCATCACACCGCAGCAAAACGCAACGAATGCGGAAGTAACTATGCCACTGCAGAGCAAATAAAATTGATCTAATTAAGACATGAAATTATTGAAAAATGTTGTGCCAGGAATGCCAGGAGGACAAGGGTTAAAATCTTACACAAACTCAAAGAAATATTAGCATCAGAGGGGCCCAACTATAAATCAGGCATGCTACAAATGTATATGATTTTGTTCAATTGATTTATATGTTAAGAGTTTAAGCATCCACTTATTGCAAGACAGATTTGTGTTATTGTTGGAGAGTTGACCTGTATGTTGATGAGCCACTGCTGTAGGTCCTCGATGCCCTTCTCCCCATCTGTGATCTTCCAGCAGGCCAGGTACAGGGAACGTTTGGACAGGAAGTACTGGTGGGTCGCATAGTACTCTCTCTGGAAGTACAACATGTGGCAAACTACATGATTGTAAAGTTCCATGATCGCCAAATTATGCCTTCTTTATGACTAAGGAATTTCGTCCCTTGTTGATAATGCAAATATGATCCTCATTTGCCTGAAATGTATCAGGAATTATATCATGAACAAGAAAGGTAACATTTGCAAAGCAAATGCATAATGTTTACTTTTGCATATGGTCTGCTCTGTCAATTCTTACTCACAAACACATTCAAATATGATGGTCAGACAGGAGTCTAAATCCCTCCTGGTATAAAATTGCAACATGATGTAATCGAATACTAGTTACCATGGTGACAGACATCTTGTTCAGGTCATTAATCTTTTGTGTTTGGAACGGAAGAAGAGGAACCAGAGCAAAAACATGCCTTCCTTTGGTAAACACAAATATATGTGTATATCATTTTCTGTACCTAAATAAAGTTTAAGGTCTGTTAATACATGGTTGCAAAGTGATTGGGATACCAGAGATGATGGCAGAGCTTATGTATTCAAGCAATTATCCTTCTACTTAGTCAATCCAGGACAATGCAATGTTATGACACGTTACCTGTCCTCCAAAGTCCCATGTGCTGAAGGTGACCTCCCCCAGCTCACAGGGTCTCTTCTTCACCTTCTTCACATACGTCCAGTCTGCTACGTCCACTCCTACGGTCGAGATGTTCTGACCCTTCCTGGTCTTCTGGTCATTCCTGAAGTAATTCATTCTACTGGCCCAACCCTGGGGAGGTAGGAAAGCATAAAAGAAAACTAAGAATTGAACAGATGCACAATGTTTTACAAAATACCTGATACTATATAGTAATCTATGTATAGTAGACATAGCAAAAAAAAATCCAGAACTAAACGATATTCCAACTCACCAATCCCATACTTTGCAAGACTCCTGAACAATTCGAATACTTCCTGATTGTGCAGCAAAGATGACTTTTTAAAATTTCAATTAAATGCTGTTTGTAAATATTGTTGTCAAAGGCTGTTTGTAAGTATGAGTATTTTTAGTGTAATCAAGAATTGTGATTTTAAGTATATGTAAAGGAGTATGTAATTCAGTCTGTGGACTGTGAAATGCTTCTCATTGTTTTGCTGCTACAAATAAACCATTCATTCATTCATTCAAAATTAAGTTGGGGAGGGGGGTATGGTAGATGATAACTGATCAGCACCAAGGACAGACCCATGTGCTGATTACGGGTGGGTAGGGTATGTGATAACAGATCAGCACCAAGGACAGAACCATGTCCTGATTAGGGGAGGGCAGGGTATGTGATAACAGATCAGCACCAAGGACAGAACCATGTCCTGATTAGGGGAGGGCAGGGTGTGTGATAACAGATCAGCACCAAGGACAGAACCATGTGCTGATTAGGGGTGGGCAGGGTGTGTGATAACAGATCAGCACCAAGGGCAGAACCATGTGCTGATTAGGGGTGGGCAGGGTGTGTGATAACAGATCAGCACCAAGGACAGAACCATGTACTGACTAGGGGTGGGCAGGATATGTGATAACAGATCAGCACAGAGGACAGACCCAAGTGCTGATTAGGGGTGGACAGGGTATGTGATAATAGATCAGCACCAAGGACAGAACTATTTTATGATTAGGGATGGGCAGAGTACATTATAACAGATCAGAATCACAGACAAACAGGTACCCATTATTGGTGATCAGCTAAAACTTGCCCACCTTAATTGCCATTTCTTGGTATGACCCAGTCCCTTCTCTCCTCATCTCATGTAACAGGGATGTTTTCCCCACACCCTGTAGGCCAACCAACATCAGCTTCATCCTGCAGTAGGGTCTGGACCTGGGGAAAGAACAGAAGGTCACATTTAAAATTTTATCAAACAAGGCCGGTCTTAGCACAGCTTTCCTGTGCAAAGCCACAAGAACAGTTTTTCAGAGGGGCAAGTCAGAGAATGCATGGACATGTATATGGAGCATTCAAATACCAAATGTGGGAAAGGCACAAAAAATCACTGTACAAGAGAACAGAGAAGGAAATCAGAGAATAAAGGAGAGTAAGACGTGAAAGAAATAGGACAAGGAAGAAGGGAAAATGAAACTAGAAAGGTAACATTTGCAAAGCAAATGCACAATGTTTACTTTAAATTTGCATATGGTCTACTCTGTTAATTCTTACTCAAACACATTCATATATATGGTCATACAGGAGTCTATATCCTTCCTGCTATAAAATTGCAACATGATGTAACCCAACACTAGTTGCCATGATAACAGACATCTGGTTCAGGTCATTGACTTTTTTGCTTTGGAGAAGAAGAGGAGGAAACGTAGCAAAAACAATATGTTTTCCTTCGGTAATGAAAAATACATTCCATGCATGTACTTACTGATCTAGGATGGACCTGAGGTAGCCAATAAGATGTCTGGTTGACCTAATCTGCAGACCCTGCAGTGGTTCCTCCAGTTCCATTCCATTAGCCCTGAAGTCCCACAGTTTCTCCAGCTTACCCAGCTCCATGGGCAGGGTTCTGTACAGGACAGAGTAAAGCACATGTTAATACAGAAATCCCACAGTTTCTTCAGCTTACCCAGCTCCATGGGCAGGGTTCTGTATAAGGAGAGTCATATGTCAGTGTACAAAATACTTTTTTTTGAACCAGGTTGCCCAGTGTGTCCAGTGTGCTGTAGGTTGCCAGTGGGCCTTTGACAATATTTCTAACAACCTTTAGTTAACTGATACTAGTAATAGCCATTAATACCTAAAATTAAAAAAGCATATGCCTCATACAGTGGTGTAAGCCAAGTGGGCATGATTTTGGGGAGGCATTCTTAAAATTCAGGTAGTACACTGGGCAACCAAGGTTCAAAAATAGGTTGCCCCAAGTAAAATTTGGAAACTGGGCAACCAGGTATTGTGCACGCTGTATTTAAAACATGCATTATAGTACTGTTCAAATTTGTTGCTCATGAACACGTGTATAACAGTTAGATAGGATCTTCAGAATCTTTAAAATCCCTAAATAAAATAGATTGGACCACAAAAGCTACATTTACTACGTCTATAACACACTTTTTCTAAACCAGGGAATATTTGCTTTGCTCCCTCACCATGCTAGTGATCTGCTCCATCATGCTAAATGTAGGAAATCCACTGTACACGTACTACATATTGGTACCAGTATGTCAACCAGAAGACAGCTACACTCCCACCTGATATCCTTGTTGTCACTGATATACAGCATGGTGAGGTCCTGGTACAGCCCCATGTCAGCAGGGATGACCTTGATCCTGTTATTACTGACATTCAGGGTGGACAGTTTGGGGTACAGCGGGTGGAGGTTGGTCAGCTGGTCCAGGGATGAGCTGGACGATTCAGACGTTCTCTTCCTCTGCGCACAGGGCCATGAAAACAAGTCTCAATCATCAAAAGAAAGGGAAAATCATGGACACGAAAAATCATTAACCATCAGCACACTAAGGTAGCTGTTTGGCACAAAACTTATATTTGTCACGTGGATACATGTAGGTAGCAGTAAGAAGCTTAGTTCGCCTTGGCTTCACATTCACATTAGTAGTAATATTTAGTACTACTAGATACTGCTTTTTCATCTCATAACATCTTTTTCATATTTAGCCTGGGTGTCATACCGATTTCCTGTGGGCTTCTTGAAACTCTCAGACCTAAAAATACTTTTTTTTAGAAAGTCACAATTTGAATGGCACACAGGCTTGTTCATAGTTGATCTGCCATAAATTATACGTCTTGTAAAATGAAATTCACTTCCCTCCCTTGTTCTCTAATTGAAAAAAGAAGTCTTATCAAAAATTATTTGCAAGCAGAAGTTTTAATAAGACACATTCTACAGAAAGACACAATTTTCTGCTAACCTTGCGTTGTGCTGGATCTCCGGTACTGTGAGATTTACTGGTTATCCCCTCTGCATCCGACAGACTGGGAGGTCTGGACTCCTCCAGACTGTACACCAACTCTAGACTCTCTATCTGGTTATCAGACAGGTCTAGGATCTTCAGGCTGGGCAGGATACTGTGTCTCCTGTAAGTGTGGTAGTAAAATCTTTAATATTTTTATTACATTTGAATATACATCACATAAGCTACTAATGGTATTTATAAATGAGAAAATGTCCTACTATATATCTATTTAATAAAATATCATAGTCTTCTATCAACATTCAAAATTGTTAAGTTCAGGTCAAGAATTAATATTGTTTCTAACATACTCAACCATTTATTCAGCCATCACTTCTTTTTTTAGAGTGCTATCAACATCTCTCAAGATGGAAGAATGCCTACTACCACTTGTTTTTTTATGACAAACTGAAAGGGACAATTGAAAAAAAAGTATACACATTGACAAAAGGCTAATTTAAAGGGATATGTTAACAAGTATGAATTTAAAAAACAAGAAAACATGTGTTTACCTGTGGTGACACAATGACAGGAGGCTGAGAAAGGAAATCTGGGACAGAACAGACTCTGATCTGCTGATCCTGATATCTGCGATAGAGGCACCACTGACAGAGGTCCTCAGGCTAGATGCATAGGGACTGTAGCAACAACTCTCCGAGTCCTGCCTACTCAATCTCTTACTGTCCTCTATCTTGTTGTACTGCAACAGGAGTTTGGTCAAACCCTTTGGGTAGGCATTGGGTGGACCTGTATCACTTATGGTGTTGTGAGAGAGGTCTAGCTTTGATAATCTCGGTGCCAAACATGGTAGCCCAGTGGGTACTGCAGTCAACTTGTTCCATGCGAGGTTCAGAAAATCCAGAGCAGAAGTGGAGGCTGAATCGTCGTCTACTTCTGAGGCGAACTCCTCTGTAAGGATGCTGGTTGCTACATCTTTCTCCCAGATGTTGATTCGGTTGAGTTTTCTTCTCTTGCAGTTTGGGTTTGTGGGTTTCCACGGCTGGACTAGGTTGTTTGTAGACTCCCGGCGCTGTAAGGGTGAGGTCTCTGTCTTTGCGTCTGAGCTTGCATCCGGTTCTCTCTCACCATCTGACCCATTGGGAGTGTGGAAGCTCTCGTTGGATTCTTTACTTGAGTTTGTCTCTGTTCGTTGTCTGTCTTCCTCCGTGTGCGTAGTCTGGACAACACATTCACTCTCTGACTCTGGTCTGCTAGGAAGCTCTTCCAGCAAGTTCACTGATATGTCAAGGTAGGTCAGCTTCTGAGATGTCCACATGCTGAAGGGTAGAGTCTTCAGCCTGTTGTTGGACAGGTTTAGAATTTCCAGTGCAGGAAGCTGGAAAATCCATGTAGGTATGGCACTGAGCCTGTTACCGGATATGTCCACTTCTTTCAAAGAAGGGCTATTGAAGGAGTCGTCGTCTTTAAACTCAGGTAGGCTGGAGATACAGTTGTTACAGGAGTTGAGGTGTTGTAGAGAGTCCATGTCGACGAAGATCTCTTTTGGCAGCTGCACGATTTGGTTGTCCGACACGTCAATTTTCGTGATACACACCAGGGCTGACTTTGATGGCACCAGCGAGTGGTTTAGATGGACGCAGGCTTCTATGAACCACTCGATGTTCAACTTCTGTAGATTTCTCCAGCACCAGTTGACTCGCACTGCTTTGTTTCTTGTTGACGTTCTAGCTAGCGTACCTGTACCTAGGTTCCCTGACGCCATGGTGCCGTCACTGCTTAGAAGAGTTGTAAGACTATCCATGCTCTTCACATTGTCCTCTTCGACGCTACACGACCGCTCAAGGAAGAGCTGCAACCTTCTGTTAATCTTGCTCTCCAAGTCTACAGCTACTCCTGAACAGGAGAGGAGTAAGCCAGCAATATCTGTGTGGCCGTTAGTCAGAGCAGACTGCAAAGCAGCGTCTCTCGTGTCTTTGGCACCGTACTTCAGGAGAGTCGCTACAATGTCTTTGCTTCCGCTCGAGGCAGCTTCTGCTAGGGCAGTCATGTTTGCCGCCGTCCCTTCGAAAGAACTGTTGGAATCCAAACTGTTGTATGGTGAAGACCCAGAGACTACCTTTTTTGCGGGTAGGTCTGGGTTTGCTCCATGTTGGAGTAGCAGTGTCACAATTGCGAGGTCCCTGTTTTTCACTGCATCGTGAAGCGGCGTTCTACCTAGTACAGAATATGTGTCTACAGTGATACGTTGTGCCAAATCTTCTAGAGGACTGCGTGGACTTGCAGGGTTACCTTCTGTAACACTGGCTGTGTTAGATCGAGCTGACCACTGCAGTAATGCTTCTACAACAGAGACTCTACTTTCTAGTACAGCCAGGTGTAGAGAAGAGTGCCAGTTTAGGTCCAGGGCATTGATGTCAAATGTGGCAGTGTCCTGGTTGCTTTGAGATTGAGAATTCACACTTGCAGGATCTTTTACATCCTGTAAAAAAATCAAAATCAATTCAATCATAGTTAAGCCTTCAGATTGAAGGATAAATTCTTGAGTGCTTGCAAAAAATGCTGAGATTCAAGAGAGAAAAATTATACAGTAAGCAAATACAACAGTTACTATTCTACAGTAGCTGATAGTCAGTATTTGACACAACTTTCTTTCATTTCCAAAGCTTGGTTAATCATTAGAACTGTGTTACAGTACTATTTCTACAGCTGATGACTTGACACATCTGTAACCCACCAGTGTATTCAGCAGTACATTGACGATGTCCAGATGTCCCTGTGAGGCAGCCACATGGATGGGCAGCTGGAGGGACTGACTGGAGTCCATTCCAGCAAACTGGGGCAGGTGCTGTGTTTAAATATGATATAAATATTATAATTTTTAGGCTTTCAAATTATAAAGGCCGATTAGAGCCTTTACATCTACAACTTACAATTTTGTATCAATAACAACTCTCCATTCAAAGCATTCAGCTTCTAACATTTGTAAGAAACATAATAAAATATAGTGTAATTTTGAGTTTCCAGTGTCAGTTGAAAAAAAATACCTTGTAGATTAAGTGGCTTCAATACAGCATTCACAGACTGGGTCTTCTTAAAAATGCAAACTGGCTTTTAAATCTTTCTTAACAGCAAAACAACAGTTACTTGCTTTTAAATCATTAAACGAGTTAAGTAGGAATTTATATGTAATAATTTTATAGCCTATTTTTCTTCATGTAGCCCATTCCTGACCTGTAGCAGTAGTATTGCTATGTTGACCTGTCCAGTCCAGCATGCTGCATGTAGTGGTGTGAGTCCTGTACCAACATTAGGTACAGCCTCAGCTCCACTGTTCAACAGGAGATGTACTACAGACTCATGGCCCAACTGGGAGGCCCTGTAACAGATACATTGTACATAATGTATACATTTAATGCAATGTAATATGTAACATCTGAATCAAAGTTGTAGCTGTGAGTGGAATTTTGGAATTTTTTTTGTGTTGGAACTTACAGTTCAAGTTTGATTGAGAATATCCTCTACTAACAAAATGAACTTTTAAGCTACTAGTATGTAAAATTTAGTAGCCACAAAAGCGAAGCATTTGATGAACATGAAGAGGTAGTGTTGTCTTAAGTTTTTTACTTGACATATCTGAGCTTACCTGTACAGAAGGGTACTGCCACCATTGTAAGCAGCATTGATGACTTCTCTGTCTAACTGTGAGATGAGTTCAGCAGCCTTGTCTGCTCTCCCTTCCACACATGCCTGGTACAGGTCTGGGGTTGTAATATACAGTACAGTTATCTTCTGTTCTGTATCTATATAGCCAGTATAAGTGCTCTTATGCATAAAAAAACAACTGTACTGTTGTTCATGTACTAGTAATTCTTTACAGTTGTATTACTGAACAAAATGACTTTGCCATGTGAAAGCAAAATAAGTAGCCAAAGCACACTTCACTTTTGAATCATTGGAAGGTGGGAAAAGGACATTATCAAAAAAAGTCTGTTGACTAGGAAGTATAACCTACACATACCTGCTGTAATGATTTCCTTAATCTTTCTTTGTGCCTCTGAAAAACAGAACAACAAAAATTACGTAAAAAGAATCATCCAAGAAGTCAACTTTTTAAAATGGGATAACTACTGATGACTGAATACTTCATAATAAAAACCACTAACCCTTCTCCATCTGTAGTATATCCAGTATTTTCCTGTTGCCAAGAGCAGTTGCCAGGTGGTAGGCAGTCTTCCCCTCCCCATCCTTAACTTCCAGTGACGCCCCTCCATCCACTAACACCTTCACACACTCTACCTTACTCTGGGACACTGCATGGTGCAGGGGGGTCTGTATATATATGGATCACAGATTAGTCAATTTTTACATCTTTTCAAAATATACTTTCTAATACTTTATCTTTATCTAAAATACATTAACCGCATCTTCCTCTTGAAATATATATGACACTGCCAACTAATATGTTTCATATTTTAAATATGATGCATATTATGTGATTTTTCATAAGGACATTGAAATGATATGGAAATCATTATCTATAGCCATATACAACAAGATAGCTTGACATATATAATATATATCATGTCTAATATAATTATGCTACTGCCTACTGACACAATTTAAGTAACTGCTGGCAAAATAATAAGAATGTTTCTTACCCTACAGTTGTCCCTCATACCAGAAGCAATCCCTGGATCAGCTGAAACACACAAAAACATTTCAGCCCTTGAGCAACCCTTCCTTATAGTTATACTTAATTCAGACAACGAATTTTTTGTTCTTGCAAAGTACATAAAGATCACAATTACTATTAGCCTGGGTAATAGTAGTCTCTGTACACTGCTAGCTCTCTCTTTAATTATGTGGTTATAGTCAGCAAAAAAGCCAGCAGTAACTACAGAAGGATGGCACACATGCTATAATACACACACACTAAAGGCATAGGAAAAAATGCTGTGCTTCCTGTTTCCCGACCGACCCTAGAAAAAACTGCCATCTTGTACAAAAAAGTACAAGATAATTCCTACCTACCAACTGTAATTTTTTAGGACTGTAACAGGAAAAACATTTTTTTTCCTTGGCCTAACACTGATCTGTACTGCCTGTACCTCCAGCCTGTAGTAACATCTGTAGACTCTCCCTGCTGTCCCCTGCCACAGCTGAGTGCAGTGCTGTCTGTCCGGAGCTGTTGGCTGCGTTGATATGCAGCCTCTCTGAGCTGTCCAGCAGCTCCTGTAACAGCTCCACATTGTCGTAGAAGGCAGCCTGGTGCAGCAGCTGGCCAGGGTAGTCCTCCTCAAAGTCTGTCATTGTTTGGCACTATGGACAGAAATCAAGCTGTTATACAGCTGCACTTATAGTTATAGAGGGTCTGCATGCCCTTTTTTGTAAGGCGTAATCGGGTCTTTTATTCTAGTCGTTGAGTCGTCTACTAGTAGAAGTTGTAATTCAAATTCAGTACTAGCCGCAATGCATAATTGTTCATAATCTGCTCTGAAAATCAGCCACGAAAATTTTGCATAATTCATAACCACTAACCCCCATGCAGGCCCTCTGAGTCTTTTGTACTGTTTTCCAACTGACAGGCTTCTCTGAAGGCTGTCTACCTATAGACTCTACCAGGCTTTAGAGCTGGCTGGCAAGAGTTGAAATTGGCCAAATAGTCAGATAATACCACAGGAGTTAGTCTGCTATTAAAGGAGTACTGTTTGCTGCTTGGAACAGCAACCAATGACTTTTTAGCAGACTAACTCCCCTACATGTAGATATCCTTCTCTTTGACTAGTTTCGACTCTTTTCTTTTTCAGATTGTTCTAAAGCCTAGTAGAGGCCAACCCAACAGTCCCAGCTGTCACAAAAACCCAGCAGTCTGAAAACAATATGGTACTACAGGTTTCCAGTCCTAACATATGGTTGAAGATAATTCTCTTTTTCTGTTGTATTATAACCATCCACCTCAAGGTACTGAACACTATGTTTTTGCTCACCTAGACCAAGGAGTGGTTGTATTCAGTATAACACTCTTGCCTTAAAAATGGCCTAATCTAAGCTAACGCAAATTATTGCAACGATCATGGATTATGGGGGAGGGGGGCAGACGAGTACCAATCTTTTTAGATAATTCGTGTATTCTGGACATTGTGGTCTTGTCTTTACATGATTAATTCCTGCAGTTTCTTACAATCACTCCGCTGTTTCTCCGCTAATTTCTGTTCACAAAACCCCTCCCTGGAGAATGATTTCGTCATAGTTGTCTCACCGGTACAGAATATCGGACCCGCCCTTCCCGCCAGACTAACAGGTTTTACGGGATGGTAGTAGCTATAGAACGTATATAAGGAATATAAATAGAGATAGACCACCTTGAATATACTGCTGGCGTCATATCACAGCTTGTGCGTGCCATACTACGGAGATATGTGAGATTTTGCGTAGCAGATCGGCAAAGTTTCCTCTGTCGTAGTGTTTTTCGGCCATTTTGGACTTACGGAAGAAACCATTGAAACATGGAGGTAACGTTACTAAGGAAATTAAACATACCGAATAATGAATGGTGTGATACATTGCAAATTACATAACTATTTATATAAATGAATGGTTTTGAACGAAGTTATGGAAAACTTGTTCCAAGATATGATTTTTTTTTATTAGAAGAAAATCTTAAAGAATGTATTTGGACCCCTACACCCAGTGGAGTATTTGCTAAAATGTGATTGGCGAACATAGCGCGGGAACACTTAACTATAACATCCCTGGTTAGTAACAACGCCTCCTACCGGAAAGCAATATCGTCTACACCCAATATGCGATAACTTAAAAGTACGTGACTGTATTTTAGCCTCCTTCTCAGACATGTGGGACATTATATACTAGTAGTAAGCTCTGACAGGCCTCAGCGGCTGGAAAGAGTGAAATTGGTAGTTGATCCGCTTTTAAAAGGCGTACCGCTTTTCGTTCTTCTCTGAAGCTGGGAGAGGGTCCATTTAGAATTGAAGGGATGCGTAATTTTTCGACTCATTTCCACACCGAAGACAGGCAGATTTACGATGTGTATAACATTTGGCTAAAATCATGTTTTGCGAAATTATGAAAATATTGGAAGGAATCCTGTATCCATGCTGGAAAAAATTCTTCTTGGCACAAATTTATCCCTTGCCTTCATGACGACCCCCCCCTCGTAAATATCGTACAGTCCCCAATGTTATTGAGAGCGTTATAAAAGCTCCTTCACTGAGACTGCTAACTTTGGATCGGTGCCAAAATGACCCAGCAGCCACTCGTATGCAAATGTTTATAAAGTAAAAAGCGGAACGGGCCGCCTAGCCATTTTTCTTCCGTCCCCTGTGAAAGCGGGCCAACATGAGCAGGAGATCGTCTGCACCAAATGAAAAAGAAGGCTTGCACGTTGCCGACTTCGTTAGAGAAACGAAGGATTTCTCGTCGGAGAATAGGCGATCGTCAGCCCTTATCTCCCAAGTGTTAGACAAGTTATATGCAGAGCGAACTAGGCTCTCTGAATTTGAGAACAAGTGCCCGAACCTATCAGAATGGGATGGCTTATCTGCTCTGAAAGGAGTCAACCTCAGTCTACGGGAAAAGTGCCAATCCTGTGCCGAGGAAGTAAGGTATGAAATTCCCTTTGTAATCACATCTTCATTTTACCGCTTAAAATCATTAAAGCATGCTGTAGCCATAGTTTTTAGCCATTTGTATTTTAAACATAAACATAATGAACTACATGTAGGTATTCCTAAGTATCAATGGAAATGTTTCGTTTTTTTTTTTTGCAAGGCACTCTAAGCTCTCGAATCTCATATCGAAAACTGAATTCGGAAATGAAATGAAAATTCGATCTCTGTTGTTGGTTTGGAAAGATGATAGGGGGTTCTTTCACGCAACAAGTATCACTCTTTTAGTGTGTTCCAAGCCAAAGATAGAGTGAATGTAGCATGGGAGCCAGACAGTTTCCAGAGCCTACACAAGCCATGCACTTTCTTGGCTCTAGGGATAACATGCCCCTAAGGAAATTATACCACAGCCAACCCCCTCCACCTCCACCCCACCCCTCAGTTAGGCCCTGATTCACAGTCTGATGTAATGAGATAGACATGTCAGTCACTTAGTAGTTGCGCGTAGAATAACCCTGGACCTAGGGTCTACAATCAAGGCCAGAGTGAATGGAAAGCAATTTTTGTCTCCACTACCAATTCAACTATATCGTAGTATATTCTATACAGTAATACATATTGCTGAAGCAGAATTTATGTTTACCAGGAGGAATGCAGAGAAACAGAAGGAAGATTATCGCTTCATCTGGGAAACCATCGTCGCTACTAAGCAAAGTGTACAAGACTTCCTACGCAAGCTAGGCTTGGGCCAGTACACCACAGCCTTCACTGGGCTCGATTACGAGGAGGTCGAGGACTTGCTGGATGCTGACATAAAGAAAGGTAGATATATGAATTGTGATGTATAAATATTCAACTAGTTAAAGAGTAACAATTCTAACTATACCATATATACAATGTACTCGACAGCAACAAATATTTCTATTAATGTCAGTCACTTAGTAGTATTGTAATGTAAAGATTCCTAGCACTTTGCATTAGAATACAGCGTTCCAGTATAAAATACTCATGTTTTGCATACTACATATCCTCTTGTGCATTTAGCCCATCTGGGCAAGAACATGCAATAAAAGATTCATTCATTCATTTGGAGAAAAATCAGATTATACAAGTATGACAAACATGACTATATGTTGTTGTGAATTTGACATTTCTGACAAGCATTTAAAAAAATAGACATCAATGTTTTACTAAAGGCCCTAATATACGTGGCTTTTTACAGATAAAGATCTTGATGGCGGTCGCTGTTGGGTGGTACTTCACGATGATGAGGGACTCGTAATGGTTCGGCGTCACCGGACGACTCTAAAACGCGAAATCGATAACATTCGTAAGTTGTTTCTACCAGTTCTTTAATCATGCATATTGATGTGGAAGGTTGATACTAGTATTCCACCAGTACATAGTTTTAAATTTCAAAAATCCTGCTCAGCCAAGAAATAATGCCATGTGCTTCGAATTCATTTGGGCTAAGGAGTGTGTATTGTCTCAATAGGCCCCAAACCCCTGTGGACGGGACTAATTACTCAGGTTCTTGCTGTATTAGAATTCGAAGTCTTTTAGGTCATGATAGTACATGGCTGCCAACCATTCTATAATGTGCCCTTTTAAACACTATTTGCCTTGTGCATTGCACTAGCTTGTTTAATTACAAGCTCGTGTACAAAGTTTTCCTCCACAACTCCCAGCGCTGTGCAGATTTCTTTGTAAATCATATTATTGCACATGAGCATTCGGTTGCGAAAATAGGTGGTGCTTGTTACCCCAAGAGTCCCTTATAAATATATACTTAAACGAAACTGTCATAGCGTTGACCAAATATCTTAGCATATTAGCATTAATTTTTACTTAACAAGTTACTATTCTACCGCCCCGTCAGGTGAACGAGTGGCGAACATCCCTCATCGCATGGAAAGCATCATCAACAGTGCAAGTGAGGCAGCCAGAACGAGCAACCGGTTCTGTCAGGCTTGTGAGGATTCGATTGAACGTGCAAGACCGCCCAAATCCGAGGCTAGAACAGCCGCTCGAGAGGCACGTCAAAGGCCAGGAAACACAGATCACTCTTCTCCATCCACGGCGGCATCTATTGTAAGAGGGGCAGGAATAGTATTAGCTGCCACCACAGCAGGTCTAAGTGGAGGCTTGAGTTTAATGCTCGCTGGTCTTGCTCATGGAGCAACTGGCGTTGCTGCTATTGCCTCTGTTTATGGAGCAGCGGGGGTAGGGATGGCTGCCATGAAGGCAAGGGAAGACAACGACCGAGCGTCTTCATCAACTTCAGCTTTATCCATTCCAGCCAACCTTGCAGAAGTGACATCGGGTATGTATAACTTCATTTATTATAAGAAATCAGATATTTCCGGGATGTGTTTGGGGATTTTGTGACTGTATTGGAACTGTGGAAGGCATTGCATGATATACATTTCACCCACCATGCAACCGACACTATTAAGTATGATCATTGGGTAATACTCCTGGATGAATTATGTCATAGAATACATGGATACTTGCTAGAAAGTTACATCATCTTCCCAGGTCTGGAACTCAAACATTAAATTCAAAACCACCATAAATTAGCGCCGCCCAAAACAAGATTTCAAGTAACTAGACTCAACACAAGGTGTTTTTAAAAACAAATTTGTTGAGCAATCTTAAGACCGATTCAATTACATCGTCGTGTAGGCAGATTAATAAAAAAAAACTTTCAAAAGATTACTTAAGACTCGTGTAACTAGACAGTAAATTGCATTCTATATAATTGTCCTGCAGACATTTCTAGCGACACATTTGAAGAAAAGGTGACGGAAGACTTGAATGATCACCAAAGAAAGATGGGCGAGAAGGTTCAGGAGCTTCAGACGGAATGGCTCAACAAAATCTACACATGCGTGACTAAGATGGAAAGTACTAATGCTGCCGTAAAGCACAAGCTGGTTGCCCTTCCATCGTCTGCAGATGAAGTGAAAAGTATTCAGTCAAACATTGATTCCATTTTTGAAAATCTTGAGACTGTAAGCCCAACCACTAATGGCATGAAGTACGAGACAAACAGTGCTTTTCGGGACAAGGGTGAGAGCAACACATATTGTCCAATTTGTGAAACCAGTCCGTGTCTTTCCCTCACCTACATGAAGCTGTTTGTGTTGGACCAAAAGTCTTAACTTTAAACAGAAGGCCCATTTTGTTGCCATTTTGTTTGTCATTATGACCACGATAACTCAGAAAATGTGGATTGTCTTCATTTTTATGGTAGGTGTTGGCATGGGGAAACAGGTGTTATACATTATCCATGCTGTTGAAGTGAAGTCGGGACATGGGGTAGTTTTCATTGGAATTAACTATGACTAATTGGAATCCACTTTTTTTTCAATTACCCTCATGGAAAATCCTATAATCAATAATTAAGAGCTTTATACTAATGTATTATGTAATCCAGTGGGTGAAAAGTAATTTAGAATACAAATAGTGGCATGATAATTTATAATTGATAAATCTAAAATCCAATCTTGCATTGTTTACATCATGGTTCGCAACATAAAAGACATTATTGTTTCCTTTGTTTCGTATCCCGAACGCCCTTTTAATATAGGGGTGCTTCTGAAATATTACATTGACCACGAAAACAGCTACGGTAAAAACAAAAACACATGCATCATCACGGGCATACCTGCAGACGACGTATAAAATTACATGCCAATTAAACAAAGGGGCCCGTGTGTTTTAACTGCGAGCGCGAAGTCCGACTGACCACTCCCGCTTTCACGGAAAACAACTCAAAACTACGAAATTTTTCAGCCCAGTGCCAGTGATATCTGACTCATGTTTACACCATGCTTTGCAACAGGACCTTATTGTTCTCTTTGTTTCGTATCCAATCAATAATACCTACAACATCAAACGTGAAAGACTTTCCCATGTGCCCAAGAATGAGCCATATACCCATAGCATAGTAAGAAAAAAACAAACTCTAACCGTTCACACTAAAAAAATGGATTCGGATTGACCGCCTATCCAAATCCACAATATGGAAATTAAAAAAAAAAATCAGTCAAGTCAAGTCAATCCGGATCGGTTTTTGCAGTGTGAACGCTCCAATTGGGATTGATTTTCTCCGATCCCGATCCAAAAGTAATTCACCTTAAGGGTCGTGTGGCGTAAATGGTAGCGTGTTCTTTGGTTCAAAATCTTACTCTCTCACCGTTCTTGCGCCCTTTATGTACTTAACGTGACTTTCCTCACTTCACTCAGGTAGAAATGAGTACCTTAAAAAAGGCTTCGGTTAGGGACGTCCCTCGGATAGGACGTTAAATGGAAGTCCCCAGTTATGCGAAACAAACAAGAGGACGCCACATACCACCCGTATGAGTCATGCTGACAGTTCCTCAAAAGGTCAGGTTAAGGTCGGACAGGTAACGCTTAAAATGTGTCAATAACAGGATCTATTGTTTACGTGTACATTGTTTTTAAGATTTAACTAAAATACAGCTGCAAGTCGGTGTGTCATTGTGTGTCGAATCCTGCCCCATCTCACATTGGGAAAGACACTTTCACCCTTGAAGGAAAAATTGAAAAATTCGACATATTACCCGCAATCCTTACTGACCATCAAACTATATTTCTAAAACTGAAGTTCCAAAGCTACATGATAGAGACCCTGGAATATTTAAACTTCGTGTGGATTTATTGAGAGACAGGGAATACTCAACAGTGAGATAATTCAAAAGGAGAACAGCAAAAACACCACATCAAAGAGAAAAAAACTTGATATATGTATGATCCAAATAGCTAACTTTTCTAAGCAGTATAGAGCTAAGAAATCTAAGCCAGAGAAAGCAAAGAAAATGTTGAAATGCTTGAGAACCTCTCTCCAATGCAATTGATACTTTTAACCCATCTAACAGTCAGATACTAAACTATAAGCAGGCAAAATCTAATCTAGAAGACCTCTATAAGAAAAAAGCACGTGGTGCTTGTATAAGAGATAGATTATGTAGTCAATGATTGTTACCCCATCAAATGATTATTTTCTTGTGAAAGGAAAAAAAAGACAAGATTAAAAGAGATGTCATTAGTCAACCTATTGAATTGGGTGGCCTAGGCCTGATAAATCTAGAATATCAGACACAATCCCTACTTGCACCTTGGGTACAAAGACTGGTAACAAATAACAATGCCAGATGGAAAACAATAGCTTTAACATAAATAAATTCCTATGGTCTAGAAAACCCCTTACTTCATGTGAATTTCTCCTTTGAAAAGGATGGACCAGACATGAGTAAACTCCCCATATTTTACAGCAGGTAATACTATCCTTCCGAATTCCACTCAGCTGGTGGAGGTGGGGAAAAAGAAACCCTTGAATGTTAATGAAATAATGCAGGAAATTACTTGGTGCAACAAATATGTACGGTAACAAATACCTTTTCCTCTTTGGCAAGTTCATTTCTCTAAACCACTACCCTACACTAACACTCGGCACAAGACCTAATGGTATCATTGAATATGTGACACTTTTTCAAGCTATACCTCTTACATGGAAGAAGCTTATTACGAATCATAAAGGCCCCTCCCCTTATCCCTTTCACCTCATTACCCTTACCCCCCCCCCCCCTATATTTGATGGCAAAACAAGACAACAAATCAAATCCAGCAATTTCTGCAAAAATTCCTGTATAGTATAATTATACAAACACATAGCAAGGTGCCCACTGGTGCAAAAAATGGCAATCTCATTCTGTAACCTTTACATGAAAAGACACTACGTTAGCAGAGTTAAACTACAAATTGTTACATCGGATTTTGCCATCGGATTCAACCTTCACAAATGGCGTATCAAAGATGATAATGGGCAAATATTTGATTCAACATATACTTTATGTAACAGTGGAGCTGCTGAAGACTATGACCACACGTTCCTTTAATACATGCAAAAGACTAGGTAATTTTTGGGACTTAGTAAATAACATTTGTGGACAGGGGGCCTTGAAAAGGCACCGCCTGTTCCCCCTGTCCTGCCCTTGTGGCAAAGTTGAAATAAATAAATAAATAAATAAATAAACATTATACCTATCCCTGACACAAAAATTACCTACCAGGAGATTGTATTTTGAAACATAAATCAGTCACTAATCTCTCATGACTTGAAGAAAGGAACCTTTACAATTACCGTAACCAAATGGACTATGGCCAAGGAAAAACCCACGCCTGTATATCACAGACCTGTTTAGAATCTTTGAAATGGACCTTGATAACAGAATCCACACCCCCTATTCTAAGAACATTTCCTTTATTGTATTTAGAACTACATTTTTTGTTATTGTTCTATTTAAGTCTGTCCCTTGAATTTTTTGTATAGAGGTGTTTAAATTTAGGTTAATGTTCTTTTTTTACAGGTGCAGTACATTGTATAAGCTAGGTGGTTCCACTATGCACTGTAGCCTTGAAGTGTTACTAGTTCACTGTATAATGAATCTAGTTGGTACCGGTTGACTGTTTACTGAAGCTAGGTGGTACTGGTTCACTGTACTAAAGCTAGGTGTGTTATTGGTTCACTGTGTACTGAAGCTAGGTGTTACTGGTTCACTGTGTACTAAGCTAGGTGTGTTATTGGTTCACTGTGTACTGAAGCTAGGTGGTACTGGTTCACTGTGTATTAAAGCTATGTGTTACTGATGTTGAGACGATTTTACGACCATATAATGACACTAGCTAGATATAGATATACAGGTATCATCTTTGTAGTTTTATTTGGAGAGATATTGTTTTGTTATTGTTACTTGAATGAGTATTAAACACAAAGTTTCATCGAGTCTATTTGTCATTGTGTCTTTTCTATGAAGGATCAGTTACCCCAAAAACGTATTACATGAACAATAGTAAAAAAAACAAAGCCAAGTTCAAGTAATATCTGGCTTATATTCTTTATGGTTCGTAACATTATAACATTTTTGTTCCGTTTGTTTCGTGTCCAAGCAATAATAGACTACCTACAACATCAAAAGTGAAAGACTTTCTAGGTACCAAAGGATGAGACCGGACCGGACCGGTTATGAAGAGTTTCAACCCCACCTTTTGGGCACAGGCCTTTCCTCTGACAGTCGATATATCTAGCTTTATTGAAACTCGCAGTGTGCCCTGGGCGGGAGTCTGGACAGGACGGGACGGCCCCGTAAAGATAGACGGTCTGTTTACCAAACTAAGTAAATTCGAGTGTTGTTCAAGATACCAGGTAACATTCAAGTCGGAATTACACCTGTTTTCAAAAATATTGTAAGCGAACAATTCTTCCTTTATGCATATGTAACGTAGCCTCGGTACCATCCTATTTGTATGCCGGGTCTCCCATACTCCCACCTAAGAAATTTCTTAGGGGGGAGTATGGGAGCCCCGGCATACAAATAGGATGGCACCAGGTAACTGACCATCTCCAGTATGTCCACAGGAGTCAAGGCAACAGCACGCAACACCTGTATTCAGTCATGCTGACATTTTCTCAAAAGGACAGGTTAAAGTAAGTAACGCTGAAAAGGTGTCAATAGCAAGATCTATTGTTTACAGGTACACTGTTTTTAAGATTTACAGCTGCAAGCAAGTCGGTGTGTCATTGTGCGTCGAATCCTGCCCGATCTCACCGACCTTGGTCCCCTGGAAAAGGCACTTAACTAGATTTTCCTCACTTCACTCAGGTGGAAATGAGTACCTAGGCTTCGGTTAGGGACGTCCCTCGGATAGGACGTTAAATGGAAGTCCCCAGTTATGCGAAACAAACAACAGGACGCCACATACAACCCGTATGAGTCATGCTGACAGTTTCTCAAAGGTCAGGTTAAGGTCGGACAGGTAACGCTTAAAAGGTGTCAATAACAGGATCTGTTGTTTACGTGTACATTGTTTTTAAGATTTAACTAAAATACAGCTGCAAGTCGGTGTGTCATTGTGTGTCGAATCCTGCCCGATCTCACTGTTCGTGTGCCCTTGGGCAAGGCACTTTACACGACTTTTCTCACTTCACTCAGGTTGAAATGAGAACCTAGCTTCGGTTAGGGACGTCCCTCGGTTAGGATGCTAAATGAAGATCCCGTGCATGGGGAGAGCCACACCCCACGCACGTTAAAGACATTTATCGAAAAGAGGTCCTTCCCGATGTGAGTGGTTCAAAAGTGATCCGGTCTTACCCAGCTTGTATTTGCATGTACAAATATGGTGTGTTACGCCTATGGTTACCAGTTATGCGAAACAAACAACAAGACGCCACATACCACCTGCATGAGTCATGCTGACAGTTCCTCAAAAGGTCAGGTTAAAGTCGGGCAGGTAACGCTTAGCAGCTGTATGAAGGTGTCGATAACAAGGTCTGTTGTATATACTAAGTTTTGATGTTGAGATGATTCCATGTTTTAAAGTCCATCTTGAACGATTTTACGATCATAGATATAATGATACTAGATATAGATATAGATCTCGAGGTTTCATCTTTGTAGTTTTATTTGGAGAGATATTTTTTTGTTATTTTTACTTGAATGACTATTAAACACAAAGATTCATCGAGTCTATTTGTCATTGTGTCTTTTCTATGAAGGATCAGTTACCCCAAAAAACGTATTTCATGAACAATAATTATAAAAAACAAAGTTCAAGTAATATCTGCCTTATTTTTTTATGGTTCGTAACATAAAAACATTTTTGTTCCGTTTGTTTCGTGTCCAAGCAATGATAGACTACCTACAACATCAAAAGTGAAAGACTTTCTAGGTGCCAAAGGATGAGCCAGGAGGATAACAACAACATGGAAAGAAAAAAACTCTAAGTTCCTTGGTCATGATGAGTCATGCCAATAATACAGAGAGTGAAAGCAGAATATAACACGTGTGTTCAAATTTGAATCCTGGATACATATAAGTCATACCTCACGGTAAAAGCAGATAGATAAAATGTGTCCAAGAAAGTTTAAAAGAAAGTTTTCAATTGTAAATTAGGAAATTTTTTCAACTTTTCTGTTTTGAAAAGTGTGAATAAAACGCCACATCATTTTACATGTAAATAGTCATATTCTAATGTGCAGTGATATTCAATTGTGTGTATTTAACCCTATCTAGACGGGGGGGGGGTTAAGTGCCCCGCGCCAACTTTGATGCCACATAGCGTCTGAACGGCTAGCGCTAGTACGGCCGAACGTGGTGACTTTTCCTAGAATATTGTTGGCAACAATTCTGTATCATTGGAATAAGATAATAAATTTTTGTGTTGCCATGCCAACGGGGTTGTGACAGGCATTTTTTGCTACATTCAGTAATTTTCGTTTCAACAATAGAATTTTATGGGTTTTATGTCAAGTTATACATGGTTTCTAATATTAATAACATCCCAGAAAATTTTATGTAAATTTTATAATTAAAAATGCATAATTTGTGCTAATTTGATAACGTCATTGGCCAAAATCCAAGATGGCGGTCAAATGAGCCCCTCCCCCCGGTCCCACCAAGCCCAAAAAGCACGGTCTAGATAGGGTTAAAAGTTTTTCTTCTGTATTTCTTCTTTCTTTTTCCATCAAAGTAAACTTTAGCCTGGTTGCCATTCTCTACGGACGGACGGGTAATGAAGAGTTTCAGTCCCACTTTTTTGAGCACAGGCCTTTCCTCTAGCTTAATTAAAACCCGTTGGTTCCAAGGCTATATGTAACGGACCATCCCCAGTATGTTTTTGATTGTTTGCATGGATGGCTGTTAAAAAGTTTGAAGCACAAGAGTCAAGGCATCAGCACGCAACATAACACCTGTGTTCAGTCATGCTAACATTTTCTCAAAAGGTCATGTCAATAGCAAGATCTATTGTTTACAGGTATACTGTTTTTAAGATTTACAGCTGTAAGCAAGTCGGTGTTATTGTGCGTCGAATCCTGCCCGTTCTCACCGATCTCAGTCCCCTGGGAAGGCACTTAACAAGACTTTCCTCACTTCCTCAGGTGGAAATGGGTACCTAGCTTCGGTTAGGGAGGTCCCTTGGATAGGACGTTAAATGGAGGTCCCCAGTTGTGCGAAACAAAGAACAGGATGCCACATACCACCCATATGAGTCATGCTGACGGTTCCTCAAAAGGTCAGCTTAAGGTCGGACATCTAACGCTTAAAAGGTGTCAATAGCAGGATCTGTTGTTTACATGCACCTTGTTTTTAAGGTTTAACCAAAATACAGCTGCAAGCAAGACGGTGTGCCATTGTGTGTCGAATCCTGCCCGCTCTCACCGACATGTGCCCGTAAAAAAGGCGCTTTACACGACTTTCCTCACTTCACTCAGGTGAAAATGAGTACCTAGCTTCGGTTAGGGAGGTCCCTCGGATAGGACGTTAGATGGAGGTCCCGTGAAGAAAATCCTTATTTGGTTATTCTTCTTTGGTTATCTTACTAGTAAATCTCAGACATGGCAAACAGCCCACAGGGCAAAAATGTTAATGGCACGATTTCCCAGCAACTACCATCTAGCTCGGTGTAAAAGCCTGAGACTACAATAACAATATACTACACGAATTAGATTGTACTGACATCTTTAATGTTTAATTCAAATGAATATGATTACCTTCAAAGTACCATGGTTACAAATACTTTACATCCAATAGACTTACATAAAATGATAACTTACATGCATACACCTAGAGGGTACTCGTATTTTACCTGTTGGCATGAGGGAAATACAAAAATGGTACAACAAAATCAAAGTACGCCTGCGTGCAACGACATGCAAACGTTCACTACTAGAGCCATACTTTACATTCACCTGAGTGAATTTTGCAATATTGTATTTATTAGTGTTGATCTGTATATATCAAGATTTTCCCCAGCATATGTTCTGTTGCAGTAAAAAAAAAGTATGCTTATTTTGCAGTACATTGTGCTCTGGCACATGTATATAACAACCATTGCCAAATTACACAAGAAAGCGTTACTCAAGCAAGTGGCCATGAATAGATTTTGAAAACTATCAAAAGTTTCTACTTTCCACTAAGTAACTTTTTCAATTGTGTATCTCATAATCAATTGTCCATGCCACAATGATCAGTTCGAATTTCCAGAGTACGTGCTGGCAAATATACAGTTTTAAAACATTCTTTAAAGATTCAGCTGATACATGTACGTGTACACATTTTTTTACAAACCATTTCAAAATACTTACAAGGAATCCGCCATTGCCATGACCTGATTGTACTGTTCACTGACGCTTGAATTCACATTAGACAACTCACTTCTAATGTTTTCTATGGACTCTTTAAAAGACGACAAAGTTTGCATATCATTCTTCAGAACAAATTCTGTTAGGTCTGATGTGACATTATCGACAGCTGACGTAGGCGATAGATCGAGCTGTTCCTGTTCTATCCACGCAATAACTTCTTTGTATATTGCTGTGGATGTGTCCTCACTATTTGAGGACCTATTCCACATAGAAGACAGAGACTCACGAATCCATGCCCGCCAAGTTATGCCTGGCTCCTCTTTAAACCCTGATGTAACAGATACAAACTCGTTCAATTTATCCAAACAACTCTTGGTAAGATTCAATGTTGTCTCTTGCAGCTGGTGCAGCAATGGTGGTATCTCTGATAGACCAGTTTCACTCTCCATGCGAGCCCCTGTAATGACAAAAAGAAACAATTGCTAAATCCAAATTGTTAAAGATCATGTGGTAGATCAAGTGTGCAAGTATTAGTATAAAGTATGATAGATTTTTGCTCTTTATGTAATGATGAATGGAAGTATATTTTGAAACTTCTAATACTGATTTGTATATCAAAACAACCTCAAGATGAACACAAGCTTAAGGTTAATTAAAAAGCTGCAGTAACTATTCCCTTTGCATACGTAGATTCAATATTAGGGTGGCAATCATTATTGCCAACCAGTAAACTTGCAACTACATGTACATTCTTGAACAGCATCTAAAGTAGGAAGATAAAACACACAAGTTAAAAGACAACAGGTTTCAATGACTTGCACCAGAGAAAAACTTACGTATTTTCCCAACTTCTCTTTCCAAGCGACGCCGTTGTATGGGTATCATCTCTCCCTCAATACTGTTGAGGTTTAAAAGCTGCTGTACGGTCGTCACCTCACTGAAGTTTCCGTCGAGGTGTTGTAGACCAATATCCTCTAGAAATGCAGGTAGATCCATGGAGACTTGGAGGATGATCTCTGTCAGGAATTGGTAATGCTGGCGCAGCTGGGTGATTATGCTCCTTTGGGCACAGGACGGGCAGTATTACTAACAACAATGTTACTAAGATGATTTATAGATATTGTCAGCTTATATCCCTGCAATTGTAATTATTCTGGTGAAAACAACTATCGATGTCCTTTTTACACTACACGGCGATCTCTGAGCGATCGTTGAGCGATCAAAATTAGACTTGCGTGGCCCCTGATTTTATATTTGAAATATAATTCACAATCTAAGGGTATGATTTGAAAGATAATTCAAATAACAGTACAAACTTTTAAAAATCTTTATCTAAGATATTCGCTGAGCGATCTTGATCTACCTGTCAAATTGGTCTCAGTTAGGTCGCACAGCGGTTGTAGCCGCTAGGGGAAAAAGGGGTCCAACGCACGCCATACTGTTACGAAACAGAGTCCTAAGTAAGGGCTATCGCGAAGAAAAACGTGTGTAATGTTTGTAAGAAAAAGGTCATCCATACACTATTTGTCTACGCTCATGTTCTTGTATACCACCCTGAAAAACCTATAATCCCACAACAAAGTTGTATGCATTTTGCAGGCCACCCTGCCTCTGAAACATGACAACATAACTACACTGAGCGTTGTGCTTAGTCCTAGAAAGACACACATTGACACATACCTTATATTCTGAAGGTATTTCATCAGTTCAATGTTGAGGTCGTGGACGATATTGCGCTGTTTACGTGAGAGACTGTCAGCAGAATGTGTGGGGGACCGAGTGCTCAGCGTCTCTACGTCCTCTCTTAGCACATCTAAAACTCTAGCAGGAGCCCCAAGACCACGCTTACATGCCGCTATTTTACCAGACGTTTGTTCCAGAAGATCGCCGATATCTGCGGGTACTCGGCCATGTTGCTCCATGGAGCTAAAAACACCACAGAAGCGGTGACAGAAGAACCTGTTATGGACAGGTAATGTTATTTGGCCCGTTCTGCCTCACTACGTGCCAGACATGCCGGATCCCAATGTATGTTTATAAAATACATGGCTGATAGATGTCATTCGTTGTTTCATAGCAACCAAACAACCCAGAGAATGCATAAGTAGCCTTGTTGGCATGTTGCCACACCAGTCATTTCTAGAGACATTTCTGTTTACGAAACGACACGAGCGTGTTCCACTGTACGTTATCTGACTTAGGCAAACTATCTAGAGTGTAGTCAAAATGCCTCCTCACGTGTTCCATTTGGACGTACATCTGAATGCAACTTTGGCGACCATTAACGATGAGGATGGTCCTTTTGCAATGTCCGATCAAATGCTCAAGGCAAACAAGTCTATGCTGGACAACATCAAGAACATAACGAGCAGCGGCTTGCAGGGAGAGATCCCACGAGACTTCAAGTGGCTACTTGGTGACTTCGAAATTGGGATATTGAAGTCTTCTATTGAAATCCAGTGAGTGAATTTCATTACCCAACTCAATGACAAAATGCTAAACCTGACGGTTCTGAGTTCTAAGGGACCGTTCGATATTTACTTAGCTTAGCTTCGTATAATTTCCCCCAGAAAATGCAGAAAAACGTGTTTCAGAGGGTTAACATTTTCCCGGGGGAGCACGCTCGATAGGCGGACAATTGTTCCATAGAAGTCCCCCTCCCCAGTCAAGTCTCAGAAAGGGGGGGGGGGCAAGGGAAGTTTTCTTATAGCGGGGGCAGGGCCAGGGAAAAATATTTAGCTTGATAATTGGGGGGAGTGCCAGGGAAATTTTCTTGGACCCGACTTTCCACGCACCGGCCCACCCCTGGTAAATAACGAACGGTCCCTAATCCCGAATGTTGTCCCTATAGCACTCACTTGACAATAGAAAAAGTCGCAGACGCTAAGCTGTGATTCACGGACGGAAATACCCAGGCCATGGGTGTTCCTTTTAAAGAACTGAAGCCACCTAAAACTGAAAATATTATGCCTAGTCCTGGTTAGTGACTCACGCTTAGCTTAATTTAGCTGGGTGATTTAGCACACCATGATAACGATAGAAAGGTAATGGGCGCCCCCTCTGTACCCTCAATTTACAGACCTATTTATGTAGACGAGTTGTGTAATGATGAAAAATGTTGCACAGCTATAAGTATTACAATATACAATTAGATGCACTCCTTTCTCCATCTTATTTACAGTACTAAGCTGGCAGGTTTACTGTTGTCTATTAGATTGTACTTTTTTAGTGGTGTTTTGTTACTCACAATATATATATATATAAACCTACATTAGTAATAGTAGAACTTAATGCTAGTTAATGGTTTTATTATGGTGGTTTCATACGATTCTTTAGTACATTTTGTACCAATTGTCCTTGTCAGTTTGCAATTAGCCCTCAGGCATGAACTTATTATTGTTGTAAATAGGTAGGCCAGAAAAAGGCATAAACATATCCCTTTCATGTTTAGAATCACTGATATCAAATGATTCGTCTATAGAGCAAAAGTCCACAAGTTGCTCAACCTCCTCTCGTCGGTCCGTGAGGCCGTTGATGACAACACACGCCCTCTGAAGGAGTTTTTGGAGAACATAAACCTGAGTAAGTATGTAGAGTCTCTGACGTCGGACTTTGAAGTTTTGACGGTTGAAGACTTAACCGACGGCTTCACCGATGAGGAGTTACTGACAGAACTGGAGCCCCAAATATCTTCAAAGATACACCGCAAGAAGGTGGTGAGGGAGATCAAGAAATGTGGTGAGTTTGTGGTTATATTTTGGTTTAGTTATTATTGAAATGCATACTATTCTACGGACTTGTGTAATGAGATCACTCCACATATATTAGTGTTGCTTCCATAAACACATCGGACAAGTTTTAAAATGTGTTTCTCACGCGTGCACGTTTATCATTGAAGGAGATAAAGACGCCTAATTCACAATCTATACATAAATTTAGACACTTTTGTGTTAATATCTTTAGATTTATACTTTATACCCCAAAATTATATTTTCAAAAACTTTTCAAGGAAAGGGGAAAAAAAATACCGACAGTTTAGACAACCTCGAGACCTCCGTGTTGCCACAATCTATGCATATGGAACAATTCTATCATTGCAGGCAACATACATTCTTTTGTCTGTTGCTTCCAACTACATGTACTAAGCCATATTTTATGAGTACCTTTAATATGGGTGTTCTTTGGCTATTAATTTGACACAAAGTGTGTCAAGAATTACATAAACTACAACAGATCTCAATGCTGCATACATTATTACTGTAAATATTTCGAGCTTCATTCAAATGTACAGAAATCATTTTGTCTTACAGGGGCCAAGAAAGATGAGCTTGAAGAGATAACAAAGGAAATTCGCGAAACCCTTGTTGAGATTTCGGCATTATCGAAAAAGATGGCAAAATATATACCTGATATTAAGGAAAAGATACGCGAGGCCATACAATCGACGGAAGATGTCAAAGCTAAATGTGAGAAAGACAAGAACTATCACTCATGGGCAAGGTTCGCGTTTGGGGGCCTGTGCGTAGTTGGGGCAGTTGCTACCCTCGGGCTTGGCATAGGCGCGGTTGCAGCAGTCGATGCAGCCGCATCTGCAGGGGGTGTTGTAGCTGGTGCAGCTGTAGCAGTAGGTGGTGTAGTTGCAGTAGGTGCTGCAGGTGCCGGCACAGCTGCAGCGGGTTACAAGGCATACCAGTCCCACAAGAATAAGTTGGGTGAGTACGCACACACCACACGAGGATAAAGAATTGATTTGAAGAAGCAAATGTATCTTATAGATATGACACCAGCGCGTTTTTACGGTCAAAGGCATTACGCATTAGGTCAAAGGCAAATGTGTACATATCTTTTAACCTCTGATTCAACCTTTATTTTTCAGAGCTTTCTGACTATATGGAGCAGCTTGAGGAGACTTTGAAGGCCATGGATAAGGCCCAAAGTCACGTTGAGAAGCGAGAGACACAGTGGATGAACCTTGCGCATGATCCTGCTGAACAGGCAGAGACTGCCCAGGTATATATCTGTTATATTGTTTTAACTAAGTCCTGGGGCTTAATTAAAGTAAGATTCGAAGCAATGAAGTGTAGTATGTTATGTAAAATATCAGATGATTTCATTTTATTTTATTTTTGTGTACAATTTGTTCGGTAATCAGGTGAATGGTTGTGTTTCTGCCAAACGTGATACTTTCTCCACATAATTTCTTTTGTCTTATCTAGACATGGACCTGCCAATCGTAAATCTGTTTTGTTTTTCTACTCAACAAAACCCTCTCCATTTAGATCTATGGGATTGTTAATCATATATTTTTTGGTGGAAATGCAAATTATATAAAGCATTGTAATGTTACAGTCTTGGTTTTACCAATCACACTTCTTTGTCCTTTGAGTCATTTTGGTAACCAAGTCCAATTGCAAACTGGACAGGGATAACATCATAATACAAATCAATACTAAATATATGCATGTATGTCATATTGTACATTTCTTCCCATAGGTTAAACTGGAAAAAAAAGTTTTCAAAAAGGTGCCATCTTCCACAAAGGACAACGAGCGTGTTCAAGAGGGCCTGAGAGGTTCTGAGGAGACCTTGCCGACAGACCAGGTCTAAATCTGTTATATTCTTTTAACTAAGTCCTGGGGCTTAATTAAAGTAAGGTTTGAAGCAATGAAGTGTAGTATGTTTTGAAAAAATAAAGTCGATTTCATTTCATTTTTTGTGTAAAATTTGTTCGGTAAGCAATTGAACGGTTGTACGTGTTTCTGCCAAACGTGATACCTTCTCCACATACTTTCTTTTGTCTTATCTAGACATGGACCTGCTAAATCGTAAATCTGTTTTGTTTTTCTACTCAACAAAACCCTCTTCATTTTAGATCTATGGGAATGTTAATCATATTGTTTTGTGGAAATGCAAATTATATATAGTATTGTAATGTTACAGTCTTGGTTTTACCAATCACACTTCTTGGTCCTTTGAGTCATTTTGGTAACCAAGTCCAATTGCAAACAGGACAGGGATAACATCATACTAGTAATACAAATCAATACTTACTATATGTATGTCATGTTGTACATTTCTTCCCATAGGTTAAACTGGGGAAAAGAGTTATCAGTCTGCCATCTTCCAAAACACACAAAAAAGCTTTTCAAGAGGCGCTGAGAGGTTCTGAGGAGACCCTGCAGAGGTTTGATGACGGGATGACATTCCTCAAGGAGAGCGCTAACGCCGTCCTGGACGTTCTGCATGGGTAAGCTATTCATTCTAAGAATTTCCTTCCCGTTGTATCTTTAATTTTTCTGCATTTGTTTTTATGTTCTGAATTTCTGACCAAGAGCGTTTCCGGTATTATACCAACCAGCATACATTGTATATTATATCTAATTTCTGCCCAGCAGTTCTAACCTTTTGTTTAAACATTTAAAATGTTTGTTGTTTTCTTTGCAATTAAGCCACTAGCAATATTGTATTTTTCTCTGGATGAAATTAAAGGCTTTAAAGGCTTTAACATATCTACGGTCTCTTACTTACTGGAGCCTTAAGTGCCTCCCATCCTTAAAGTTTCTTCTTCACAACTAGCACTTTCCTTTTCAGAGCAGAGCCTCTGTTTTGTCTTTTTATCACATCATATCTCTTCCATACTGTTTCAACATTTTTACAAATCAACACTCTTTCATCATATATGTCACCTGGTTGATACATAGAACATTGAGAAGAAAGATGATTTCAACTAATATCAACATTAATCTTTCTATGTCTGTTACAGGTGAACAGATTACAGAGACAACATCCATCTTGGTGGTATAAGTAGTTGAGTATTCAGCTTGAATTTGGAACAACGTTAACCCAAACCCTTTCTTGTTGTTTCTGTATCTTTGTTTGAAAATATGCGTTATCTTGCTTCTATATGCAACATACTTTTATCAAAAGTAACTATATAAAGTACACAGTTGTTATCATGCAGAATTGCACAAAATGTAACCATGGTAATTCACAGATATTATCATGATATATACAACTTTTATGGAATTCACCATATGATTAGTGTTTGTTGTTCTCAACTTGGTTCTTCAACAACAGTAATGGATCTACATATTTAATCTGAGGCTTGTTGTCATTTCAATTCATATCACCCAGGTCTATGAATTGAGTTGTATGGCATTGACATTATGTTGTATATTGTGTGTTTTTATGCACCCTACAATTAATAAGTTACAAGGGTATCATACGAGATTTAACGATACGACATGATATGATTCTTTATTCCATGTTATTGCCTAGATGAGCTAAATGCACAAATGCGACCAAATGTGGTCGAGAGGATAAAAACATGAGTATTGCTGGAACGCTATATTCTAATGCTAAGTGCTAGGAGTCTATATATTACAATGCTACATAGTACTATATATCATCTACTATGTAATATAGGATAAGAATCTGTTATATAATTAGTTGACAATTTTGGTAAATTCGGTTTCAGTGGCTTTGTACATATAAAGCTGATCATCATTTATTACTGTTATGTTATATGCTGTGGTGTTACGTAAAAGTGCTTTGTGTGGTAAACTATCAGAAATTTGAACTTCTGCAGTTTTGGTCTGAAAGTCTAGGTGGTGTTTGTAGCACGCAGAATAGCCTATAGGATGAAGACTTCGACACTTCCATTATTGTCGGTTTTAGTATAAAGTAAACATGTTGCTAACGATAACATGAATGACGTGTACACTGCAACAAAAAAAGAATACCGTATGCATGAGAAAAAACTTATTGTACCTGAAATATTAAAAATCATCATGGGCAATGAGTGTTCCTTTTTATAATATAAGAAAGTTCTGTTGACGTATTATTTTGATCATATCTTACGGGTAATCGAACATGTTGACTACCATGATGCCCTGTTTAAGCATTAGTTACAAAATGTAACTTGATCATGAATCCGCCCCCCCCCCACACACACATAAACTGATCAAACTCTCTTGCTACATACAATGTAGCAAAACACACTTTTCTCCCTGTAGAAATTTCTATTGTATAGACTCCACGGTGATTTGGTGAAGTTAGATGTCTTAAACATTATAGTAGGGTGGACTTGAGAAATACGAAAAACGAATTTGTTTGAGTTTATAAACTACAGGATATTCAAACACAAAAAGAAATCTCTCCGGGTATTGGCTTTGATGCCGTCTTTCAAGAGGCGCCTGGCGGAGATGAAATGAACTGCATCCGGCTCACAATCCCCCCCCCCTCGAAAAGCCAGTTGGGAACACATGAATATGGCGCATTTATACCCGAACTTGAAAATGGTCACAATCGAAATCATGTAGTCTCAATTATAACTTATTCTATTAGAGTACGGCACAATTTACACCTGGCTGTCGCTCATTCGAGAGTTTCTACCCAGTCTTCAACAATTGTGTCCGAGCTATTTTAAATTTCTATATCCGCGTCATTGACCGGGGGTCGCCCATTGATACTGTGTTCTGTATATGTGTCAACTTACTCTTAACTACTACTTCAAATCACCTAAGAAGGAAATATCACTTGTACAGTAGGGTGCACCACTATGTATCATGACCTTTTACTCTGCAGTACTTCATAGTTATCATAGAGGGAGGACTGAGTCAGTGTGATTTGGCCTTTGCAAAAGTAGATACTCTACTGTTGACGAAATATGTCACATTGTTTATGATTAATACCCTTTTGAAAGCGACAGGGTTTACTGTCAGCAAGTTTAACTAGTCTATATTACAGGTAGTTTCCAAATTAGGAACAAGAGCGCTCAGAGGTTTTAAGAAGAAATAAATTAAACAAAGGGGAAATGTATGGATAAAAAAGTAAACGGATTGTACTAGCCAAACCACCAAATTATTGACAAAATGCAGTTTGGCCCAAGGCGCATATAATTATAATTATGTAGCTGTTGTGCGTGTCAATGTCGCTTGGGGGCAGGTAATACAAGGCATTTGACGCCGTTACCACACCATTGGTATTGGCCTGTGTATTTCTATGCGGGACGCACGGATATTGCTACAAATTACGTAAAATGTAAAACATGGCGACGAACCATAACAAAGTACATTGTGTACGTCTTTGTGAATCTGATGTCACAAATAACAACGAGACAGAGAGATAGACATTTGACAGGTTGAAAGGGGGCAGGGACATAACTCGCCTTTTCCCCTGAATCAAACATGCAAGCAACTGAAGGATAAATTTAGTCTAAGTACACTTCCACCACTACTTTATGTTGTAATGATTTATACACACCTCAGCGGTTTATTGTTCGTTAATGTCGTGCACCGGGGTACCACCAAGCCGTAAAGCTTAGTACCTTGGCCATTAAACTGGGCTTGAAATATTACACGTTATATGGGCAGATCTAATCTGTAACTTCATGTTGAAAGCAGGTTCGAATACAAAGCAGTTTTAAAAGATAAGGTTTTCCGCGGCCTGAGCGCAGATGTTGGTGTTATGTGTGTGCGGGACAGCTGCGGGGAAAATGCCTCCGTTCGTAAGTAGAGCAACAACAACAACCGTGGAGGAAAGGGCTCCCAAAATGGAAGCTAGATCCCATGGCTCAGCGTTGAACTGCGGCGCCGTGTGGATATATATGGGCCGGTGAAACCCGAGCGGCGGGCAGGCGTGCGTGTTTGGAGGCGGGGTCAGCTGTCCTTGCCGATCGGACAGGCACCTCGTTTTGCGCGCGCAAGGAACCACGGGATAGCCCCCCTGACATGACGAGGCGGTGATACGGCAGCCCCACTGGAAGCACCTCGGTAACCGCCCCCAAACGCCGCCGGATAGCAGAGGTGAGTTACCCGTACACTATCTTTTTCAAAAACTACCTAAAACCTGTACGATCATATTCACCATTTGTATGTATGTTCTTCCAGTAGACGTTATGTAGTGCGCGTCAAATAATTCTACTGATTTAACGCAAAGGATCAGCTACTATAATGAGATCCTTCTTTCTCCGTGACGAGAATTCCGCTTGCGGTTATGTGCCTATCTCCTTCTTCTGTAATTGCACAAATTACATCTCCGCTGATACATAAGACCGAGCCAAAGCAATTTTCCTAAATCACAACTCAGATTCGTATAACATATTCCTGCACCGCTAACTATACGTAGCGAGCGGAACTGCATTCCAAACATTCAATCCCGGCTCAAGTTATTTCCACGGGGGAGTTCCTTCTCACTTGTAACTCGCACGCTGTGCCACCAAACTCATCTTCTCTATTAATCACAGCAGCCTGGAGAGAGAACTCGTGCGGTGTCGGTAATATTCACACCGCATTATCGCTCAATCGAGAACGCTGAGTGTATATAGAAAAGGCAATTCTCTTCGTCGCCACTGCGTGACATTTTCCACCGCGTATCGTGTTACTGAAGCCCGCCCGCGAACACTAGTGTGTCCTGGGGGTACATCCCCCGTTCGTGGGTCTGCGAACAGCAGCTACAATAACACTTCTGACATATTTATAGCGACAGGCATGTTGGAGTGATTCCGATAGAAGGTAATAGCGAGGCCATATTCTACCTTATCTCTAGCTCTTGGGCACAGTATATTGCTTCTCTTGTTATTCTGTTACAGTTGGGTGCATTAATGTGAAATGTAAAATGGAATTTACTGTTTTTTATTGCTGGTAGTTTTTAGGGAAGAACATAAAGATGCAGTGATGTAGGGCATAGCGTTATCAGATTTAGCACATTTATGACATTGTTTTAATAATATCCTGACTTGATAGCATTACTTCAAACATTACTGCATGTACTATCATATATTAATTTTTACCACACTATTTGAAAGCCTTACATTATTTGTTATGACTTGTTTTGACTTCAACTTATATTGCAATACGGATAGAAAAATAGGATTTTGGTAGATTCGTCTCTTGTGTAGAGCAATAAGTGTTAGGTAGACACGTCTGGATAGGGTACTCATATTGTCTCAGGTTATATCTGAAACGTTAAAACACGAAACGTAACATTGATGTGCAAGATAAAATGTCGATTCTGTTCTTAATTCTTTCAATAAAACTTCAATCATGATAGCAGACCATTAAAGAATATTGTAAAATGTCTCCATTTATGTAGAGGGCCTTACGACCTCAATCTAAGACCATACCTTGTAAAAGTCTTAAAATGAAATGCATGTTTTGTGTCTAATTAGATGTGCATTGGTTAGCTACGAGACAACAATTCCCTGTAAAAGATAAAATGGTCGGAATGTGAAATTTTAGAACAAGATGGCGGACATGCTCCAAGTGTTAGAGGGAGGAGGGATACCAAAACAGATCTCACGGTGATAATATGAAGTATCTGTCAACATCTTATCTTTGGTTCTTGTTTTCAAAATAGACTACTAGTATCTGGAACAAGTCTGAGAGGCACGATGTACTAGTATTTCATTGCTGATTGTATTTGTATTTTCTACGTAAGGCAAAGGTTTAAAATATGTTTCTGCTTTGCACACTAAAACTTTTTTTATCTCTACAGTGTTCAATGTTAACAGATTGTCATTGCTAACAGATAGTATCATTATATTTTGCAGCACACCATCTGAATCTACAACCGGGGGTCGGTTTGACAGTCACCCGGTGGACACTGAGTAACCCACACCATGGCCGAAACAAACGACACCGGCCCGGTGGGCATTTACACCATCAATGAGTCCGGACTCTGCGACACCTATCTCCCACAGTCCCTCAACGGCGTGTTCCAACTCGCCCACGTGTTCTTCGGCCTCGCCTACTTCGGCGGCAGCACCCTACACGGCCTGCTCTACACCTACATCTGCATGTTCCTGGGCTACCTGGTCTTTACCGTCTACGGCTTCCAGAACGCATGCGCGGCCGACATCGGCGGTTGGTGCTTCGTCTTCATGATCCTCTGTCTGGTCCAGGCCATCCACAGCATCTGGCGCATGCGCGAGGTGTCGTTCAGCGAGGAGCTGACGAAGGTGTACGAGGCGCTGTTCCATCCTCTGCAGGTCCCCCTGCTGGTGTACAAGGCCCTGGTGGAGTGCCCGAACTGCCAGATCGTGTCGCTGGAACAGGGAAACAACTATGCCACCGAGGGGAAGACACCAGTGGACAGGCTATCTCTCATGATTTCTGGAAAGTAAGTACCTTACCAAAATACACAACACATGTTAAGAAAAACGTTGACCTTTATTCCAACACACAAGTTAAACACAGATCAAATTTTCGACCACTGTTGCCTTCATCAGGATAATCAATGACCAATCACTTCAGAACGTAATCTCGCGAGAGTTACGGTTACAGACACGTGACCTTATTCACACGAGACTTTATTGATACGTGAACTTTATTGATCAAAATGAACTTTTATGATAACTCATGTCAATATAACACAGACATCATTTAGAGTTTCAAAAACAGGGTAAAGTATATACAAGACATTGCTGTGCGCTGACAAGCAAAAAAGTTTGCATTCTTTGACGTCTTACTTTTGCAATCTCTGACGTCATCGCTGTTCACCAATCAAATTGTAGGTTCTTTGCAGCTACAGGTGCAATCTCTGACGTAATCGCTGTTGACCAATCAAATCGTAGGTTCCTTGCAGCTACTGGTACAATCTCTAACGTAATCACCGCGTTGACCAATCAAATGGTAAGTTTTTTGAGGCTACTGGTGCAATCTCTGACGTAATCGCTTCTGACCAATCAAACGGTAGGCTCAAGCAGCTTCTAGGCTATGATGTCCTACTAAACTATCTGAGTTCAATCTGTACATTTTATAGAAGCCATCCACGTAACCGCCATCATGACATCTTTTTACATATCAAGACGATAATCATCCATCATCACGACACAGAGATATTAAAAGTAATGACCCTCATCCGTCAAAATGTTGTACCTGCACAGCTCATCATTTATCATTTAGTACATTTTGATAACCGCAAAGAATCCCCAAAATGGCTAGCAATAGGATGAGTCAATGAGTCAAAAGCTTCAGTTCTCACAAGAATCATTTGTTTCATGTTAGTATGCATTGTGTTGCTTGCGAGTTCACTCCAAAACTTGTATTTTATAAAGGTATGATTATGTATTCCTGTTACGAAGCACCCTTGGCACGGTGGTTTGCCACTGATCCTTAACAAAATGAAGAGCTCAGTATCTTACAACCTTTATCCTTCTCTTCATGGTCTCGATGGCAATCTGTAACGTCGTCACTAGCGTGCGATATCCCTTCTTCTAGGCGTGCCTAATTCCCGGTGTTGAAGGAAGATATCGATACTAACAAGCCGAGGCTTACCATTAACGAGCTCGCTGATCAAAACAACGTACACACGGTGATTTTCCTAATTGTATCTCCTGAAAATCTATTCAACCCAATACTTCCTGCAATCCCGATATATACTATCAGCAACTGCTACCATGCCGTGAAGCCTGTGCAGACATGTACAGGCCCCATTTTATATTAAATTTACCTCACTAGAATTTCATCGCTTCTCATTTTGACCAATGTTTAGCTGTTTTCTAGTACAGATTGCCACCATATAGACATAGTGATAACACAATACCAATTGATTTTTCAGACATTAAAAAACTGTTTGCAGGATTTGGCAAAATGTCACACAAAATGGACTCCGTACGGTCATCGATCAAACAGTCTGGCATGTGATGATGATGATGGTGATGGTGTCTATGATGATGGTGATAATGATGAGACACCATCATCATTACCATAACCATCGTCATATCATTATAGACACTATCATCGTCATCATAATCATAATCATCGTCCTACCACCACCACCACCACCACCATCATCATCATCATCATAGACACCATCACCATCATGTGGTGGTGATGATGATGATGGTGTCTATGATGATGATGATGGTGGTGGTGTTGGTGGTAGGACGATGATTATGATGATGACGATAGTGTCTATGATGATATGAAGATGATTATGATGATGATGATGATGGTGTCTACGATCTTGATGATAATGATGATGATGATAATGATATGATGTTGATGCATGATATCGTCCTTTCCCCCCAGGGCTGTTGTGATCCATGACGGTAAGAAGCTGCACATGATCGGAAGGAACCAGTTCCTGGACTCCCCGGAGTGGGAGGCCGCCAAGGACCAGGAGGACCCCGGCAAGTTCCAGGTATGAAAACACGTACGCCTAGCCCGGTACCCTCCCTATCCTAGCACCTGTTCCCCCTATCTGTTTTTTTTTTTTTTTGTTTCTTTTATTTCACTAGGCCAGGAGCAACATATCACCTACTGGCGTTTTTGCAATGTGTCCTGAGGGAAACCCCAAACATAAATTATCAACATGTATCAGGAAAACGATCAGAAAAACTAAATGGACCGATAATAGCATGAATATCAGGCTAAAAACACTAGGAACTGGTCTCCAAGCAGATCCTACGATGAGGCTGTATCCATTAGTCAAAGAAGCTCCGGTGGCTATAGCTAACGGACACTCCTTTGGCCAATGGCCAATTAGCCTTGCCACTGTAGGCTCTGGAAAATAAGAAGGAACAACATATTTATAAACATATTTACAACTACCCTTAATAATGCATCCTATATGACAAACAGGATATAACGATTTTCAGATGTCTAAATGGATAGTAATACATATTCTGGACTAGTTTAAGGTGTTCTCGCTGTACAGCAATTCCAGCAATGCTCCAACCAAACCTGCTGCAGCAGATTAAACCATACCATAGCGCCACAGTAGATTTATGTTTTAATCTGCATTCTCCACCGTTATCGCCCACCTCAACACAGATGCAGATTGGAAAACTGATTCTTATCTAGCTTCGTCTTATTTTTCTGCACACAGCACGACAGATTTGACAAGCGTGTTCAATCTTGTTATGCACACAACCGTTCCTCTGAATGTATAGTAGAAATCCTAACAAATGTGTAGCTACTTCTGCAAAAATTTCATCTGATCCTTACAGTTACCCGGGGTGAACTTCGGATCCCATCATTTTTCATATACGCCGTAAGAGATTTCTTTTACAAAGCGGCCTTATAAAATACCGTTACAATTTGTCCAGTTTTGAGTATGATGTATATCTATAGGTCTGCCAGGAGATTACGGTCTGGACGCCAAGCTGATCAAACATAACTTGAATCTGACGTTTTTTTTTCTGATTGCGTTTTGATAGCCAGTCAGAATGTCTGATGAAACGTGGACAGTTCGAGACCCATAGAAACAACATGGCAATCCGAATGTGGCGTCGTGTGGTGTAGTGGTACATCACTGGACAATGAAACGGGGAGTCCCGGGTTCGATTCCGGGTCGTACCCGAACATGCGCCCGACGTTGTACCCTTGGAAAATGTACTTTACACGACTTTCCTGACTTCACTCAGGTGAAAATGAGTACTTAGCTTCGGCTAGGGACGTCCCTCGGATAGGACGTTAAATGGAGGTACCGTGTTTGGGAGAGCCACACCCCACGCACGTTAAAGAACCCACCGCACTTATAATTATCGAAAAGAGTAGGGGACCTTCCCGGTGTGAGTAGTTCAAAACCTTACAGTCTGGTCTCGGGGTTGACATCTTTGAAAAGGCGATAGTCACCTGTTATGTCAATCCTTCCACAAATGTGGTAAATCTTAATAAATGAATGTCTGGGAATTTTTAAACATGGACATCAACAGAATTATCCCGAAAGTTTCCATACGCATTTATGTACAACTTGTCACATTCTGAGACGAAATAACGTGTTTGAAATGAACAAAGTTTTGTCCATGTTGTTACTGGGAATGTCTGGCCATGGGCATTAATGGCAATCCCAGCTTAATTCCCAAAGTAAGACATATTGCCATTGCCCCAAGGAAGTTAAGTACACTTGTGTCTGTAAACCTTTGATTTAGTGGATATTCAGCCCGCCCCGTGCATATCTACCCAGAATACAAAATTCTTCTTTTCCATAAAGACATATACATACCACTGACAGGTAAAGACCCTCACGTGGCAATAAAAGACTGAAGATGTAAAACTTTCCGCCTTTGAGAGACAACAATGAGGAGTAAGATGGATCGACGACATTTTACGGATGAAAAGCAGACGGTGTTAGGGTAGTTTCTATCTAGAAAGCAATCAGGTGGGGATTTGGCGTGGAGGATAGGTCAGGAGCCACGTGATCAATCACCGCCAATTAGATTTAGACCAAAGGAATGAAATCACCTAAAGGCCAACTTGTCATTTTTCAGTTGTCAATTTTCTCTCAAGTATGAAAAGAACTGGATATAATTTGTCTGTTTTTATGCAGGCCGTCCTCCAATTGTCTTCTCCTGGGGTGAACATGGTTATTTGCCAAATCTATTGCTCAACCAAGTTTCTTTAAACTTGGTTAAGACAAATTATATCCAAACAAAAACAATTTATATTCAGTTTTTCTCAAATATGAGAAGAGCTGGATATAATTCCAATTCTCCTCTCCTGGGGTGAAACATGGTTATTTGCCAAATCTGTTGCTCAACCAAGTTTATTTTAACGTCGTTAGGAATTCACGTTCACGCATCGTGTGTCCGTGTCATGGAGTGAGGCTTTCAGATACGTTTGTCCTTCACGGTTCGGATGTTGTTCAAACTGAAAGGGCGCCCGGACGTGCTCACATTAGGATGAAAGGTAGCGTCTTCATGGTGTACAGAAAGGAGCCAGTAGCCCGGATCCAATTCCAATCGTTTCTCATGAGCGACTTAAAGTTCAGCGAATTCCTCCAAGAATTGGCTCCAAAGAAGTCAGCAAACTTCCCAACGTTTCGGGTCATAAAACGAATCCCTCTGCTGTCATACCGTATCTGTACGTGGTAGTCGTTTGTGCCGAAAGGTCTCGTCTGGAGAGAACAGTGCAGGGATGTGGGCGAGTCCATCATGCTCTACAAGAAGTTCCAAAATATTTTGAGAATCAGGATGGGGAGGGGGGCGTTTACCAAATAGTATTACAGATATAGGTTGCTAAACCTTTACAAATCTGCACTTCAGCTTTTTTCGGTAATAATACTTAACCCTTGTCCTTCTGCCATTTTTAGACAATATTTTCAAATTAGTTCCAAGAATAGCTTTACGTTCTAGAGAATCAGGATGGGGAGGGGGGCTTTTAATGTTACCAAATAGTACACAAGATCTGTTGCTACTTTCATAGATCTGCACTTGAATTCTATTCAGTAATAACACTTAAATTGTTTGGAGAGACTTGCCAAAATTTCTTCATATCCAACGATATTGTTACTCCCATGTCAATGTGCTGGAAGTGCAGTTTTGTACGTCTATTTTAGGATAACGGTCAAAGGTCAAATATTTCACAGGCAGACATGTCTGCGGTTGCTTCCCAGGAACTTGGAGATAAAAATAATGAACACGGAGACATTTCAAATGCGTTCATTAGGAAATTATGTCGTTCGGTAAAGTTCAACATAAATCAAATGTTGGGAAATCTTTGTGTTTTTTTAAATGACGGCGCCTTGCTAGTCGCAAATAGTAAAAATACCGGAAATAGTTCTAACCTCTGCTAGTCCGGGTTGTGTATTCAGTCAATGTACTGCGGGTACCTGTGTATACATCATTAATGGTGAGGTTATTTGAGGAAGTCGAAACGAAACGTGCATAGTTTTTGCATGAATTTGCATACATCTGCATACGTTTAGCATAATGGTGGTGACCTCTGACCTGCACCGTCGTGCACTGCCTGAAAAATGGGTTGGATACTGCTGAGTACTTACTACTAACCCCCCTTCGCACTCGTTCCAATGTTTTGAATCAAATAACAACGCGATTATAAGTCATTTCTTTATCCTGCAATTGAGGGATTTTGATAAAGAGTACAATCAGTCAGGAAAACTCACAAATCCGTTTTTGACACAGTAATTTGTTAGTCAGTTTTTCTAACCACTGTTGTAAACCCTTTTGATTAGGCCGGCGCCAGAGAGGCTGGATACGTACAGTAAGACAGAAAGAAAAATGACATGGCACGCTGATAATGATACGGAATATAAGTCATAAATGCCTAGGATGGCCGGTTAGGTTTAAAATTAGCACTAAGTGCCTAATAGTTACGTCCATCCTTCCCAGTTAAAAGGAAAAATCAGCGAAAATTGTGAAAACTTTGAACTCTTTACTGAATTGCTAGGAAACAGTTGTGTGGCCAAAAGAAACTTCATTTGATGACACGCCTGCACTGCATGAGCATTCCGAATTATCTCTCAGGTGGTGCCATTTACAAAACTCTAGCAACATCCTTTTCAATTCAATCACGAATTCAATCTTCAGACATGTGCTTAAAGTCCTGAGTGCATCTGATCTCCCCAACAATTTCAGGCTTTTCATTTTCTGATAGATTCTGCACACAATCTTCAACAGATCTACAGATCCAATCATTCAACCACAAGACAGTCCTCTCTAATGTATTTTCAGTACAGTATTACTCAGCGATGAGACAAATTACCAGTTTACTTTTCTAGCTATCTATATGGTGATGGGCGATCCGATGCGCTACACTTATCCACGACTACTAAAAGCTTTCTTGGCACTGAAACATCAGGAACGACCGTCTGCAATGGTGTGGCCATTACAAGTGTTAGGATAAGAATACTTCGTTTTCAAGTAAAGTTTTGACATAAGGATACATGTAAAAGTGACAAAGAAGTAAAAGGCACCAGTACCAATTGCAATTTCATCGTGTTGAAGTACTGTACTAAAAGGACTGGTTTCAGCCCTTTGATCCAGAAGTTGACAACGTTGTTCAGAATGCTTGTTGAACTGACAATGACCCATCGCCTTTGGCGGCCTTTTCCACTTCACTGCCACATTCACGTTTCTACTACTCCATCATTAATGGTGGCCAGCACTTACCTCGGTGGCTATAGCCATCGACGAGACCGGTAGAGTGTACTGACTGGAGAGAATGGTTCTTTTATTTCATTTCAAATGCAACCAAACATTACACTGACTTACAGGCAGCAGGGCTGATATTCGTAAGTCAACAAGTATACATACAGGGGCAATAGGTAACATAAAATAATTTCTAATTAATCCAGCTGACAGCTTTAAGTCTATATCTCACTCTATAAAGAGCACTATGTAAATAAGATACTGTCATCATCATCATCATCATCATCTATCATCCTCCGAAGAGGTGGAGCATACAAAGTTAGATACTGTAAATCGAGTAAAAAAAAATAAATACTACATATGTGTTACGTTTGAGGTCAGAAATCAAGGCAAAATTTAAGTCGTACATGTACCTAATAATAATGTAATATCTAGTTTAAGAAAGGAACTCATTTTGTCAGCGAGAAACTAAGAGAAACAGGTTGAAGGTTTGAACCGGTCTGTAGATGAAATGTAAGACTTAGTATGAGGAGCATCTTAAATGTTTTTGTTCAAAACAGCACTGTGACCTGGAGCACCTTTGAATGGTCCTCCATAGCGCCGTGTATTTATGGCTCGACCGACTTTATTGATCTCCGACGCAAGTCCAGGAGCTTAGGCAGGAAACCGTGCACACGATCGCCCTGGCTTGGGGGCAAATCCTGCCCGGTTTAAGTGCAACGCGGTGTCCGATTTCCCCTTGCCTAGTAAAATGTGAATGTATAATTGAATGGCCTCCTTTATTGGTCATTTACGCCACACTTGGCTAGGGTCACAACAATAATAAAAAATTTAAAAAAATTACAAAAATAAACATAGAATCATTAGTTATAGTTATAGATAAAAGAACAGATGGAAATTTTGTCTATTTTTTGGTTTTTCGATGGGAAGTTTGTCTAGTTGCTTTATGAATATAAGATTTTCTAGTGATTTTAATAGTATGAAATATGCAAACAGGTTTTCATTTTGTACAAACCTATACAGTCCATTTATCTCTTTTCTATACAATGTACAAAATGTGTCGGTGAAGGTTAGGCATCCAGGCAATAAGATACACCAAAAATCCAAAATATTCCAAAATCATATCCAGCTGCTTGAGTAACTGTTTTTTGGCGTAATGTACAAAATGCTATTCTTCCTCTATTCTATAATAAATGATTTTCTGTTTTGCATTTTGCAGGTGACCATTCGCGCTGAGACGGACTGTGTGTACCTGACCTGGCCGCGCCGTGACCTGCTGAATCTGCTGTCCAGGCGCCGTTACCTCGCCCGTGTGCTGTCCGCTGTCCTCGGACGTGACCTGACCAACAAGGTACGGGCAACAGCATGAAATAAGAAACCACCTGTGTTTAATGGATACCATTATGACACAGTTAAACATTCCACATACCGTGGGGTCGTGTGGCGTAACGGCAGAGTTCTCGACTCGGAACCAAGAGGTCCCGAATTCGAGTCCTGACATGCCACCGATTTTGTGTCCTTGGAAAAGGCACTTAACACGAATTTCCTCACTTCGCTCAGATGAAAATGAGTATTGTATTGTCCCGTGTTGGTGGAGGCATTAATATAATGTTGCAATATTACAAAAACATATATAGCATATTATTAAAAACATTCCCCCAACACACACAGTCTTCACTCAACGGGGGCGGGGGGCGGTATCAACTTCTTTGGTGTCCTCATAGGCTCATGTATGTAAAACTATCAGTTATCCTGAGGGAGACCGAATATATTATGTCCTCAATGGGCAAATCAGGATAAATCAGGATCCCCATATGTCGGAAAAACGATCAACTCTAACATGATTAATGGGCAACTTTCAATGCCAAGTATTTTCAAAAACTTAAAAGTTTAGCTTATGAGTCATGAGAAGACCGTTGCATGTTCTGGTGGGATCTAATCTGTTAACGCACTGTACGAAAGTGACATTGTTTTGAGCAGATAACGACCCACGAGAGCAATTACTCCAGGAATGGTGTCTTCCTTGTCTAACCTGATGGCATCACTGAGTAATCATCTACCAGTTAGGAAATCACCGAGTCATGACATAAACACCTCTTAATGTATCATGTGGGTGTATTTGATGGAAAGCATACTGGAAGTCTGTTTTTTGTATTCTCAACACAGTACTTATTAGTAACTCATGGGGCTCACTTCTAGACCCATCGCATTGAAATTCAACGATATGCATGGGAGCAACCCACTATTTGCAGATAGATATCATTTAAGTCAATGTTAAAGTACATTGTTGAAGGAAGCACTCAAAACATTTGTACCTGAAGACATTATCATCATAAAAATAATGTAAATAAATTTATTGCAAATTCATGCCCGAAGGGCCAATTGCATTGGAAAATAAAAATGAATAGAAACAAATATAATAAACAAATAAATAAATAACAGTAAATACTAATTGAAAACAAAATAGTATGCTACTTCTAACAAAGCTATCGTTGTGTTTGTTCTTTTCTGTGTGCAGTAGAGTATGAAATACCAAACGATTTTCGAGATATATGAATAGGGAGGTGTTAATAGAAAGCAGTTTTTCGTAGGTTGAAAAGATGTATAAAGTTTGGAACATTTTAATGACTACTTCAAATGATTTCTCAGCACACACTTTTGTTCTCACTTTTATTCTTATTTATATATTTGTATTGAATGTACTTGTTTTAAGTTGATTGTCTGTTAAAATAAGTGTATACCTTGAGGACAGCCCTACTTTGTCTGTCTTCGTATTGTGTCTTTGATAAAAAATGATTCATAGAAATAAACCACATGTAATGTTTATCTTTCAGCTGTACATCCTGAACGAGAAAGTGATGACCCCACGTGGAGCTAAGTACGACATTCGTCTCCCCGGATTCTCCCGTCTGCTGGGACAGTTTGACCTGGACGCCAAGGGCCTGGCCAGCTTCGTCCCCCACCGCTTCGGCGCCGGTCCGGAAGGTACCTAAAATAGGTGAATCTGTGTCAAAGGGGATAATTTTTTCCGATTCTTTTATGCATTTTGATAGCACGTGTTTATTTTTTTCAACAGTAGTATTTGGGTAAAAAAAAAAGTCGAATGCACTTTGCTTCATTTGAATGGTGGTAACTTAATTGCACACTTATTTCGAGAATCGTCCCACCCCCTCCCTGTCCCGAATGTTTTTTGGCCCACCCCCTCCCTGTCCCGAATGTTTTTTGTCCCACCCTCTCTCTGTCCCGAATGTTTTTATGTCCCACCCTCTCCCTGTCCCGAATGTTTTTTGTCCCACCCTCTCCCTGTCCCGAATGTTTTTGTCCCACCCTCTCCCTGTCCCGAATTTTTTTTGTCCCATCCCCTCCCTGTCCCGATTTTATTGTCCCATGCCCTTCCTCTCCCGAATTCGAATCGAGTGTTTTAAAATTAAGCACCCTGTGTTGAAAGGGACCTATTTTGCTATAGTCCCTGTCCCACCCCTCCTTCTCTTGAATGTTTAAAGTTCTTCGTGTTGAAAGGGGCTTCATTTTGTATAATTTCATGATGGGATGCACTTAGGAAAGATATGTCTCCAAATATATGCCTTTGTTTTTGTCAGATCTCTCATGAGACAAACTCTACTTTTGACATGTATAGACTCTTTCGGACGTCTTTGCCTTGCCAAACGATTTCCCGCATTGTGCACTTAAAGGATTTGCTTGATACATCTAACAGCGTGTTGATCTTTAGAGGACTTCTTCAATAACCTTTGCTGTAATCTCAATAACCTAAATTGTCATAATGTCGCACACTTCAGGTGACAGAGGAACTACCGGCAGTCCCTACGCCCCCGTCAGACCGAAGTAAATGCCAAAAGACTTCACGGGAGGCGGAATCGGAAAAGATGGAACTTCAAGGACGGCAGATATACTTATAAGATGATAAACAACGTAAATACAGAACAATTCCCCCAGAATTCAAAGCGCCTAATAGCCCGGATGTATTCGCCATTTTGTCATTTCCGGTCGCCATCTTTATCATGACCGTAGTCCTCTTTGCACATGAACAGGGACCATGTTTACATTGACCTTTTAATTCCTGGGTTAGTTTTGTCGGAAAAGTCTGTCTTTCCCGGTCGTGCCTCGGGATTATTATCGCGTATAAAGCGTATCAACCGGTGAAGCGTTTTGATCCTGGGGGATGGGCTCTATCTGTAATGAAGTTTGGGGTGCATTACCCTCGATATTAACTGTACGTGTACCAAAACAACTATGGACGTACGTGGAGATAACATCCAAGATTGACCAGTGTGCATATCCAACATGGAATTCTACTATTTTCTTTACGAAGATACAAATATAACATTACACAGTTATAGCATAATTGTAGTGCCGTACTGAAACAATATTCAATGCACATTTTTCCCATACACTAGTAGATTTAATAGTAACATGATATATATTTTGGGATAAAAATTGTCGACGGTTGGTTTAGATTTACATTGACAGATTGACATGTGTGTTCCATGTACTTGTTTTCATCAGGTAGCAATTCTGACCATTGCGACTTTTATTTATTGAACTTGTAACAATTGTGTTTCAAACCTTAACAATATAGTTTAATTTATTAAGTGTAGAGATACAAGTGCTTTCTTCAAAGTGTAAATTACGTTATTGTCTGTTTTGTGACCATCAAGAAAAATGATTGTACAAACTCATGGCAATGACTGAGAGGAAAATCGTTTGACGGAATTGTAACTTTAAAATGTTCTGACAAAACACAGTGATGCAAATTAGTCAAAATATATCGCCATCGTTGTATGACGATATTATTAGATTCTGTTGTTTTTCAGTCAAGCTGAGATATTGACATGCATGTATTTTCTGTAGGCATGACTGTAGTCGACTTGTTGTAGAGTTAAACGTGTGCCGATGAACAAATTTGATCAAAGTTGTACAGCGGAGAGAAAACATCAAATAAAGCTTTTTGTATGTAAACGCAATACTAGTTATGTGGATTATGCTACAGTATACAATTTTTATTGCTAGTAATTTGTTGACGCCTTAGGGATTGTACATGTATTTTGGTGTTTATTTATTACCTTGAATATAAAGCAATGGCCCAATTATTAAAATTTCCCTAATGTATCCGGGTCTTTAATCCCGGGGACATCCCTGGTTTCAGACTTTAATGACATGATAGAATGAATTCTGACTGATTTTTTGGTATTAGCTTTCAGCAATGTCAGGTACCGACCAAAGATATACAGGACAAAATATTTTCAAATCACCGAAAGGTATCATAATTACTGATTGGTGCAGAAAATTATTTTCGTTATGCAGTCATCTCAACTGTGAAATGAATATTCAAGCGCTAAAAATAAAATAGCAGGGCTCGAAATTCATTTTGGGTAATTGGTGCACAATTTTTTTTTGGGGGGGGGGGGCACCATATGAGTAGAATGTCAGCAAAAACTAATTATGTTTCATTTCTAAATACTATAACAATTATTTTATTATTTTAGAGAACAATAATATGCTGCATAACATCCTTACATACGTAAACCTACGAAAATATTTGAATAAAATACGCAAGAATTGTGTGCACAGCTCCACATTTGGGTGCACCACCCAGTATTTCGAGCCCTGAAGAGGTAGTCCTGGATTACGGCTCGTCGTCTGCAAATTGGAAAACGCCGATTCGGCGCGTGTCGGGGATTTCACGTGAGTGAAACTCGATATTTGCCGGTGTCCAGTCTTACACCTGGCTTAGGCTTTAAAGGAAGGCCACATCACGTGACGAGAGATATCGATGGTACCTTTATTTTCATTACTGATTGATCAAAGAGCTCATGTGGAGTATCCCCGTACCCAATGGCATAAAGAGAGATGAGATGAGAGAAATGAACTGGTTTATTAATACATCGCACACTAATTATATAAAAGTTTAACATCATAGTCCTGATGCTAAATTGCAGCGTACTATTATACATGCTAAAAAACACATCCGAAGACCATTAGCCTAAATATTTACATCTAGAGGTCGCCGACAGACATCCTCACATTGTGTTCAATAGAAGAAGAAGGTCTTCCATGCTCTTATGCAGAGCATAGGCTAGGGTGGTGCCCATCTCCATTTCCGATAGCCCTTGGGCGACACACAGTAGTGCAAGGCACTGCAGCAGGGGGCTATTCCACTGGTAAATGTATTCAATACATTATCACAATATGGCAAGATGGTATTCATAAAACGAGATGTCCGACATTTGAACTAGTGAAATGAAATCCTTAAATCCGTAAATGTATTCAATACATTAACACAATATGGTAAGGTAGTATTCATAAAACGAGATGTCCGACATTTGAACTAGTGAAATGAAATCCTTCTAGCGAATCCTATAAAGTGTGTCGAAGCACAAAACGCGCTACAAAGTAAAACTGGTCTACACCAGTAAATCATAATGTATCTTGTTTCATCTCAGTGCGTTGTACAAAAACTCTCACCCAGTTCACCTCAAATCGGCATGATCCGAAATACATATGAACTAAGCATACGGTCCGAAAAAATCCTATATTGGGAAAGACCCCGCATCCTGCTCTTGAGTACAATGCTAATACCCCAAACTGTGGCCTATGGAAATAGCATTTACTAATGGATTGTACCGGGGTGATATTTCCAAACCTCTCTCTCTGAACATATACGATGAATGAATGAATGAATGAACTTTATTGCTCGACAATCGTACATGGTACAATGTGTGGCAGTAATACAACAATACTTATGTGATGCCAGCGCCAGCTCCATTTCAGGCGGGTCTATAGGAAGTGTATTACGGCGCTATTTTCTCGGCCGTCGTGTTATCTTCTGGCGGCCAGACATACTTTAGAGTGATTTGTCTCGATGGGAACGCAGGTTTTGATAAGCCGGGGTGGTCACGTAGCTTTTCCCAGTCAACCTCGGCGACCTTCATAGGAGGAGACACGGCGCTTAGGCCCATTTTACCGCGTATGTACATGTAACACAAACGTAAAACCCGTCCGAACGTACGCTGCACTACAAATTAAAGACTGCACGCAGCAGCTTGTAATGACTTCAGATTAGACCCCGGGTAGCCTTTATTAGTTTTTTAAATGATGTCTGGTGGTAGGCGTTTAACGTGGCCTCTAAGATAAAGGTTTCAAAATGGTCTATTAACGTGCTACGTAGAGGGTGAATATGTTCGCTTAATGCTAGCCGCGGGTCCACTATTTAATGTTAGCTTTACTAATATCGATTGTCTTCCTCGAGCCACTAACACTCCTACAGGTTTGCAGATCTAGTTTGTGCATGAATCGCACTTTTCTATCCAGGAATATTGTGATAAATTGCTGAATAATAAGCGTACTTGAACTTTATGTACTGTACTTCAGGCAAGCCGTTTGAGTTGGAATGAAGTGCGCTTAAATGCTAAAATATGGCAGATATAGCGGAATTTATCATTTGATCTTAAGACGAATTATAGTTTGTATTCCATCCAGAAATATCATGATGAATTGCTGAATAATGTTCTTACTTGAACTTTAGGTACTGTACTTCAGGCAAGTCATTTGAGTTTGAATGAAGTGCGCTTTACTGCTGAAATATGGCAGATAGCAAAATTTATCTTTAAATCTTAAGAGGGATTATATTTTGCATCTATAGGACGAAGTGCGTCATCGACAGCGCGTTGATTGTTTCCAAACGCGTTGATCGCGCGTTGATCGCACACAAAAAGTTAACTTTCTGCTTTTATCGTGATGCAGGAAACCCGCTTAAGCTTAAAGGCATCTATTGCAGTTTTTTAGGCTTGGAAACCCGATTTTTCAGAGTCAATATTCTAGTCGCTTATTTACTTACTAAGTTGAGCCACAGTATCCCGATGTATATTGATCCTCACGGAGCACATTTACCCAAAGTTCTGATGGCAAATGGTTACTGGAAGAGCCCTACTACTGGGCTGATTTTTAGGGTACCACCCAATAAAGGACTCATCTTTGGGTTTGTTTCTGCAGTTTTAAAAGCCCAAAGTATGAAATGCTGACTCAAATGGGCCAATAAAACAGTATGTGTCAATTTCACAAAAATTGCCTCATTCAGAATATTTCCAGTTTTGCTGCCCTGAAATCGCATTGGAGAGAGTTATACAAAAAAGTAGATGAGACGTACAATCTAGGTAATGCAACAAGACACGTACTGAGGAGAAATCCATCGGATATCATACTCTGTGAAAATTGAACATCCAAGAAGCCATTTGCTGCATCACCGCCTTTGACAATTGCTCTATCTACTCGAGTATAGGACTTAGCATCATGTATCACAATTTTAGAACCATGGAAATCTTAAGAACTTAAAAGGTTTCTCTCTTGCGTCCCCGCCTTGTAGCTAAGTCTAAGTATGGCAGAGTATGCTTCAAAGGAATTCCTTACTGCCTAGTATGTGCATAAGTTAGTAAGAGAATCGAATCAGATGCTTACTAGGCAATATCATTATGGCACTAGTATTATTGCCCTGCCATAAATGCCATGTGCATATCTATATCTTGCATGCTTTTTATTGTCCTCCTACAAAATAATAGGATATTTAGAAGGGTCTTTTCCAGGATCGTTGGTATGATTCTTTCATCCAGTGTCAGCTTTGATCTGTCATTTATCTAGAGTCCATCATCCATAGTAGAGTTAGTATTTGAATGAAATTGTCTGAAAAGAACAGTGATATGTCACCATGTAAAAGCAAGAATGGTGTGATCATAGGTATCTTGTCAGGAACGATGGCTAACACGCTTTAATTTCCGCATTAAAAGTGATCTTCAGCATTGGAACATCCTCGGTGAATCTGCAGATCTCCTGACCTCCATGGTCAGTGTATTTGTCAGACGTCTCCCTCAATGGGTTGTTGTATATGTCAACGTCCGTTCATGGACTCAGTTCATAAGGAGACATGAGATGGACTAGAATGAATCGAATGCTGTTATTAGTGAAAGAAGGAATCAATCAACTTTATTGCTCGACAGTTGTACAGGGTACAAAATAGAGCTATTGGAGTGGGTTCACGTATGACAACAATGCGATCATCACAATAATAATCTTCCTAGAAACTATTACTACATGATATGAACGTAAATGGCGTATTGACATGATGTACTTTAAACATTTCTGTCTGTCACAATTCTTTATTTTCTAAAGCGATACATACATATTGGATTAGGTACATAGATACATAGTCGGGCATGACATACGTGGATTGAAAATGCATAAGTACGTTCACCTTTTGCAAAGGTTTACTAGATTTACTAGTGATTATAGATTCATTAATTTTTGTCTATCTACTGTATACGATTGACATGTCATATAAATGCTTGTAATGAACGTTGTTATGGTATGAGTTGGGTGGGTGGGGTACTCGATGGAGCTCGTTCATTTTTCAAACGGCCACAGTGTTTCACATATAATAACATATGACGATTCACATTTTGAAAAAAAATCACATTTTGGGGTTTCATGTATTTCTGATAGAATTCACATTACATTACATCACATTTTTTTATATTTTCTTGACATTTTGCACCAAATTCACATAATATTCACATTTATGAACCTGGTAGTGAGCTCGCTCATTGAAATTCCCGAGTTCTAGAGCCTTTTATAACTTTACCATCATGGAGACGACCCTCGCCACTGACCCTAGTTTGATTTTTATTTCAGATTTCAATGAACGTCGTAAGGTGTGATTGCCTATTCTTTATATCACCGAAATCATAATCATCTTCAGTGCAGGACCGTGCCCGGAAAGGACCTTTGCTTATCTCTTCAGCCTACTCTTCGAAGGTTTCATAAATATCAAATAAACGATAAGATGATACAATAAAGCGGAGACGGCTGCGGGAAGCGCTCAATATAGCCTGCTATTTTTCTCCTTCTCGACCTAAGGTAGCCTTATCAGTTATTTCTCATTGCATGCACGCAGACGTGAACCCACTCCAATAGCTCTATTGTGAAATTATTACATGGGCAATCCTTCACGTCATTGAGAAGTAGCGTGACAAATGAGACCAAACCCGCGTATAAATGCCCCATGAAGTTTACAGATGAACCTGAAATTGTCTACTCTACAAGAATGCTACAACATAGTTGGTGACATTTAAGGAACTGCCAGGATGTCTCTCCTAGATTAGAGTTCAGAGCTACTGCCGGAGCACAGTTAGCTACCCCGTAATGAGGTCATGACCTCTGGGCCCTGGAACTAGGATAAGACAGCAGAACGTACTGCGCCTGCTTAAAACCGGTAATGTAGTGTGCATGGTTTTTCGAAAAAAAAAACCCGTCTCGTTTGAAGTCAATTTTTAGTACTTTCAAGTACAAAATTTAAAAGTTAACTTAAATGTGACATCCTGTCCATAGTTTGCAAATGGTATGTTCAAAAAGATATTGTCTGCAAACAAAAAAATGTGATGCAACATTGACCAAACATCCAATGAAAAACGTTAAAAATCCGGGATTCTGACAGGCGCTGTGCGTTCTGCCTATCTGCTGGATTCGACCAGTCTACTCCAAGATTGCGAATCACCATTAAATCATCTTGGCCGAGCCAGCAAGGCATTGCCATTAATAATTTGTTGGAAATCTTATCAAGGATCGTATTTAAAAACTAATCGGCACTTTAGCATAAAAACTTAAGATTAACAACAACTGGCATGTCGTTATATATAATACGTCAAAATGCAGGGCATGTCTACTAGGTCTAAGTGTATATATAACGCTAAGCTTGTGTAACATATCTTTGTGCTTGACATAACATATGTGAGATAACTGCTACGGTTTCTCTCTTCTCTTGACGTATATATTGCACTTTTTTATTCGAACAGATGTATATTTATTACAACCTATATCCCTTAGAAGTGCAGTGTCTTTTTAATCATCGCCATTTTAACTACCGTCTTTTTAAATTGTCAATGGATTTTAGTATGTAAAATACTGACTGTTTGTATTGAATTGTTTTTAAACTGTGTAAATTGGACGCAATTCAATGATACACTGCAATGTTCAATAAAGTAATCTTGAATCTTGACTTGACTTCGTTTTAGTTTGCTACGGTTTAAAAGGCAGATAAATGTGGCATCATGCAGTTGCAGAATGACAGGGGATCAACGTTAGGGGTTTAGCCAGTCTCGCCATCCTAATACCACTGTCTCATAAACTATCTGTCTGATGTAAACATGGACCCACTACAGGCTAAATTGACTAGCAGGAGGCCAAGTTGAATGGCGATGTCCTTTTAACACTTGTCAAATTGATATCCTTGGGCGTCTCTGCGCACACAATTCGTTTGATAGCTTAAGTTCGGTATCATATCAAATAGGCAATAGAGACAGCATGTGGCAGCTTAACGTCACATATCCATAAACCAAGCTGAAAGCCAAAACGCAGGTGCATTACGCCATGTCTCTACTTTACGCATCATTGGGCTTTAAGCTGTCTAAGTGTCATAAATGATAGATGGACCATTAAAGGAAAAGACAGTCGTGAAAGTGGAAAAAATTAATACGGTTAGCGCTACAAATTCTCTCTACTGCTCTCGTCCTTGAGGACTCGGAAGGTGCATGATGAAAAAAAAATATTCAAACAAAACACATTCACATTGCCAATTAAGACCACAGAAAGTAATTTTTATGGATGACATCAGCGCGCGTAATAACTTTCGCCTGATTTTGAAAAACAAACAAGAAATTTGCCATCTGACAGTGGTCAACTTGTCAAAAATAGGCAAAGATGTCTGTTGCCATGCCGGAACATTGATAGCAGATAAATATGATCGTCGAATAGAGGAGACAAGAAAAGGCTCTGATTTAATTTTCTAATCAAGTTTTTTTTTTACTTTGATGCAGTGATATATGATGGTGACTGTGCATATGTGATGTTCCCACTGAATCAAAACCATTTGTACAATGATTAAGTCAAAGTGTAAAAATGTAGGAACCTTCTTTTTTTCGGCCCGCTTTGTTTTTTTTTTTCGCCCGCTCGCATTAGATATGGAGTCTGCGTGGGATCGCATCCATAAAAGTTTCTTGCCGTGGCCTTACGTCTAGTTTTAGACTCTCAATCTATCAATTTGAAGCTGTCTTTCAGACATTATATACCACTGTTTGATCTATTCACTGTATGCGTTATCACGAATGCCAGTTTAGGGGAAAAGAGACTCCTAGGACAATACGTGATCTGTGTAAGAGATTATATCTTTTGGAGTTGACAAGTTGTTCACCCCCAAACTATATAAAAGGATATATGATAACACTTTAATTTTCTGGTCAATTACAATTCAAGATGGTGTCAACGGATAGAGGGTGTCCAGAACTACAGAGTACGTGTGTCGGTTGAAGTAATAGTAAAATTAGGCCACAGAGCGATAGTGCAGAAAAAAACTAAAATAAAGGCAGGCCTAGGTATCTTATGATAGCCCCAAATGCTGTGATAGGAGCCATGATGTCAACATACCAGGCAATGAATTTCAAACTTTCAATCAAACCATTGCATTGATAGATGAAGAGAGGGGACTTCCTTCAACTGTTTGGGTCAAAATATGAGGATTTTGGAGTTGCCTGAAATGAAAAAAAAATCAGAAAAAAATGAAGCTGGCTAATCTGTGAACAAACAAATTGAATTGGTGTGGCCTTATGACATTTGACATCGAAGATGGGGTAGGAATGTCATAGCTTTCCGTTACATCCGGAGGGTCCTCACTAGTATAGCCTCAGTGAACAGTGCAAGGATGTTTCCAATTGATATATTCAGCGTCTATAGATAAAGAAATTTGTAGTAACGCCACAGTAAGTACATCCTCCATAGACTCCAAATCTAAAGCGATAGGGTGAAAAAAACAAGGCAGGCTAAAAAAAAAAATTCCTACATTTTTAAATGGCGAACGTAAAAATTACTTGCTGTTGCCTAAATTGACCTTTACCCGCAGTAGCAGACCCGTTGGAACTCTTTATAGCAGTATTACATTTGAGTGGGGGGAGCCGGGCACACTAGTATCCTATCATTGGGTATGGCATACACTTGATTTGATTTCATTTGATTTATTAGGTTGTATAAAAATGACACAGCCAGGACTGCCCAACTAGCCGGAGGCTATTGTAAAGGGTAACTGCGCAATATACAATAAAACAGTTATAATGCTCATTTATATGCGAATCAGAGGTTGATTTTACTGGCATACACTTGCCCAAACTCCCAGCAGCTGACTGAACCCACTCCCCAGCCTTACGACATTTATTACTAACATTTATTATTATTAATAGAAAACGCGTTTGTCAGGAAAAGGCTAGGCTGATTCACAAAGTATTTTCTATTACATAATATATTCTTGGATAGATGTCAACAATTCTTTGACGACAAACGATCTTTGAATGCCGCCAATTCCCGCGTTCGCACTTGGTTAGCCAACGTGTTCCAAACCCATTGGCACACATAATATTCAAATGGAAGCGTATCAGTTGCGGTTTATAAATAACTGCCCCCTGGTGTTGAGTGAATGTTCGGTATGGGAGTCATTATCAGTCATTTGCACCTTCCATTGCCGCCAACTGAAGACTAACAAAATGTTGCAGAGTCTCTTCTTCATATAAAGCCATTTTAAAGGTTTTATTTCAATATCCTTGGGCCATGGAGTTGACTGATAGTGTTACACGTATCAGACACATGTGCTTATGCCTGATAATAAAAACTGGTTCCAAAACATGTACAGCAATAATTTTCTTTATTCATATATTATCTGTTACTTCCTTACAATGATTTTGATAATGATTTAAGCAATGCAACTTCCATATGTTTGTTACGTCTCGTTATGTTTTCGAAAGGCCAGACACATTATTGCTAAGTAACTTAGTCTCTGGTGGAAGTATTTGCATCATGTTGCTCGGACGGCCACTAATTTGGTTCCAAAGATTATGGTCATCAAAATGTACGTAAAGTGGAGGGAGAGCTTTTCAATTCCACGTTGGATTGATAAATGGGCAAATCGTCGATGAGGGGATCTAATATCGATAAATCCGTGCAATAAGCTGAGAACTGGGGTCCTGGGAAAGGACATATACAGAATTCCGCCATTTTTTGTGACGTCACGAATGCTGAAGATGTCGTCTGTGGGTCAGAGTTGAGAGGACAGTTCTACTGTTCCAGCAAGGCACGCCGAAACCGTCCTTATTTACACGAAATCTCTGCGTGTCCTGAGAAAACAACTGACATAAATTATGTATGTTGTCGTTAGATTATGATAAACTAACTGCGCATGTGCGAAAACAGTGCATGCGCAGCAGGGGTGGGACATTATTCTGAGTGTTCGCCCCACACAACCCGGTAATTGGACATTCTGCAAGACGGAGCGAAATACGATCCGCATATAAATTTGAGAATAGAGACTTGCCTGCTGGGATAGGGTGCCTGTGCCCTGGAATATTTGCTCTCTTTGCGACGGGGAGGGCCAGTCGGCATCGGACCAAAGAGCTAGCGGAAGGTATGCACGGCATTTTACAGCTACAACGTAGAATATCGGTAAGTGTTCCGACTTCACAATTAGACATTAACATAGAGAGACTACGCCTGCACCGTTTTGTTGTTATATATTCATATTGTCTTGTACCGATACAAGGAAGGGTGTTTAAACACCATGCCTGAAATAGGAGCTTCACATATCTGATAGCGCAATATATAGGAGACATACATGGCGGCCATGCTTGGTACGCAAACGGAAAGATAAGGCTCAGACGGTAGATACCAATCGTCAGTTGTTTCTATAAAACTCACTGTCTGACACAAATTCTCACGTTGTAGACACCAAAGTCCCCTGGGATAGTTTTAAATGTCAGCTTCCGGATGTTGAACCTAGCGGATTTATACACACAGAACGTCATGCAGTGGTCTGGAATACTTGTCACATTCAAGCGAACCCCCCAAGCCGGCACGGGCGTTATTTTTAGTCCCCTGAAACGCACGCCAAGTTCACACCATTTAAGTGCATGGGGCTTCCTTGAATAATCATTACGAATGATAATCAACAATCCATCATGCCAAAATCCCATTTTCTAATCACGTATGATTTGAGAGAAATTCCTACATCTACAAGATAGAGTCTGTGGTTTGGCAATCCCAGTGATGTTCCATATAGCCATTCCAAAATGATCAAATTACAAGATACATAGGCGAGCATGGCTAGCTCATTCAATGCAGTATACATGTACAGCAATTTGTACAACGATGAGATGTTGTCGAGCCTAAAACAAGACAGAGTCAAACAGACACAAGATACACACGTTTTGCTGAGTCTTATATAAGACCTAATTGCTAAATCCGTAGTTGTATTTACGTCAATGGGTAACATTAGCAAGCACGGTACAAATCTCGCTGTTGAATGACACATCGTCAAGCACGGCCCAGTCTTGCGATTCTAAATTGGAACGAGAGGTAAGATATCGTCACAACATGTATGGTTGACTAGCCTTGTAAGTGATTCTAAAGTTTCAACTAAAGAAAAATACTAGACATTTACCTAGAATCACGTAGCATAGACTCATCAAAATATGTCCATTTGTTATTGTTATACGATCAGACACCATAAGTCGTGTCCTTTTTTTCGACTTGGAACTTAATGCAGGACATTTTTGCTAATGCCATTTTGCAGAGCCTTGTTTCTTGGGGGATATAAATCTCATGTATTTATTATTAGAACCCTTTTGAAGAGAGGGACGAAGGGGCTTACTTTATTTATATCCAGAGCCTAGTGCAGATGTTGCTTTTTGAAGGGATTCCACTCGATCCGCAGTGCGTGCCAGACATACAGCAGTGACCACGTGTGTCAGAAACGGTCGCCATGGCCTGGATCTGTGTTATAAAGCAGCATCGAAGAAGGCATATGCAAATCAAAACGTCGTTTAAATGCAACAAGATGTGACAAAACATGTTCTGGCGATGGCAATGTTGTGTACATGCAATCTACATGCAATCAAGCTATTGGACAAGCAATCTGAGCAAATACCGTTAGCAAAACATAACTAATTGATTTTCTAATTTCCCTTAATTGCTTTCCCAGATAATTAGTCTGTAACATGTGTGGACGAGTATGTTCAGGATGTGTACCATATATCCAAACGGGAAGGATTTGCCATTGCGGTGAACTGGAGAAAAAAAAATTCCAATCTACCAAAATGGCTGACCAGGGCCAGCCAGGGGTCGCTGGATGTCCGATTTGGCCTGTCGACCATGGCTTGCACCTGTTACTCCATTGATACGGGCCAGTCAATGGCCTCGACATGCGATAGATAAACATTGCTTCGTATGGTTCCATGACAACGCGTTAGTGCATCGACCCAAAAGGCATAAAAGTCAGCTTGATAACAAGTATCTGTTACCAGCCTAGAAAAGAACAAGAAACAGCCATGCCTTCAAATATCAGAGTTATCAACCAAGAATTGAGGTGTCAAAAGAATTTAGGTGTATTTTCCAAGAACTATTGTAGAGTGGAACTCGTTGCGACCAAGTACAAAGATTGAGTGTAATGAGTCGTTTTGTGTATTATACATATGTACAGATACAGACAAAAAGTACCAATATATACACGTACTGGATAATATCGGTGATGACACTAATTCCTCTTTATTCATCTTTTCATTATGCATGTAAGTGGTTCCCATTTTACAGCCATAATTTGTAAGTAATGAAAAGAAAGCTCACTGTCAAAACGTCTACACGAAGAGTTATTGAATTAACCAAGTATATCAATGCGTGTTTTGTCTTTATAGACCATTTGGGTGCTATCTGCAATATTGGAGAAAAGCTAATACTCCCTGAGTACCCAATTCCGTTTGCTTTAGCTGGTTCAATCATGAATGAATTCAAAGTAGACACCATTACGTTCAGACGGAAAATTAACTACTAAGAAATACATTGCAGGACAGTATTGAGGCAATGTGTTTTAAAGTAATTCGTGTGAAGTTTCTAACCATTTAAAAGGCCAGATAAATAAATAAAATAAGACAACATACTGTACTATAGCTACGAGCCTTGTTTGATCTCTCCAGATTGTTATCAGTATTTAAAGGAGATATCATGTGGATAGCTATTCTTTGAAATCCGAGTTATCTCATGAAAAATTCTTTAATTGATTACATATGTTGAAAGACTGAATAGAAGATTAATTGATAAAGATTATCAATTATTGTCTGTTGCATATAGCAGATAGACAACACGTATGGAATTTTTTCTACGTTCCCTAGTTAAGCTCAGAGTCTGGATTGTTCTATAATGTCCTACTTAGACATGATAAAACCAATTTTTCAGAGCAGACAAGGAAAGGAGTATGCAACAACAGCACATAGTACACCTTGTCGTGATCTGCAAACATTTTACTAATCTTCAAGCAGATATTCCAAGGGCTACCCCCAGCGTTATTGCAGTATTATCGTTGATACTTGTCCTAGTCAGAATATTACGACATTGGAAATATCGTTTGAACTTGGGGATTCTTTTCTGCATGTACGTGTTAAAAAAAAGATACAAGATGGCTTAATTGGCATTCGCAGTGTGTAACACTGAATTAAAACCGAATTTACAATAATCACAATTAGACAAAAACAGTTACAATTGCTAAAATATAAGATGTATACAAACAAGTTAAAACTACATGTCAAACACAGTTACAAACGACAAATTGGTATTTACAATGCTAAATTAAGCCTATGCTGGTTAAGGAGTAGGATCTAGCATTCAGGTATCTGTTTGTATTGGCTTTAGGATAGTCCAGTTACTCTTCCATCCCAGTGGTTTGTGTAGAAGGACTGATGCATAGATGATGAAGTCTCCCCGAAGACTGGTGATTAAGTCTGCCTGTTTCCGACTGGATCTAATTTCACCATGACCCCCTCATGCCCGCTCACATCGGGAAGGTCGTTCTGGAGATTTCGTGATGGCATTGGAAGTCTGCCTGAGTACTGGCTGCCCACAAACCTATTTTCCGTTCCTAACGTAAGCTGCGATGAAATCAGGGTTATTCTGTCAATTGAAATGCAAATGAACCCTGTCAGGGTTATTCGGGCCGGTCAGGATAGTAATGGAGCTAAGTTTGAATGGCGACATCTATCTTTGCAGACAAATGTGGCATGGAAGAAATTTTCTTCTCTTCCAAATTGTTATCCAAATGCTGAAAAATGTAATAATGAGATAACCTATCGGGCTAAGTACAGGTCAACAGATGAATAGCTAAATGATATTATAATACAGAGATATATCTCCCACATAATATACATTTTGAACTTTTTTTTCTCATTTGGGTAATCTTTTGTCATCTTTTTTGTATCTAAATAATTGATATCTCATCTCTGTGTTATTGTTATGTTTCCTCACAGGAGTGACATCAGTGTGAACCATCACGAGGGTCGACTCTAGACCTTCTCAAGTAGATACACGGACTTTCTAAGAACTTTTATACGTCCAAAATGTCGGCAACGACAGAAGCTGCCGCCCTCGGGACGGACGCTATCGACGTCGCCACGGCGGTTCCCGGCGATGACGGGACCGGGGACGACGGGGACGCCCTCTCGGGAGTAGAGGACATCATCTCCGCCATCCTGCCGGGCGCGTGCGAGACGTGGAACGACGCGCAGCACGTCCTGTTCCAGCTGGCTTCTATCTGCTTCCTCTTAGCTCTCCTCCTTCCGCAAGTCATTAAACCACACACATGGATTTTCCGCGGGCTTTTGATTCTCGGCTTTATTTTCATGGCACTGTGGGGAGGGATCGCCGTCTGTATAGCTGATGTCATCGGCTGGTACATCCTGTTTATCGTCATGAACCTAGTACACGTCAGCTACCTCGCCTACATTCAGCGGGAGGCAGAGTTCGAGAAGATTCTTGAAGACGTCTATGCGAAAATCTTCGAACCCCTTAAGGTGAGAGACTTTAGCTTCTAAAAGTTTCACTTCACTTATTTGCACATCAATAAATAGTTTGCTTATAAAGCTCCCCACTCTCCAGTGTCACTGACAAAAGGTATGGTGTGGATGCTGCCTGAAACGTCTGAACGTTTAAAAAATCATATCCAGTTGCTTGTCAATGAGTAACTGTTTTTGGTGTATCTTATTACCTGGATGTCTAACCTTCACCGACGAGAGGGATTGCTGTTCAAAAAAGCGTACACTTGCACACCTGTGCACAAGAAACTGTTACCTAATCACCTAGGTAGATTTTACAATCCATCCAGTTATATCTTATTGCCTAGATGTCTACGTACCTTCGTCGATGTTTCACATCTATGTGTTCAGATTGCGAATATATGGTTAAAATTATGTTTGTGAATGATATTGAAAATTTGGTAAAATGTTTACAGTCCTTTAGTCTAGATTCTGTAACATTAGCTAGCGCTATTTCATATAGACCAGGTAAAAATTATAATCATTATAGCGTTTTGATGCCGTAACCCACCAGTCACGTTGTAGTTGTAGTAGTAGCAGCAGCAGTAGACAAGATTTTTTTCCACAACTGAAATAAAAACTATTGAATAAAATCTTTTGCTCTGTGGAAAACTTTAAATTGCTAATGCAACTAGACAACCCTTCCATCGAATAACATATGTTCCTTTATTTATTCCTACTACAAGCCGAGAAGTTGATTTCATCTCATGCTAGTTTATTTGTATCCGTTAACTCTATCGACTCACCATGTTTTGTTGTGACCTGTACGTAGCTCAATGAAGGTCGCCATTCATTCAATAAACGTTCCACTTTTAAATTGCCCCCTCCTCCCCACCTCTAGGTGACCCGTGATACATTTGCTAACCTAGTCGGTGCGAGAGGCAAGGTCTTCGAGCTGAAACAGGGAGACGTTTACGCCGTGGAAGGAAGAACGACGTCGGAAGATAGGATCGCCATCCTGATCTCTGGAACGTGAGTTCATCAATTATTCTATACCTCTATTTTGTTCAACATTCAATTATAGCAGTTGCCATACATAAGTATACCATGGCATGTACGGTTGTCGTGCAATAAGATTGTTCCTTGAGATACGTAGCCTGAATAAATCGCGCTCCTGGCGGACGCCCGCCCCTAAGGTGGGGGTCACTAACTCCCGGCCGAGAGAGCTTGTGTAAACATCGGCTATGTAATACGAATTCACTCGTAATTTGTTGGTATAAAAAAAGTACCGTCAAATAATCCATGACGCGAAAGATTTGACCATAAAAGATCCAGTTATATCATGAATGCTTCTAGACTATACTAGGCCTATACGAGGATGTTGAATGCCTACCTTTACTTGATTATGACTTAATGAAATAGAACATCACACATTCAAAGGCATAAGAACTAGATGTATATAAGATGCACTGTTAAATACTCTTAGACATTCTACTATTTCTTGTAACAGTAAGTAAATACTTACCACCTATCCTTCATTGCAGTCTAAGGGTCTCGTGTGAGGACCACCTTCTGCATTACATCTACCCCAACCAGTTCATCGACTCTTGTGAATGGGAAGCCTTCAGGCTCAACCAAGGAAAGCAGTTCCAAGTAAGTCCTACATGATAAAGATATCATGAAATTGCACACGGTTTTTAAAATCTATGTTGTTTTTTTCTGGTTAAAATGTGTGTGTTATTCTAAACCTTATTGCTTCAAGTAATAAGCATGATATGTATTTGTTATACTTCACAACAATGTATTCGGTCTACTTAAAATTACTCTTTTGTACGGTTTTATGTTACTCAGCTTTCTGGAAGACCTCACACGTTGTGTTATTGCCCACGTATACTTTGTGTACATAAATTTGGAGTAAGTACATTCTGACTAACAGCTGATTTGCGCAGGTGTCTATCGCCGCTGAGACTCCGTGCCGCTACATCTGCTGGCCACGTGAACACCTGAAGTTCTACCTGCAAATGGACCCGTTCCTGGACGCCGTGTTCCACAACATCATCGGTACGTACTCCTGCATATTCAGTCTTGTAACAGTGTTAATGCAGATAGGATGTTTCCTGTTAATCGTTTGCAGTTACCGGTTCTTTGGTTGAGTGATGGGGAGAACGCTTTCTGGAGCTTAAAGTTTCACGAGATCCTAGGCACCCGCTCTTGAGTGTCCCAGCGGCGAACAAAGAACCAAGCGACTGAAATCGCTCCATGCTTGTACTTGTAAGGTCAGGCGAAAGGCCATTCAAATTACTGACCAATAGCAGCTTATGGTAAATAGTATCTACACTTTTAATGTAACCATAAACTCAACCATCTTGATGATGCAAAATCCTTTAACATCAATGGGGTGCATTGAGTAAATATGTACTCTTTGCGGATTCAGCCTGTGGCAGAAGTTTCCTGACATCCATACCGTAAGGTTGTAGATTAAACGTATTGCCTGTCTGATCCTTTGATGTTTTGATCTTATTCTACAGGAAAGGACATCATAACCAAGCTGTACCTGCTGAACGAGCAGCTGATCCGTAAGCCGCCCAAGACCCTGAACATGGTGGACATCCGTAACTCCGTGGCCAGGGACGACCCCACCTTCACAATGCAGCGTCTCTCCCAACTCGGCAGCCCGGAGGACTTCGCCGCTTTCAAGCCACGTAAGTCTGCCTCTAACACCACAAACAGTTGATCGTGTGTTCTTGTTTTATGTTTACTGAAATTCCGCCTTCCTCTCGTTTGTTATTCGTCCTCATTTACAGCTTTTGTTGAAGTCACTGGTGCTTCACTTCTGGGCGATGACTTGCCCAATGTTCTGTGTGACTGCTTCATACGAGGAGAGAATCTTAACGTTGAGCTTGAAACAGGGCTATAAAATACAGCATTTAAGAGACAGCGGTGCACAGTGTAATGACCAGCATGTTCTAGTCAGCGACAATTGGACATAACACTACAATGAAAGCTGTAAAAGGGGGTTGTCCTGACAAAATTTCGCAAAGCAACATCCAGGGGTGCAGTTGTACTTGATCTGGTTTTCTAGGTGGTGGAAGGACGTCCTTTTTTTAGTAGGTGGACGGCTACTCTAAGCGAAGAGAGTCCACCAGGTAGGAAACAGATCAAACCAATCTAACAGGAACGGGCAGAAGAAATGGAACGCATTTTCTGCAAGAAACGCTACAATTTTGGTTTCCTTCCTTAGACAGAAACGGTATTCTAAGTCTGGCCCTCCTCTTTGAACATCTTTGAATTATATCAAAATTCGCAAACGTTGTCGTGTTACTGAGTTGAACCAATACGTTGGTCTTGCTTTACTGACATCACTAACCGGTTTGTTTGACCTTGTGCCCTTGGCAGCAAGAGGCGTACGTGCATGACGTTGTACGTCTTTTCCTGTGACTCAGAACGTAAACAAACGACACTTTCTGACAACCCTGCCCTTCTGTTTCAGTGTCGATGCCTGGTGACAAGCCGCCGCCCGGAGGAAGACCACTGAGCATGTCATTTGAGACGACCGTCTAAGGAGAAGCATATTATGGATCTGGCATTTGCAGGAGGCCGCCATCTTGTTTCAAAATGGTGCCATCCATCTATGTTGACTAAGTCGACTACGTTGAAATTCGAGTCTTGAGATGAAATTATAAGGTTCAAAAAAGTTCCTTGGATCTAATCATGGAAGATAAGACTTAAAAACACCATCCGTGTGTACCAATGTGTTTTTGTGTTACAATAACATTGTGCCAAGTGCCTCTGTTTCTACTCAGGGGCCAAACGCCTTGTAGACAGAATTTTCGGCAACTTTGTTACAGAGGCTGTCTTGTAATTAACACTTTACAGGTGGATTAGGTAAAAGTGTAAATAATTTTATCGATTTAGAATTGCTTTTGGCATCTAAGTTGGTGGTGTCTTAATTGTTTAGTTGTTCTTTTCCTTGTCACTGAGGATTCTGTTTTCATTCACAACTCATGGTATGCGTTAGCTGACCAATTTGATATCGTCTATTTCTAAATTCACATTTCAGCTTTCCACACCTAGATGTGTGTAGAGATGCTTTTCTAATTCAAGCATATGTAATCCTTGTGACTTCGCAAATTATTTTATGGCAAGAAAATCGTGATTCACGTTGAGCTTTTATTTCATATCCATATTTTACCAATGGATTCACCATTTCTCAAGCAAAAACTGAATGTGTTTCTTTGGCCTTAGCCACATTTGTCGAGTGCTAATTGTACGTAATTGTCAAAATCTTTGTAATTTCTACCAAAACTTACTCCAGCTAGGAGATAGAAGAACGTAGTTGTTAGTTTGCTTTGCAATAAACTAAGTTGAAAATATATGACGACTTGGTCACAGATATATTGGAAAAATACAGGAGAAAACAACAACTAAGTGAGGTAGTTTAAAACTTACGGTTGTGGCAGTAGCGAAGTTTGTGCTGACCATGGACTTGTTATTTTTGTATATTGTCCCTGCTGTACAGATTTGGCATGTTCGGTGTGTTCAAAGAATGACTCTAGTACACTCTAGTAAATTTTAGTACGAATAGACTTTATTGCTGTCATAAGAAACTCTATTTCCAACATAATATTTATTTCGAAGTGAGATGTAACCGTGTGTGAACATTTGCACTTCAAGTGTACATATTTCATGATTTCATTTGTCACAAAGTGTTTTCTATCTGTATTCAGATCAGTACAACAGTTTTGTCGGCACGTTGAATTTGTTCTAGTTCCCGATGCATACATTATCGTAGTTTAGTTAGGTGTATGTCTGTACGAGAATATTCAGGAATAAAGCGTTTGCGTTGAAGTTTCTGGCCATATCCTCTTTATTGTGTTGTGTCGCAAAATATTTTCTAAATTGTCGTGTTTTGAAATACCACCAACAGTAAAGGCGCGGTCACATTTCCCGACCCGGGGCCAAAACAAAACAAAACAAATGTTTTAAAAATTAACCATGTCCATGAACACTATTTATAAATACTCTTGATACAAATTGTTCATTTTTGGTTCACGCAAACAACCCGGCCGGGCCCCGGTAGGGAAATGTGACCGCGCCCTAAACACAGTACCACAATACGCCAAAAAACTCAAGCAACTGGATATAATTATGTCTAAAATCATATCCAGTTGCTTGAGTAATGGTTTTTTTGTGTGTGTGTGTATCTTATACCTGTATGTCTAACCTTCACCGACGTACGTACCACAAATAGCACCAATATTCCCTCTTTTCGGCATATAATTGGTGGACTAATTCTAAGCTGTGTTATTTCTATGCTGTTGAATAGGAGGTACGAACGACTCAATAAAGAAGTCTACCTTAAAACTCTCCACTTAACTGGCGACAGCATTGCTGAGTCGACAAATGGCCGGTATCTGAGTGTATTCTTTGCTTCGTGCACACTAAGATAGCTTGACGTCGGTCTCACTGGAGTGACTATAATAAACTTAGGCACGCTTGAGTTAGCATGAAACTTAAAGGATCACTCGTCTCCCCAGGCGACCTGGTATCCTAGCAACGCCATCACCTCATAAATTACCCACCCTGGCGAATGATGTTCTAAATTTGCCTTGCATTGTGTGGCTACCGCAGCAATCCTATTTGGTGAATGGGTTTTTCTGTATAACGCATTACGTGGATATACTCAATCAGACTTTCTGTGACAGGGATATGTACTTTTGAGTGCGTGCAGCGTATGACACTTTTGGTTTGCTGGGCAGGTGCATATTTCTGAATGACACGGTGTCTAGATGTGTGTCAGAAAAGGTGATAATCAGTAATTCAACTTACATTTTGTAAGACATAAACTCTAAGTACATGTAAGTACATTATAGTTGTAGTTGTAGGAGTATCCATATCTTGCACTTGTTTCTGTCATAAAATAAAATAAAGATTCTTAATTGTTTTAATTTCTTTATCGTCCATCTTTTGAAAAATCTCGTTTTATCTCGCGAGATTTAAACTTGTGCTCAGGTGATATTACACATATGAGGATGGGCATCGCTTTATTTTTTTCTCATATTTGGGCAAAATCAACGCTGCTAGTATATCGCTGTAGATCAGGACCAATTTTTGGTGCACACTGGAATAGTTACAATGTTCATCTTCATTCAGGAATCGTACCTTTGCTGTGTATGTTGACTAAATTGGAACAAATTACTTTTTGACCGAGACAATTCAATTCAAAGCAAAGCTATAGCGTCATAGACCATATACACCAGCACCACCTTCCGGGCTGTAACAGTAATAAAAGTCTTTAAAATTTGTCAGTTTTAAACTGTATTGTTCGTACCGAAATCTTCTACTCATTTTCACATCAAGCCCGTGTTATCTAGATCCTACACTAGCGCCAACTGGGGACATCAGCCCCTCGGAACGTCATTAAGCAAACTTGAAGTGCAACTGAGACAACAGCCAATGTTTTATGTGCCGCGAATAGACTCATCAGAGAGCAACCCTAGACCGGCAGTATGCTCGACACGCCATCTTACGAATTGTTTCTCTATTTTTGTCTCCGAGACTGTGGCTACGGTAGACTGGCCTTTCCCCCAGTGCTTTCTATTCAGTGTTATATATTCTGTACGTAATTTGCCACATACATATATTCTGTACGTAGGATGAAGTTATCCATACATACATAAATTTGTAAAATCTTTAGTTGTAGAAGACCTTACAAAAGTCCCAGTACTTTTTTTTTCAATAAAGAATCTGTCAATAAAGCAAACTTTAGCAGAACAGTAGAACAAGTGACTGTTAACATAATACAAGATAACTTTATTGTACAACAGTTGTACAGGGTACGAAGTATGGCATCTACTAGTACATATTAACTATATTTTTAGGCTAGCCTAACTAATACAAGAGTTGGTGATTAGAATGGGATAGATATGAAAGTTTAAGTATGATATAATTAATTAGTATATATCCATATGTATAGCTTGCAGGGGTTACAGCATAATGACCAAACACTATGTTTTCTTTTGCAGAAAATTTAATGTACATGAGCCAAAATTGTCATGCTAAATTTGAAAAATTGTTGTAAATGTAATGACAAGAAGTGGGTATAATAATAATGGTCCAGTTATATTAATTCGAGCATCGTAAACTCTGAACTATTCATATTGCCAAAGTGTAATAATCTTGTCTGTGATAAAATTCAATCGTCGCTATATACGCAATTACGGTATACACCGGGGAGCATTCTAACAGCACATTAACATTTCGGAGAGGACCCTCTGGGTATTTGCTGACCAAATGACATCAAGCTCGCCTGGCCTGATCGAGTTACAGTTCCAGGTCAGAGATGTGCAAGTCTAGGTAAATTTATTATGGGGAAAGCACGCTGGGGCTAAAACGAGCAGGCCTCGACCCATATCGCCTTATACGGTAATATCCAAGTTCCTAACCGTTTGCGACTTACGACGGGAAAGTCGTAGAAAATTCACGAAAGGAAAAATTGGATTAGTTTTGGTGCCATTGTCAAAGCTGACGTTCAAACGCAGCAGGTTCGCAATCCGCGGTGTTTTCCACTCAGAAGAGCCTCTAGCGGTAATACTGCTAACTGCAGCCTGCTGTCTGGGAAAGTTGCAGAATTCACGAAATGAAAAATTGGATTAGTTTTGGTTTCATTGTCATTTGAGCAAAGTAGGCGTTCGAACACAGTAGATTCGCAATCGGCAGTGTTTTCCCCTCAGAAGAGCCCCTAGCGATAATACTGCTAACTGCAGCCTGCTATCTGCAGCCTGCTATCCGCTGTTCAAAGAAAATGCCCCTCCCTTTTCAAAGGACACGTTTTTTTACCTGGCAACTGTAACGTGTTTCTGTGATCCTGGTAATGTGTATTAAATATGAATGAGTGCCTTATGCAAATATGATTTACTTGAATGGATGGATGGTTCCCCTTTTCAGCCATTTTGGCGCCACTATTCCACTACATAAGCCACAGACATTGAAAACACTGGGGGATACATAGCACATCCTCTGCAATAGTAAAAACTGGTATATACAATATGTTTTACCGGAGTTTTCATTTCTTGTATCCTATACTTATTATTATAATTAGCCGACCTGATGGAACTATTTTCTGAAGTGAGAGAAGCATATTTTACCGTCACCAAAAATTAGCCTCTACCAGGCTTCAGAAGAGGCTGGAAATTGACCAATAGACAGATAAAATGTCAAGGAAGTTAGTCCACCAATGAAATATTTGCTGACTGCTTTAGCAGACCGACTCCCCTGACATGTTATCTGTCTCTTTGGTCAATTTCTATTCTTCCTATCCGCTTTTAAAGCCTGGTAGAGGCTAACCAATATCTATAATATATCATTTTCACCTCAAGGTTTTAATCGGGCATATCATTGAAAACTACCCTCTAAAAATAGACGACCGTTCTTTTCTGTTTCTACAAAGTGTAGATTGTTTACCTAATTTATAGGACAGGCTACAGCTATATAGTACATGTACCACTTGTGTGCCCAGCTTACGGCCTTTGAAAAGATGATTTATTAATTAGGGCACACATTCTTTGCATAGCTGTTGTGCATTTTAGTACGTTTTCCTGTCTATGTGATTGTTTAACAATAGTACTCCAAACATTGTAAAGTACAAAAACAAAATCACACAGCAAAGAAGTCATATTCAATATCACCAACTTTCATTCACACTACTGCAAGTCTGAACATATACTAGTAGCAGCAAAAGGAGCAACTTAAAGTATAATTTGTACGTCAAACATCAAGTATCAATTTTTATGTATGTTGAACAACCAGAGCAATAAAAATAGACTGGATTTTAATTCAGGCTCAACCATCTTTTCCATTTCGTCATTAACACGTACAAATGCAAAGAAAGCAAAAATATCACAATCTGCAAAAATATCACAATCTCCAAAAATAATCACAAAAATATCACAATCTGCAAAATATCACAATCTGCAAAAATATCACAATCTCCAAAAATATCACAAAAATATCACAATCTGCAAAAATATCACAAAAATATCACAATCTGCAAAAATATCACAAAAAATCACAATCTGCAGAAATATCACAATCTGCAAAAATAATATCACAATCTGCAAAAAACTTCAACATACAACTTTCCACCATATGGTTTCTGATATCGCTACACATATTTTTCTAGCTTCAGTGTTGCTAGGGTCGCAGAACAACTTTGATAACAATTTGTAAACTACAGTGAGACAAAAAAAGTCACTTGTTATCGGCGGGGTCCACCACACCTTCAGGCATGAGCGCAGCCTGGAAACACTGTCCACAGTCGCCATGACAACCGATGTGCCCCATGATGAAATCCGAGGGCAGCTTATTCAGCAGCGACCGCAAGGGGGCACCACCGTACGACCTGGTACTGCGCTTCTGATGAAGTCCCCTGCGCGGACTCGTGAGCTCTTTCGGCCCGTCCGCTTGGCTTGTCGTCTTCGAGATGAAGTCTTGCAGATCGTGCATCTTGGCAACTAAAGCCACCTTAGCGGCGTTAAAGGAGCTAAAGTCTTCGTCCTGTTTCGTTGCTTTATACCTTGCGTCTCTGTCAGGTTTTGACTTGACGTGGCCGTTGCGAAGGGCGTCCATGTCGGTGTCTCTGTAGTCTTCGCTTTCAGATGATGTTCTCGAATTGTGGTGACCGTCAGCGAGCAGTGGTTCTCTGTCATTCATGCCGTAGTCTTCGGTTATTTCCTTGTCTAAGAATCTAACCGTGACGCCGTTCTCTTCACTACCGCGACGGGGGTCCACTTGCACGGGGCTGCTTCTCGACTTCTCCGACCGTCGCCCGGCGTTGTTCATGCGGTAGTCGTGCTCTTTCAGAGTCTCCTTGGACAGACGGTATCTTGGCGTCACCTCTGCGTGTTCCTGCCGCCACTCTTGCTCGTACCGTAGGCTCCGCGCCGCTCGCACGGTCGGCTCGAGCTCGGACAGGTGGTGGCTCCAGAACCGGGTACAGTCCGATATCCTAAGCCGCACGACACCCGTGGAGTCTAGCGAAGAACACGGCCTTGGCGACTCCCCCTTGGTATTCACAGGCGGCCTTTTTAACGGCATTCCCTGACAGAAAAAGTCCGGATCTTTCTCTAGATTCGGCACGCTTGGCGACCACCGCTTCATACCCTTGCCTACCTGTCTCGGGGATACCCCTACAGGCGACCGCCTGTCTCGCGAAGAAAGCTTCAGGGAGGGTGAGGACTGCCACCGCCGGATTTTCTCCAAGTTGGGCCTTTCTCTACCCACCGGCACGAACTGGACATACGAGATGTTTGACGCTGCTCTCTTGGTGATTCCGTGCCGAGAGAAGAACACGTTACTGTCCTGCAAACTCTCCGCTAAGCTCAGCCTACCCCCAGGAACTACCGACCCTTCTCCGTGATAGTTCACATGACTAGACTGGACCCGACCTGTCGCCATACTCGATATTTAACCACCAAAACGGATCTTTCTAGCGATCACGCGAAAGCTCTTTTATGACCGCTACACACTGGGAAGAGCTTTAGCTCATAAATGAAGCCAAATCTTCCCCAGATAACCTTTGTTCCAAATTAATCCATGGTCCGTGCACCTGCGAATGGGTTATTCCATTGCAATCTACGGGGTTTGTTTGTACAACGAGATTCAAAATTCTAATGTTCTGCCTTTTTCAATTTTATTTTGTTATAGAATATGTTATATAAGACAAGAATGTAACATTGAAATTAAGTTTCATGGTAAGTACGCTGCATTTTTCTGGTGTACTATCACGGTAAGACAACCCCTCACAAAAAGTGAGCACGTCCCAGCATCATTGCGATGTCGATGTGATATTTCTGCTGTCGATGACTACCAACGCGTCCCATTGTTTTCTTTTACAGCCGGTATTTCAGAGCCGCCATGGCCACCAGGTGCCTTTGAAATAAAAAGCCATCAATGATTAAACCAGCCCGTCGTGTGGGGAAAATGCTGGTAAACAGACTATTTGCTTGTGGGATCGCTGGGGTATTAATGTGGCTTTGATCTGGAGGTAAACGTTCTGACGCTGGAGAAATGTGTGAAAAGGTGGTTGGAGTATCGTTCCCCGAACCCAGGTTGTGAGGACAGACGTTCGTGACACCTGTGAATGCTCCCCCCTCTTGAGCGCACAGATTTCACAAAGAACAGTCCCGTTCCTCCTAGCCTCTACCAGGCTTCGGGAAGCGGATGGAAAGAGTAGAAATCGGTCAAATAGAGAGATAACATGCCGAGGGAGTTGGTCCGCTAGATAGACAGTACATTTTGCCGCACCCGAAACTGTTCTCTCCAGCAGACCATCTCCCCTGGCATGCTATCTCTCTATACTCTTTCCCTCCGCCTCCCGAAGCCTGGTAGAGACTACCGTTTCTCACCCTTTGCGATAAATCATGATTTCTTTAGTCTCGATCTACCAGGCTTCGGGAGGCGGCTGGAAAGAGTAGAAATTGACCAAATAGAGAGATAGCATGCTAGGGGAGTTGGTCTGCTAAACTGTGTACTTACTCCTCCCTGGCATGTTATCTCTCTATTTGGTCAATAATTTCCACTCGTTCCAGCCGCCTCCCAAAGCCTGGTAGAGGCTATATTTCTCAACGTTTCTTGTCTGGCACGCCCGATTTTTAGACCTTCGTTTCGACGGGACGATCTAAGATTCTAGTTTCCCCGAGCAACCCTATTCGTGAATGTCGCGTTTTCCAAAACAGCACCACTGGGGGGTTGTACCGTAATCCAGACAACGCCGATTGTTTTGAGCCAAACGACAAATTGCAACAGAAAAATCTCTTTATTTTTGCCCCCATTTTACTTCAATTGATTTTGTATTACATTGACTCAATTCGTCTCTATTAAACGCAGCCCAGTCGCTACTGCCCCCCCCCCATATACACTGTTTACCAAATTACCTCGTTTTTGTTGTCCCAACACAAACAATACGTTAAGTCGACGGAAAAATAGAAGAATTTTTACGATTACAAATTAAACCTATCCTTTAGCACCTTACATTCAATGTATACACAACACATTTGTTCATATCCACGCCTAGGGGCTATATCAATATCATAAAACTGTAAATTTGCCAATATACCTGATTAACCTTCGCTTGACCGGTAACAGAGCAAATAATTCGGTATCAACTGCACGGCGTTGTGTCTAATTTATCTTAGTTTGTAGCTAGATATTACTTTTGTTAAATATGCGACGTCGTATATTACAGCTTAGTACTTGTAATGTAGAAAACATTCAGCTTTGCTGTGTATTGACGTGTGATACAAAATTGTCCTAAATTCTGGGCAAACCACGTGTTGTTTATACGGTGGTCCTTGACCCAAAACAGCTAAATAATCGACTATTTATAGTCCACGTAACAGACAGAGAAAAGAGAACAAGGTTGAAGTTGTCAGGGAAAGTAGCACGGGCACAATGGAGCGCAAACAGGGGCAGAAAATTAACTTATCGAAATGTAACCATGTGTCGTGCTGACAGCACGTTCCGTACACAGAATGTGTGAGCACAGACATGGGGCTACAGGGTGAAGTATTACCGGACCGGATGTGTGTTCTTGTGAACGACGTGCACACAACATAAATCAGGATAAACTGGATAAATTATATGAAGAGTCAGACGTTTTTTTAATGATATATATATATAATATATATTCCAACTTGTAACCAAAAGACGTGGCGACGGCACACTCAAGTTTTTTTTCAACTTATAATTTAACCGCCACCAACACCAATACAATACTCATTTTCACCTGAGCAATGCGAAGAAAGTCGGGTAATGGGCCTTTTGAGAGGGCACAAGATCGATGGCATGTCAGGACTCGAACCCGGGACCTCTTGGTTCCGAGTCGAGCACTCTGCCGTTTCGCCACACGACCCCGCGTTTCAGACGTTACAGATTGCATCTAATATCTTGCATGAGAATTCTTGCATAATGACTTTGAAAAATCTGGTTTCCCAAGCCCTAAAAACTGCACTGGATGCCTTTAAGTGGAGAATATAACCTGTATAAGCCAGGCCGAGATAATATATCACCAAACACGTTTCACACTTGGGAGAGATTATTAAGTTGCCTGATTTATATGTACAAGTTGTATTACCAACTATTCTACCTGGGTGTCTAACCTTATATATTTGCGACTTTAAATGCCATTTCTTTATAGTATGTAGAATTTCAACTATTTTAAGTATATGATATAAAAGTCCTGAATCGTGTTTGAGAGTTCCCAAGCTTGACGGAATATATCTGTCGACAGTTGGGCAAAGTCATGACATTGACATTCAACAGTCCACGTGGCTAAGGCCATGTTGATTTGATTATATGGATGACATCCGCGCGCGCATGAATTTTCGGCTGTTTAAAGAAAAAGAGAAAAGTTTTCAACCATGCTGTAAAATATCGTACATAACAGTTGCAAAATGAGCAAATATATACTGTAAGTTAAATTAAAAAAACATTGTAAAAAACATTGCAAAACGATACCAATGTCGTAGAATGCCAAAATCAAACGATAAGGACAAAAATGTAAAGAAATGAAATTGAAGACTAAATTATTCGCCAAACCATACTCTTTGTCCTTTGTTCAACACCGTAGATTTCATAAGGAAAGCAATTTTTTGGGGCCAAACTTTTTTTCATTCGCACGCTCGCATCAGTTTGGGGTTTCCAGAGAATGTCATCCATATAATCAAATCAACATGGCCTAATGCACTTTTATAATCCCGTCATAGCTTGAATTGAAACCCTTTCATTTAGAAAATAAATGTTTTTCACCGTCTGGCTTTTAATGCTTTTCCATGATAATAGCATAGAGACGTGGTTAAGAATAGAACGTGCGCAAATATGCCTGTACGTTAAAGCATTCAAAGCTGGGGAGCTTTTAAGCTTTGCAAACATGGAGAGCGGTGTTTACTTGTGACTGGGCAACTCATGGTATAATGACTACGTAGAGAAGCTTTGTGATCGGTGGAAATTACGCCATCACTGTTCATGATGTCTATTTGCTCGAAATGTACCTTTTAGTGCTAAAATTTAGCTAATATAGAGTCATCCATTGTATACGTATTTAGAAGTTATAGTGTATATACAGCAAAGACCCTCGGATTCATAATTTGGCCGATATGTGTTTTTTCTCAACACTATAGCAATAAATTTAAAGTAATTCGTAAATTCAAACCCTTTTCCAAACCAAAAAGACCACATATCAAGTTTTAAAAAGTTGACAAATAAAGCTTACCGTAGCTCCAGTCTAAGCAACTATAGTGTCTGATCCCGATAAACGGTATGAGGTTAACGTTTTTATACACAGAAGTTTTCGTGTAAAACGCTAGGTGGCGCGCGTATACGGGACAACAATATTATTAAGTAGTAACTGGCCTGTAACTTTTGATTGCAGTTTTTCGAAACGTATCATAGATTTATCTGACGAGAAACACTGAGATTGGCGAGGAGCACAGGGAGAAACATGAGCATTAACAATCTATTTCATCCATCCATCAACAATGAGCACATTAACAAATTAAATATTAAAACAAAATATCTACATCTGACAAAAGCATGTGTTCCACGATCTCTATGGTTAAAATTAGTTGCCCTTCAGTCTCCTGCTACAGATCATTGCACACACACAAAAAACACAAAAAAGTCCAGTCAGATTTACATAATCATTAGCCAAAATGAGATTTCATCATTTTAAAACTCACAGAACACAAGTAGAAATATTAATCTCAATGTCTGTAAAATACCACATCAGTGACATCAAAACAAAATAAATATGTTACATTACGGCAAACGAGTTCATATTTCACAAACATTGAAAAAATTTGGCCACATGATACAATTATCAGTTGCTGTATACTTGTTATCATTTAAATGTAACTTTGTGCATGTGCGAAGAAGAAACCTTAAAACGTAAGAAATTAAAACCTAAAACAATGTCCGAGAGATGTCATAACTACACTCAAATAGTAGTTCCGTAATCTCAATCTGCATTTTCCACTTTTGGTCACTAGAAACCAGTCGAACAGAGAAAAAATTCTCTGAATAGAAACAAACATGAACTAAGGACTGAGGTAAAATTTGCAAAGTAAAAGCATGTTTAACCTTCACATGGTTTAGCCTAACAAAGTTACTGCTCTGTCCATTCTTCCTCAAACACATATACATGTATGTAATGACCAGCCCATCCAACTCTTTCTTGCTACATAATGTAATCTAACACCACAGGGTGTCTGCTACAGAACCAGTTACCATGGTGACACACATCTGGTCCAGGTCATTGGGCCTTATGTTATTGGACAAGAAGAAACAGAGCAAAAAAAATGTTAAGTTTAACATAAATAATTCATGCACTCAAACGACATACGAGAAAGAGGAATATAGAGCAAAAATTACAGATGAGAAACGACATGACTAAACCATCGCAGTGTAAAAGTAATGATACATGTACCAAGAGCTATGTCTTGCCAACCATGATTCTAATCTATAAAATAACAATTCAAAAGACGAAGGGCTCAAAATTCTTTTTGCATGTCTGCACTGGTGCAGGTAACATTGAAAATTTTACCTGCTCCATGCACTGAAAAGTTAGGAAGTATATATAGATCCGATTAAAACCTGTTCAGAGACCATTACCATTTTTTTATACATTGTACTTCGTACTAGTTGGTAACAGTCAATACAGCTAATAAAAATCCACATATACCTATATTTGTGTATAAGCCCAGTGTACTAAGTATTTGTGCAGGTAGACATCAGAAATACCTGTGCAGATCCAATTTTACCTGCACTAAACTGCATATACATTATTTCCAGCCCTGACATTTTACACAAAGACATAGCTCAACATTTTGTGGATATACTATGTCATCATACTTCGCAGTAAAACTTTATTCTACTTTAGCATCTATCTGGCAGTGAGTAGATAAAACTTACCACAATCACAGGTTAGGCATCAGTATCTACACACATCAAATGACCTTAACTAACAGTCTACCCTTAGGCTATTAGTACCATCATCTTTTGATATAACAAAGCACTGCAAATAGACCATCAACCAAGAATTTCTTCTTGTTAGTTACATTGTATATTACAAATACAATCATGTAATATTAATCCATAAGGCTGTGTTCACTTGTAGGAGCACAATATTATCAAGCTGTCAATTTTTTTTCATTTTCTTGGAAAAGAAAATCCATTAAATTTGCTACAAAATAAATTACTGGTATACTGTTACAGTATGATTTTACATGTACTGAGATACATTCATTCATTTACCTACATTAAAAAAAAAACAAGAACTAAAACAAGTCCATAGTTGGCTCTTTAAAAGTCAGAACATACGTGTAAGTGTTCCCTGTAACTATGATTTTTTTTACTGTGACACAGTCTTCTATTCATGGTTATGTGTAAGAAAAACAGCTATGTAGGTTTTAAAAGTTTTTAGGAAGCACTTTTTGTGATACTGTATTTGCATTATATAAGGTACATGATTCACAGGACTAAGCCTAAATGCCTTGACAGTAATATTCCAAACCGCAACTCTTACTCTTCTAGACGTAGTACTTTTTAAAAACCAAAGGTGCTTGAGGTTGTACACTGGCATTGCTGGCTACTACTTTTTCTTATTGTTGTCCTTGGTGTGTCCGTAGCTGGAGCCTTTGGAGATCTGAGTTACCTCCATCATCTTCTGTAGTAACAGTGACACTGGAAGAGGAAAGTGTTGACTTAATTTCATTTGATCATATTGGGATAAAAACAATGGGATACACCAACAGCAACATATTGACTATAAATATCTATATAACTTTAAACTAAGGTAACATTAACCTTTACATGGTCTAGCCTAACAAAGTACTGCTCTGTTTATTCTTCCTCAAAATACATGTACATGTATGTATATGGTGCCCACCCCCATGCAACTCTGTCCTGCCACTTGCTACATAATGTAACTCAACACCACAGGGTGTCTGCTACAGCATCAGTTACCATGGTGATGACATCTGTTAAGTCTGGGTCATTGAACTTATTTGTTTGAAGTGGAAGAAGAGGAAGAAGACACTGAGCAAAAACAGTATCATATTAATGCTTTCCTTCTGTGCAAGTAAACATAATTACACATCAAACCAAGACACAGACAAATCCACGTAGTGGTAGAGCGTTCGACTATCAAATGGCGAGACCCAGGTTTGATCCAGAGTTGTACCCGGGACATGTCTGGACATGTGCCTGACGTTGTGCCCTTGGGAAAGGCACTTCACACGACTTTCCTCACTCCACTCAGGAATGGGTACCTACATGTAACTTCAGTTGGGGAAAGTCATATTGAGGTCACCATGTGGCACAGGAAGGCAGCCGCACAGACCCTTGCCACAGTTTCACAAAAGTGTGTGGAGAAAATATGTTATATGTATCATGGGTATGTGATTGTAGATCCTGCATCAATTCAGTGCTATAAAAGGCTGCGATTGCACGGGTAATGTTTGACCAATAAACATACCTAGAACCCCTCCCAGGACGACTCCAGCGATCATGAAGGTTGATCCTGACAGGACCAGACCCACCAGGTACTTCATGAGGGGCACCACCAGCAGGACGGACCAGAAGGTGAAGATCAGGAGTGTGTACGGCCTCCGGGGGATCTCACGAACCTTATCCGGGAACACCCCGTTCTGCTCAAAGTACTCAAAGTTTTTGTCCTGTCAAAGAAAAAACAACAACATGAAGACTAGAAAGCAAATGCATAATGTTTACCTTTGCATATTATTGTTATGGCCTTCTAAAATGTACGACTTTGCAGTAGCTGAATTGTACCAACCTTTATCCTGTACAGCTCGTGACAGTACTCAGCACAGGCACTCTCCTCTTCTGGTACCTCTTCTGTTGGGATCCTCCTGTATAGTAGGTGGAAGTACAGAACACATTTTGAAATGTTTAATTACACATAAGATCATGAAAGCATTCTCAACAGTTAAAGTACATGTGTACAAAATGTAAGTGAAACAGAGCTTTTCACCCAATAAGATTGAAGGACAAAATTGGCCGTGTGGTATGGCGGCAGAGTGTACGACTTGGAATCATGAGGTCCCAGGTTCAAGTTCTGACATGCCACTGATCTTGTGCCCTTGGGAAAGGCACTTTACATGACTTTCCTCACTTTACTCAGGTGAACATGAGTATTGTATTGTCCCGTGTTGGTGGTGGCATTAATACGAGTAAATGAAATACTGAAATAATACGAGAACCAACAAATCAAATTAGTGTGGCCTAAACTAAGGAGAGGTTACCTGACATAGATGTGAGCATGTTGTGCCTCTCCCTTCAGGAGACCCATTAATGTAGGCTCAGGACTGCCATTGGGGAAGTGAATCTCCACATCATAGAAGGCTGGAACTGAAATATGGGTATGGGTCAGGCAAGATACATGTATGTCACATCAACTGAGCAAAAGTTATAAAGATTATTTTCCTGCCACCCTGATATTGTTGCCACAGCAATATCAGGGCAACAAAACAAAACAAATATTCTAAATGAGGAAATCTGTTACTACGTACATTAAAAACATGACCAGAAAATTGACTTTGAAAATCTATTTTACTGCCCTCAAATTGCCTTCAATTAAAATTTTAGCCCTAATAAGAGAACCTTCATATGCATGATTCACAATATGAATGTACCGTGTTCTATGCTACATAAACTATAACACAATGTCATGTTACACAACAAAAAGAACTCCTGAAGAACTCTATAGAATCTGATATACAATCATGTAGATACATATAGTTGCTGAGAACTCAAAGTGAATTTGTTTGAGTTGGATCGTGGCAGTATCAGAACACATAAAGACAGTCTGCAGTCTTACTGTACTCCCTGATGCCCTGTGCACAGAGTAGGAAGCCCCTGGTACGAGGCAGGAGGTGGTGTTTCAGTTCAGGCACACCCTTGTTCCTGGCCACCTCCATGGACTTCTGGTGCTTCTCTGCAGTGAACCGTGTTCCCTCACAGAACAGCAGCAGCTGAGAAATATGTACATGAATTCATTTGTTGTGTGGCATAAATGGTAGCATGTACTGCTTGGGACCAAGAGGTCCTGGGTTCGAATCCTACCCATGTCATTGATCTTGTGCCCTTGGGAAAGGCACTTTACATGACTTTCCTCACTTCACTCAGGTAAAAATGAGTACCTAGTAGCTTCAGTTATATTAGGGACGTCCCTAAGATAGGACATCCCGTGTTCTGGTATTAAGCAGCTTGTACTTACATGTACAAAACTGGTTTGTTTTTTACTATAATAATTATAATATTAATTCTTCTTTATTCATGACACCAAAAAGCAAAATTACAGCAATGAGTAGTGTCCCTGAATTGAAAGAGTTTCCGTGCAAAAATTAGAATAGACAAGACAAGCAATGCAAAACAAACAAACAAACACACAATCTATCCACATGACAACATCAATACCTACCCAGAAGTAGTCGGGGTAGTTGCGTAGTTCCTTCAGCTGCTTGACAATGGTTCTCTTGTCCTCCTCATAATCACGCTTCAGGAAGAGGAACTCGATAAAGAACATGCTCCAGCCAACCACAGGCAGGTACTTCACCGATTCTTTGATGAGAGCTCGGGATGTCTGAAAACGTTAGGGTGAATTGGTCTTTAAAGAGTTTTAATACACACTTAGGTAACATTGAAAATTGAGGAAGTATGGATCATACTTAAAACTCTTCAGAAACCATTACAATAACTTATTATTATTCATTTCGGTCTTTTATAGTTTATAGTTGGTGGTGTTCCAGTTTATGGACCATTGTATGCTAGATGTAGGAAGACATCAGAAATAACCTGCACAGCTCCAACTTTAGCTGCACTAACCTGAATATTCAGGTGTTTTTTTAAGTTCTGCTTACACAATATGTATCTTACATAGAAAAAGAGGTCTGTTGCCAGAGAAAGTTGTATTAGGGACACACACCTAGCTTTGGACTTACATCAATAAAATAATAACAAATTTAAACACACTCTGGTATTTTTAAGTTAGAGCATAGCTTTGAAAATCTGTTGCATGTTAGTAGGTATATACATTGTATATTTGTGTGTACACATTCAAGTATACATGTAATAATACTATGTATAAATCAGTGCAGTTGAAATCATAGAATTGACAAAAGTTAATGTGAAGAGAGCAAGCTTTGTTTCTGCCATTTTACAGAGTATGCTAGCACACAAAAATCTGGTCAACTATATGAAAATAGAAGCATGCAAAGCAAAGGATAGTCTGCAAGAATTAGCTCCCTCTTAAAACTAATAAAGTTAGTAGCTTTTATATTTATATTAGTAAAAAAAATATTAGTTGCGTTTGGATTCACTTAATCACCATCATTATGGCATGACCAATGTTCTAATAATGAAAGATCTTTTTTAGATCTGTACGTGCTGGTAGAATTCATTGTAAAATTTAAGCTAATGTTCCAACACAACAGAAAAAGTCACCATGAATTTCCAGTCGACCTGGTCAGACTTTCTGTTGTGTTACAATTATAACCACATATGATAATACTGCGACTAACTCACCCCCAGACATCCGAACCGCTCGCACACGGTCCAGCCACTGATCATGTCGGTTTCGTACTTATGATTCATCAACAGGACGGCGTTCTCTTTCCCGATGCGCCCAATGTCGGCGTCCGTACCGTACATGTTAATGGTGGATCCCGCCCACCACTCGTTCAGAAATACCAGCTCTAGACGGCGCAGCGTGAAATGACGGCACAGATTATAGAAGTGGTGAGGAAGAACAGATATCACACGTGTAGCGTTAGCAAGGCCAGCAGCAAGGTTGGATGTGACTTACAGGAAACATGTCAGACCTATATATACCCTATTACAAAGTGGAATATTCCATCCAACTCCAGAGAAAAGTAAGACTGGAAATATTCTTGTTATGACAAAATAAATCCCTTTAAGAGATTTTTCATGACTTCTTCGTTCTCTAGTGTTTACAAAACAATGCAAAAACATACAGCACCAAATAAAAGTCCTTTTATTTTATTTTGGTATACACAGTTGCCGAGTGTAAACAAAAACAAATAGCTGAATAGGGTCGCGAGGTCATGATGTTTTTGTATGCCACAAATAACCCTGCAACTATGTTTGTAGGTATGTACAGAACAGTGTTCTAGACAGCTTGAAATTTTTTAATGTTTGATGCACATGTAGCTCTGAAGGCATGACAACCTTAAGGGTTTCCAGGGATTTTAAATATTCACCCTCTGAACAGTGCCCTGTATTTTGAGGGACAAATTTTGCTGGTAGATTAAGCTTAGTTTAAATTAATGACATATCTTTCCATATCTTTTCACGCCAATTTTTGTCCGTCAAAGATGACGGATTGGGCAAACTTTTGTCCGTTTTGAGAGGCAAAATTCTGTTACCAGTAAATGATGGAAGGATTGTTGCTGGCTAGAACACTGGTACATAACATACATGTAGGACTATAGCATGCCTGTGCTAGCACACAGCCTGAGGTACCTAACTTACCCCTAACACCTGTAACCTTTCACATAGGGTCCAGCCATGCAGGAAATCCACCTCATAATGGTGATTCATCACTATAACTGCTGTCTCCTTCCCAAAGTGCTCCTGCCACTGCTCATCACTAGAATAAACTGTTACTTCTGACCCTGCCCACCATTCGTTCAGGAAAACCAATTCTGCAGGGAGCAAAATAAGGCCACACCAATTTAAGTTCTTGGTTCTTGGATAATTTTTTTTAGAAAAATATAAAGCGATGCAACAAAAAAGAGAGAGAACCAATAAATTCAATTGGTGTGGCCTTAGCAAAGAAAATGGGGGTGGGGGGTGGAGGAGGGGTAAGGGAAGCTAAGAATAGATCTTACTTTGTTTTTGTCAAATAAATGTGTCAAGTCAATGAAGTATATATAAGACTAAGAACTAGTACTGTGTACCGGTTCACTGGACCATAAAACATAAAGTCATCAAGAACTGATTCCGGACTTACATGTATTACAAAAGAAAAACATGTCACATACCCCTTTTCTTTCCAAACCATCTACATTGTAAAACCTTCCATAGATTGCAAAATCTGTGCTGCAAAATGAAGGAAACATTGCCATTGGGCCAAAATTATTGCAAGGTTGCCAACATGCAATTTTGTATATGCCATTGGTTTAGGTTCGGACTTACGTACGGGTCCGGAACTGAACCTAATCCTCTAGATCTGGACTTGAATCCGGACCTGAACTTAAATGTGGGTTTAGGTACACAGCACTACTAAGAACAGACCTTCATCATTAACTAAATGCTGAAAACAGTTTCTGGAAAGTTGGAACTGACTCTTGAAACTACAAGACTTAGTGATCTACGACAAAGTAAGTTGGAAATATCCCATAAAACATGGTAATGAGAGATCCAAGAAATCTTGGGAAACTCACGGCTCCAGTGCATGTTGGTAAAAAAAGCGGCCAGTTTTCGGTAGGCGGTGAGAGAGTACGGTCGTAGTAGCAGGTACCCCGCGGCCTGGAAGATGTTACAGATGATTCCACTCGCCAGGAAAATGTACGCGATGAGCATGTGCACCACCACAGACTTCTTCACTGCTGAGACCAGCCCCATGTTTCTCTTCTAAGTTAGGTAACAATAGAGTAGGAAAAAAGATATCTGTATCAGTATAGCCATGGTATAACCGCCCTTCGGCATAACACACCAGCTTCACAGGCACGCGACGCGGCGGCAGTCGACACCGAATGACTTGTTACACCTAACCGTTGTACATCTAAATCTAAACCTTGTTTGAAGCTATCTAATGACATTATGCCCCTACTGTATACGTACTTGGTGACAGCGAGTTCTACTCTGCAATAGTAAATCTACCAATACAGTCATGTACATTCTGTATTTTTACTCCTATAAAGTGCAATGTCATATCAGACACAGTCGACATGATGTAACATTGAGGTTGCTTCGCTTCCTATGTGTTTTGCACACTGTCATTGTTTTAATTTGTTTATTTCTTGTGTAAATTTCATGTAAATCATGTTTCGATTGGAGTTGAAAGCTTTGTAATATTGTGGGCCCTGGGTGGTTAAAATCTTGTGCAATCACCAAGTGTTAACTGTGTGAAAATCACACAAAGCTATCATAAGCACATGTGATTACACTCAAACATCTACTCACAAATTGCCATCGTTTTATAAGCAACATTCTATTATCAAAACATAATTAAATCTGTTTCAACAATAAAAATCCTAACAAAACAATTTCATTCAAGTATAATTTTCTAAACAGTTACTACATACACATGTAACATTAGCTGTCTTTGATACATAATTTCTACAATAAATAAACAATTCTGGATCAAATATCATAGTCATATGGCAAAACACATGGCTGCAGCTGGCATGTCACTGAATAATTTACATTATGCAACGCCTAGGGAGATGACAACATACCATTTATACATTTATATAATTAGCTAGTGAACAAAAGGCGGTTTTAATCCTTATCCAAATGCTATGATAGCTGTAGAACTAGAAGACGCAATGCCTTGGCAGCCCGTTATATAAAACACGTGTACAAAACCCAAGCCTACGCCCCCTCCAACCCCCCAAATGTCCGCCCCCCTCCCACCCCCATCACGCCACCTTATGTTTACTTTCACATTGGGAAGGTCATGCGCGTTTCTAACGCTTGGGCGATGGCAGAGACTTACCAGAAAGTTCCGTGCACCTTTAATCCCTCACTCTTCAAGAGAAGTTGGAAGTAAAACGAAGTAAACACACTGAAAAGGCTCTAGGAAGAAGATATCTGTGGAAGTGCAAAGGTCATCAACCTTGTGTGTCGTAAAAATGCCGGAAAACGTCATTGTGCTGTCGTGAACCTTCGTTTGAACTGAATTTAACACTGATTTTTGGTCAGTAACAGTCTTCAACACAATATCTAACTGTTACGGATAATAATACAATTTTCTAATTGACTTTAATTCAAGCATAAAATCTAGTAAAGCGCTGAAACCTGCAAAAAAATTAGTATTTACGACACCAGATCCGGCTTACGGTAAAAGCTGATGCAAGGTTCACGTCGTGTGATGCATGTGAACATCCGGATACGGAAAATATAACTTCAGAAACTAAATTTATCGCTCACTGTTCAGTCTGAGGACAATACGACAGGTAAGGTGCATTGTCTGTTTTCCTATAGCGCCTTAAAGTTCCGTCTAGCCGTGTAGAATGGAACCGAAATGTTGGTAGTTATTTGCGACGTGGCCGGTCCATGTGTTAGCTGCGCCCCCCTCCCCTCACATACTAAAGCTTGGTTATAAATTCATAACGTAGCGTGGGACTTAGGATAACGATTACAGTATGGCAAGGGAATGTATGTCATTAAGAAGAGCAGTTTTCTTTTGCAAGGCTGTGATTAAAAAATTTGCTAATAGTCATAGGCCAGAATGCAAATAGACTTTTATAGATTTAATATTGACTTGTATGTAACGTTAGACATGGAAGATGAAAATATAGTGAACTTTCTTTGGCATTTGACAATACAAATGTATCTGTTTCAGACAGCATACAGCCATGGGAGAAGCTGGCCTGTCACCAGAGGAGAAATTCCACCTCATCACCAGGAACTTACAGGTGTGGGCAGAAAGGATCAACCTATAAAAATGCACTATTGGCAGGATCATCCTGTCAATAACAGAAACTTGCACTATTGACAGGATAGTCCTGGAAATAACAGAAAAAAATTGCACTATTGACAGGATGGTCTTGTCTATAATAGAAAAAATTGCATGGTCCTGTCAATAACACTAGCAGGAAAAAACGATAGTCCTGTCAATACCAGAAAAAAAACAATGGTCCTGTCAACAACAAAAAAATGCACTATTGACAGGATGGTCAATAACAGAGAAAATTGCACTATTGACAGGATGGTCCTGTCAGTTACAAATGATTTTAGAGTGTTTGATGGTTATGAGAAATCATTTCTACACCCATTGAAGTTTTTCTTAAATCTACCATCTTCACATTACAGGAGGTTCTTCAGGAGGAGAAGTTGAAGGAGGTTCTTAAGGAGCGAGATGTGAAGGTGTACTGGGGCACGGCCACCACTGGCAAGCCACATGTCGCCTACTTCGTACCCATGTCTAAGATAGCAGACTTCCTTAAGGCAGGGTGTGAGGTAAGTACAAGAGAAATATTATTTCTAAGTTTCATTATAGCTTAATTGTATAGTCAAGTTTAATCTTTTAAAAGATTTGAGAAAGGTCACAGTGTCCTAATCCTATGGCCCTATCCAAAAAGAAACACCCCTACACTGGTTGAAAGTGTACATGTACATTTTTGTAGTTGGGGCTCAAAAACAGCTCCAATTTTACCTGCACTAAGATGCATATGCACCCAGTATTTCGAGCCCTGACAGTGTAGGGGGCTACATTTACAGCATTTTATGTATATACATGTACATTTAGCATGGAAGCTCATCTGTGTTGGTTCATTTCATGATGAAGTTTGTACCTTAGTTCAACACATGTACAATCAGATTGTTGCTCACCTCAAAGTTTCAGTCGCACATCCATCGACCACCTTCATCAGTGAAAATCTGAAATGATTCAATTACTCTGAGCACTTGACCCAATTGACATGTGAATCATAAATGCCTGGTAAGCGATATTGGCCCCCATCTCGTGTATACATTTTGTATAGTAGGGGGGCCCTAAGCTAGACCACTGACACATTGCCCTTCCTTGTTCTTGCTATTCCAGGTGACCATCCTGTTTGCAGACCTGCATGCCTACCTGGATAACATGAAGGCACCGTGGGAACTGCTGGCACAGAGAGTGGTGTACTATGAGACTGCCATCAAGGCCATGTTACAGTCCATAGGGGTACCACTGGACAAACTCAAGTTTGTCAGGGGAACCGACTACCAGCTCAGTAGGTCAGGGTCTCCACATTTTATTTGATAATTGCTATACCTTGTAACTTAGTATGGCAGTCTGTTTCTTGTATCTGCGTGGTTATGTTAAGAGGACCTGGCATCCAAAGTAATATCAGGGCTGTAAAATGTAACTGGATTTTCAAGTCAATTTAAGGGAAAATATGACATCCTGATCTTACAAGTATATTGTCTTTTTTTGCAGAGAATACACACTGGATGTGTACAAACTCACCTCCCTTGTTACTGAGGTACGTAAAATAATCTACAGCTACCTATAATTATTTATCTATAATTATTAGTCAACCAGGTTTTTGTCTTGAAAATATCTTGCAAAAACTTAACCAGAATACATGTAAGTATTCCTTGTACAGGTTCAGTGATTATTTACATGTCTACAAATGTTTAAGTACTCGAAATGAAACTATCCCCTTTTTGTGTCTTACAGCATGATGCAAAGAAGGCAGGAGCAGAGGTAGTGAAGCAGGTGGATCACCCACTGCTCAGTGGGCTGCTGTACCCAGGTCTACAGGTAGGGGGCAGTTTTGTATGTGCAGCTTTCCCCATGTGGCTTTTGCCATTGCCACACTTTGGGAACTGAAGCACATAGTGTTCTGATTTCAAGAATAGGTAAAAAGAATATATTAATATTTGAGAAGTGATCTACACACTTATAACATTGTAAAATGTTAGATGATACCTGGGTAAGAGAAAGAGAGAAAGTGGAAAGCGATCTCGATCCAGTTTTAACATTGTACATTGTAACCACTGGACTACGCACGCTACTTCAAGGGACAATTTGTCTGAGCGCATTTATTAAAGTTGTTTTCCCCGCTTCACTTCAGGCCCTGGATGAGGAGTATCTGAAGGTTGATGCCCAGTTTGGTGGTGTGGACCAGAGGAAAATCTTCACTTTTGCAGAAAAGGTAGTACACATTGTACAGAAGTTACGCATGAAGAATTTTAAAAGCAAAGCCATAATTTATCCAGTAGTATTTTGAATTGTCTTTAAATATTGTTTTCCTGGATGGCTAACCTTCATCAATGTAATGCCAGCAATGCTTTGTTTTAATTGTTGACTCTTGTTTTCTCCCTCCCCAGTACTTGCCTTCGCTCGGCTACACTAAGAGGATCCACTTGATGAATCCCATGGTCCCCGGCTTGACAGGCTCTAAGATGAGCTCCTCTGAGGAGGACTCTAAGATTGACCTCCTAGACGCCGCGTCTGCCGTGAAGAAGAAGCTGAAGAAGGCGTTCTGTGAGCCGGGAAACGTCACGGACAACGGCGTACTGTCCTTTGTCAAGTTCGTGCTGTTACCGCTCTCCGAAAACGGAGGTAATTTTGCCAATGTTATACGCCAACAAAACAGTTACTCAAGCAACTGGATATGATTTTGGAAACCGTTAGACGTTTCAGGTAGCATCCACTACCTTTCGTCAGTGACACTTAGAGACTGTAGGAAAAATGCAGGTTTATAAGCACAAACTACGTGGATGCTACCTGAAACGTCTGACCATGTCCAAAATCATATCCAGTTGCTTGAGTAACTGCTTTTTGGCGTATCTTATTACCTGGATGTCTAACCTTCACTGACATATACCAGACTGAGTGTTATAGTTTTAATTGATCCAGATATTAAGCAAATAAGTTGGGATCTGTTTCTGTTTACCTGGTATAACTGTCCTTTGGCAAAACATTCCAGCTTTTGCTTTATTTAAGAAGGGAAGAGAACATAAAAGGTGGAACCATTTGACGTAATATCAAATCATAATATTATAATGGTTGTAATATTTGTAAATAATATGGTTCAGTAATGACAAATGACAAATGAATAGAATTAAACGGGAATGTCTATCAACATAAAATGATGTTCTTACCCACATAATTTGCCCTGTTTACCTCAATGTTTTGAAGTAAATAGGGCTTTTGTACCAACTTCTGTATCTGTATAGCTGGTATAACCGCCCTTTGGTGCAAAACACAACTAATAATAATAACTTGACCCTTTTGTTCTCCAGAGTTTACAGTTGAAAGAAAGCCAGAGAATGGAGGCAGTGTCACCTTTAAGGACTACGAGTCACTGGAGAAGGCCTTTGCTGAACAGGTAAGCTCAGTGTCAGAGAAATAGAAAGTGGCAACCATCACTAATAAGACAGAAATATACTGACAAAATGTGCACTATTACATAAGCATAAACATGGCTACATTTATGTACCTACAATGTGATACCTGTACAGTACCTATACATGTACCTGAACAAAATGTCATAGAAGTGGACTAAAAATAAGTAAATTGGAACTCAAAGATGACACAATATTGTTTCGGTCTTTTGGATTCGGGTGCCAAATGTTGTTCCGGTCTAAACCGGTCAGGCTGAACCGGTACCCAGCCTAATTTTGTGTGTTGTCTCTTGTCTTTCTGACTTGTAGAGCATCCATCCTGGTGACCTGAAGCCGGCGGTTGAGCGAGAGTTAAACAGACTGATGGAACCAGTCCGACAGGTGTTCCAGACTCCTGACATGAAGGCTCTCATCAGCAGGGCTTACCCACCTCCTCCCAAGAAGAGTAAGTCATCTGTTGTATTTTTCTCTTGCACTCTTCTCATTTCATTAAAACCAGTGTTCTAGCCTTTCCTTTATTCAACAGTTAACTGTTATTTTACTGCTTATTTGAAACTGAGCCATCCTGTTTTTACGCAGTTAAGAGTCTGAACTAAAAGTGTTAATGTTTTAATAAGACATAGCCTTTTGACACTGACTGACAGTAGTAGTAGTATTTAGTTTTTTTTTGTTGTAGTTTTTTTGTAGTAGTCATCTTTGACAAATAAAGTTACCAGCTTGTTAAAATATGAAAGTTGATGTCATTTAACTACACAATGTACAATGTAGCAAAATTTGCCCCTCAAAATGCAGTTTTTTTTGGAGGGAGATGGAGTGAAATATGCTGTATTTGCTTGCAAGAAAATATTGGCCTTTCTAGTTGTCTTAGCTTTATCCCAGTCTACAGTTGTTTCAGAAGTACATGTAGATTGCACTGTTTGTTTTGTACTGAAGTCTCACATTTTATATGTACACACAGAGGCAGGACAAGTGGCTAATGCAGCAAGTGAGGAGATTTCCCCAGTAAGGTTGGACCTGAGAGTAGGGAGAATTATCAGTGTGGAAAAGGTGAGACTTACGTTGCGTCATGTTGCAATTTTATAGCACAAGGGATTTAGACTCCTGTCTGACCTTATATATGAATGTGTTTAACTTAACAGATCATACCATATGCGAAGGTAAATGTTATGCATTTGCTTTGCAAATGTTACCTTAAAAAGTTTCTAGTGATGTTTTTTTTTCTTGCTCCAATCCTGTAGCATCCAGATGCAGACAGCCTGTATGTAGAGAAGGTGGACCTGGGTGAGGAGCAGCCCAGGACCGTGGTCAGCGGCCTGGCTGGTCTGGTTCCCATGGAGACCCTGCAGGACTTTGTCGGCGTGTTCCTCTGTAACCTCAAGCCACAGAAGATGCGAGGCATCGAGTCACAAGCCATGCTCATGTGTGCCTCCATGTGAGTCTTTCTGTTACAGGGCTCAAAATTCATTTTTGGGAATAGGTGCACTGGTGCATCCAACCTAAAAAATTAGGGTGCTCCCTGATACAAACAAAACCTAATACAAAGATCTTACTGCTCCTCTTCTTAGCTTGAATCTGAAATGGGAGCTAAATTGAGAATCTTAAACAAGTACTACAACAAAGGTTTTATTATTTTTCTGACACTTAGATGCCAAGAATATCTTGTATACCATTATACATTTGATACATGTATGTACAAAATACCTACAAAAATATTTGGGTGCACCAGTGCACTGCACCTTTGCCTTTCTATTGTCCTATTGGTTAAAGGGAAATGTACTGCAGTATGTGTCTTCCCATTTGTCATAAAGGTCTGCCCTCTGATTGGTTAGGTGGAAGAAAAATCTGTTTTCCTATTGGCCAAGAGAATCTGTGTAGGCTCCATGCCTATCCCTGTGCCAGCAGGGTTGTGAGATGTGACCAGTGTGTTACTGGGCCAGGTCTCATACACAGGTCTGATAATGGCCAGATAGTAATACCTGAGGCCCATAGTGCAGGCTGATGTGTCAGTCAACAGTCTGTCTCCAGATCCTCAGACAAACTGTTGTCCCTCTGAACTGTCAATTAACAGTCAAACTGTTGTCCCACTGAACTGTCAATCAACAAACTGTTGTCCCACTGAACTGTCAATGAACAGTCTAATTGTTGTCCCACTGAACTGTCGATCAACAAACTGTTGTCCCACTATACTGTAGACAGTCAAACCATTGTCCAACTGAACTGTCAATCAACAAACTATTGTCCCACTGAACTGTCAATGAACAGTCTAATTGTTGTCCCACTGAACTGTCAATCAACAAACTGTTGTCCCACTAAACTGTTGACAGTCAATCCATTGTCCCACTGAACTGTCAATCAACAGTCAAACTGTTGTCCCACTGAACTGTCAATCAACAGGTTTTGTCCGACCACCAGTCAACACTCAATCAAAGATGTTAATGAGGGACTTGTGTTTTTCAGAGATGACCCGAGGTGTGTTGAACCCCTTATGCCACCAGAGGGCTCTGCTGTTGGTGACCGGGTATTTGTAGAAAACTACAACACAGGAAATCCTGACGAGAGGCTCAATCCAAAGAAGAAGATCTGGGAGAAGCTACAGGTACAGTCTTACAGTCTTCTAAATTATCTGAATATTCCAAGAATATTTTAACTGTTGCCAGGCAGAATTTGCAAATTACTAGTACTATTGTATACTAGTTTTAACAATATAGTGTTTCTATGGAGAGATTAGCTCCAGACAAATTCTGCTTTAGATCTTAGATCTGCGATGGACATACTTTTTTTTTCATAGCTGTAACATTCCACACATAGCTAAATACGGCACAGTCGAAACAACATGGCTGGTGTTCAGTCTAATGTTTCATCAAAATGTTTAAAACATTTGGGTGTGGAACTGAAAGCTTGATCATGGTTGTAGTCAAATTTGGTATAGTGGTTTGGAGTCAAATTTGATGCAAACTTAAGTCAAATTTGATTTGATTGATAGAAAAAGGCGTGGTGACAATCTGGTCAGACTGCTCCCAAACTTCCGCCAACTTTGGTTGGCGGTCGGGAAATTTCTGAATTTCTGACGGGCCAGATATTGTAAATATACATGTAAGGCATTGAGCTCCTTTTGGGTATGTCTTTGACTGTATTCTTCTTTGACTATAGATGTTATGAAGTGATGAATACAGAGAATCAGATAAAAAGTTGTTTTTTTCTGATGTTTGTTTTTTTGCATCCCTGCTTTAGCCGGACATGAAGACCTCTGAAGAGTGTGTTGCACAGTGGAGCGGCAACCCCATCATGACCAAACTAGGACTGGTTAAATCCAAAACTATGAAAAATGCACCAATTAAGTAGGTAGCCACTCAAAAAAAATCCAAATTTTGAAGATAAGTGCATCACAGCAAGACTTAAAATATGCAGGGTTCCCACAGGCTAACTTCTTGACTTAGGAGCACTGCTGCTTCCAACCCGAAACAATTACTGGTAAGGCACACCAGCAAAAATTCTAGGAACACACTATTCGTATCTGTATCAGTATAGCCGGTATAAATGCCCTTCAGCATAACACACCAGCTACTACAAGGTACAATGTAGATCATTGAATTGAGCACTAGTTTGCAGGACATTGCACAAATATTGTACATAAAAACATACAAAGTGGAAGCATCATGATCAGAGAGCAGGAAAGTGAAATGAAAAATTTCTAGGCGCACAACATAATTTTTGGGAGCATAATAAAATACTTATTAACATTGGAGCAGTCTGGAGGGCTAATATGTGAAACATAGTGTAGCCATAAGATTTTTCTTCATAATCCATATACACACTTAATGTTTAACTGTCATGATAGACCTGTCAGAAACAAAATATCTGCCTTACTTCCTGTCTAATAGTTACTAATAGATAATATCTGAACAATTAATAGATAAGAGTTTGACATGCTATACTATGAAAATTGAATCTCTGCATCTTAAATATATTACTAAATTATATGTTTTATTGCAAAGTTGTTCCATTTTTCCAAAAGATTTATGTGATTTTGATTATTTGAATATCAATTTCTGCTATGCGATGCCTCTGTCATAATGATTGTATCTGTATATTCATGTCACAATCAACGTAAACTACGCATATTAGTAAATATAGGGTTTCTCATTAAAAATTTGGGTCAGAAAGCATTCATACAATGTAAGTCTTGTAATAATACAAAAAAGGAAAATTAAAACGACCAAAGATATTATTTGGGTCCAGAAATTGTATTCTCATGTTTCACGTAAAAAAAAACATTTTTCAAATGTGTTGTTCGGAATCTACATGTATTTTGGGGAAATCATGTGCTTGAAATTGGAACATTTTTTTTTTAATTTGGTAACTTATTGTATTGTTTAATGTTAAATTCGAAGTAAAAGGCATTTTGGCATGATCCTTTAAACATTGTGCACTGGCTGACAAATTATCAATTGTTTTATTTGTACATGGATGTTGATTTAATAAAATTGCCAATAAAGAAACACCACACAAGAAACCAATATTACAATCTTTATGATACGTTTTGTACATGTATTTTGGTTTTCATACAAGTACACCTACACATTCAGGCACAGTTTTTTACCCCAAAAATTATTCTATAGTCTGCCCTATTGCAACATATTGAGAATATATTACACCATATCTATTATGATAAAATACTAATCTCAGAATGAAAATCAAAATATTACTATCTAGGGATACAACAAAATGGTTGAATAATTTACGTTTCTGAGGTAAAAAAACGTCTTGGGCATTAAAAACTTAATGTCCAATAAATGTTTCAGGATGAACGGAATCCAGAACTACTCTCATCATCGTCATCATCATTCAAGAAACTATCATATTCTCCTGTGTTGATGTCCGTTAGTCGTACAGCATAAGTTCTCTTTCTGTGCTCAGAGACGTCGTTATGATCTCTTTCCGAACCTCTATGGTTGTCCAAGGGCAGGTTTTTGAACGGATTGTTGCCGTTCTTTTTGTAGAATTTTTCGAAGTTTTTGGTGACGATGGGCAGCGGCATGGCGATGACGAGAATGCCGCTGATGACGCAGATACAGGCGAAGGCTTTGCCCAAGGGTGTCTGTGGGTAGATGTCGCCGTACCCTACCGTAGTGAGGGTGATGATGGCCCACCAGAACGCTTCTGAAACATATTTCAGGGGTTTAAACTATTTGGTGAAATTTGGTAGTTTCGCTCAACACTAGGCTAGGTAGCTGGTTCCACATTTAAAAAAAGACACCTTCCAAAACGTGGTCCATTTCAAAATTTTAAGACATGATTTGGAATACTAAAAAATTTGGAATTCCAAAACGTGGCCCATTCTAAAATAACAGGAAGTGAAATGCATTATGTGTTGTATTCCAAAACGTGACTCATTCCAAAACACGTCTGGGAATCCCCGTAAATAATTTCATCAGGTTGGAAGATACTTAGGGTATAGAATTTTCTTCTTACACAACCATAGAGTGGTTGCAGGTGAGAAACTCTATGGTTGTGTACGAAGAAAATTCTATACCCTACGTCTGGGAATCGGCCACGTAATTTGGATCTGGAATACAGATACATGTACATTCCATTTGGAGTATCACGTTGTAACACGTTTTGGAATCGGCCGCGTTTTGGAATACAGATGCATTCCATTTTGTAGTGTTACGTTGTAACATGTTTTGGAATGCATCTTCCCAGTTGAACTGACCTGGAATACTGGGGAAGAAGTGGTCTGGATGGTCCATCTCCATGAAGTAGATGATGCTGGCGTACAGGATGACCAGGATAGCCATGAAGAACACCAGCATGATGAGCTGGGGAGCGCTGGCTCTCAACGTGGCGCCTAACATCTGTAGAGACCTGGGAGGGGTGGTGTGTGTATGTGTGTGTGTGTGTGTGTGTGTGTGCGTGTGTGTGTTTGTGTTTGGGAGGAAATATATACAAATCAGCATGAAATTTCATTTGTGTTGGTACGAGTCATTATGAAATAAAGACTAAAGTTTAACTGCCAACACTACAATGGATTGGGGCTACCCTGAACAGAGACGGGGGGCGACACAAGTTATCTGGCACGTATGACCCGCTACTACGGTCACGTGTCTGACGTCACGTTCCAAGAGTAGACGGGTCCATTCCGTGAACAAGGTTGACGGAGTTAGTCGAAAATTTGGGGTAAGTCTGAATTCATTGTAGTGTTGGCAGTTAAAGTTTAGTCTTTATTTTATAATGGATTACATGTATATCAGTTGCAATTTTTACGGCTTTTGGTGGCTAATGTGCAGATGTTGTCACATTGGCGCACCAAATCCGTAGTGTGTTTTGGGCACACATTTAGACAAATAAGCCTAAGAGGCTCGGTGGGCGTCACTCAAAGGAAGATAATGTAAAGGGCACAACGTCGGGACATGGTGAGTATCGAACACGGGATCTATTGGTTCCGAGTCCAACGCTCAAAACTGTTGCGCCACCGACGACACTACCATGACGTTGCAATTAGCCATGTAAAACGTCGGGAATAGAGCACTGTAATGCTACGTTCTAACAGTACTAAAACAACACTGTATACTTTTGTTCATCTACTATTAACTGTTGTCTCTGTTCTTGAAAAAAACTGTCAACACTTTAAATACGTGTATTTCAAGATAAACTCGACGTTCGCAATTCATTTCTGGAATACACCACAACTACAACAACATTGCAACTCTTACCTCATATGCCTGGATAACTTGAAGATTCTGAAGACACGGACCAATCGCAGCAGGCGTACTATCGTGCCTGGGATGATGTTAGACCCCGTGACGTCAACGTTCGCCATGATCAGAAAGAGGCTGACGAAGTAAGGCACGATCACCACGAAATCCAGAATATTCATGATATCCTTCACGAACCGAGTCTTCAGAGGACTGGCGTAAAAACGCAAGGCGAGCTCTATACAGAACCACGCTATGCACGCCGTCTCAATCTGGAAAAACGTGTTGTGAAACGCGATGTTAAGATTGGTCTTCACGTCTCCTGTATGTGCAAAGGACTGATCTGTGAGGTTCCGAAAGTGTGGTAGAGTCTCAGTACAAGATGTCCCCACGGATAGAAGAATAAAACAGACCGTAACTAGACCGACAAGTTTGGATAAAATGCTCTCCTGGCTCTCGAAGAGAAGCCATACTGTTCTCTGAGGTTCCTTTTCGGGTAAGGTGTCCTTGGATACGTCGTACCCTTCTTCTGTGAGAAAGGTGTCGATGACAAGGTTTCCCATGTCAAAGTACGCCAGTTCTGCCGCGAAGACGTCCAGGGGTACGTTGGACGGCCGCTTGATTTTGCCCGTTTGGTAGTAGCGGAAGATCCCCTCGAAGCTCGGGCGGTGACGGTCGAAGAAATATTCCTCCTCCTCCGGGACGTAGTACCGTTGGCGTCGGACGGTGTCACCTAGAAGGGTCTGTGGATACCTGTGGAAGGAATGATATAGTTCAACACAGTGAGTAGGTGTATTGTTTCAGACAATAAAAATGATATAATGACAATGATATAACGTTATGAAAAAAAGACTGAACTTGAAATGTCAATACTACAATGAATTGGGACGTACCCCAAATTTTCGATTACTAGTAACTCCGTCAGCCTTGTTCACGGAATGGACCCGTCTACTCTTAGAACGTGACGCCAGAGACACGTGACCGTAGTAGCGTGCCATACGTGTCAG